GTAAAGAAGGTCACTTCCCTGGCAGGTACAAGGAACCTCAGGATATTTTGGGGAACCTCAAGAGAAGAGAGGAATTCAGCCAAATCTAAGGTATTGCAGGTGGAGTCTGATGACAAGTCCTTGGCTTTGCTTTCCTGCAAGAGACCTTTAAAGCTCAGAGATTCCTTATAAAAAGTTCCCACAAAGCAGAATTAAAAGAACCTATATGATCCATTACTATTCTTGCTGCACTTACGTAAATAATCGGGCCAAGTTTATTGAAATTATACATTTTAAAAACCACTTAGTCTTAATTTGGCTATCTTGGGTAAAAATGAGGATTGGTTTAGAGACAGAAATTATGTTTCTGTAGAAACTATAATACATAATTGTGGATATTAGCTGCTAGTTCTGTTAACTGTCTTTGAGGTTTTTGTTTCCTACCTGTAAACTGAACTGGATCCTGAATTCTAGTTTCCTCAACTATCTGGTTACAGATCTCCAAACTTACTAGCCAGAGATGTAATATGGTGTGGGTATCAGTGGGCCCAAAGAACAAGTGGTTTATTAAACCTTTAAGCTATAAACTGGGTCAAAAAAAGTTAACCCCTTCCTTTCTATATGTGCCAAAATACCCTATTCTTTTGCTGGGTAGGCACCTACTGCATAAATTACGAGCCTCCATTATTTGAAAAGAGACCAGTTGGAGACCAGCTGGAAGTAAATGTGCCCTCAGTCTTTGGTCACCAGCTGATTCTGCTCCTGAAAAAAGGGACTGAGTAAAAAGATTTAAAGGGAAACTTAATGGAATTACCAGAGGTAAATCCCCAAGTTTGGGCCCAAGAAAAAGTGGTGCATGCCATCCAAGTGAACCCCATGACTGTCAAACTAAAACCTGGCACAAGTGCCCAAATGTTAAACAAGATCTTCTCAGATAGGATGCCCTAAATGGCACGGCCCCTGTCATAGAAAACTTGATCAAGGCTCATCAGGCCATGCCCAACAGCATGCAACACTCCAATCCTCCCAGTCAAAAAACCAAGTGGGGAACACCAGAGGTACAGGAGAACAACTAGAGTATGCCCTTCAGGTAGCGGAACCGGTAAAGGCACTCACAGCGTATGGAAACCAGGTCCTGCTCAGACCCACAGACCTGGCCCTCCATCCCTTCCAGCCCGGTGACTGGATATTTGAAACTGCTCACGGCCCTTCCAAGATGCACCCACTCCTTAGGCTTACATAAATAGCACTGACATCATCAAAGACAGCACTAGGCAATTAGAAAAGGCTAATTGGTTAAATAAAAAGGCCAACCAGATCTAACAAGACAGATCTAGAGTGGGGTTAGATAGGCTCTTCCCAGTCTGATCTGGTCTCTACCTCTGCTGGCTATTCTGCTTCTTCTACCCTTTGGACCTCACATTCTAAACTGTCTGGTTTCCTCTGATACCAAAAGACTAGGATCTACTAAATTCCAAGTGGTATTAACCCAGGGATACAACATGTTCAGAGTCTAACCCAGTGACAACCAAACATACCTAAAGTTGCTAGGGATAAATTCTTCTCCTCTATGGGCCCCTATGACAATGCCCCTGGTCAGCTGAAAGTGGTTATGGAAGACGGACCTTCATCCATTGCTCCCCAAGAATGAAGACCAAGACACACTCAGAGAAGGGATTTTGTCATCCAGAGAAGTCCCTAAAACATTTTCCATGTCTAATGCTTTAAGTTGTGTTTACAGGAACCAAGGCAGAGCACTGCCAGATGGCCAAACCACAGAACCAGTCCAAACCAGAAAGGTCCAAGAAGGCGATGGGGTGCCATGCACAAAAGGAAATGTATGCAAAAGGTGCCATGCACAAAAGGCGCTGTGTACAAGAAGATTTGCACATGTCCCAAATGCCTCATCCCGAGTGATGATGCAGAGGACCCCCCACTTCACATCCCATTAGAATACTATTCACCTTCCCTTCAGAGAGAAGGTGTCTTAGAGCCCAAGCTCTCCTTCTCCATATTCCTTGATTAACAAATAAAGTTTTTGCTCTGCTATCCAGAACCCAGTCTTGTTCTATTGGTGCAAGGAGCTATGGCAAAAGGACCCACTTGTGGGTCACCAGTCCCTTAGAGCTCAGTAACACTTGTTTTTAAGAATGAACCTGAGACAAACTTGAGGCCTGAGACTGCTGAAGAACTATGCTACACCCAAGAAATTCAAGTTCAGTTCACTTATTCTTACAGCAGTTAATTCTGTAATGTGCTGAGATCATTTTGTACCAATAATTTGCACTTGGTGATCAGGCAGGTACATATAGCAGAGGCTACAAAACACATTCTGGTGGTAGAGAGCTGGGTGGGGGGCATGCACCAGGGAGGATACCAAACCCCCAGAGGGAACTGATGGGAAATGGAGAACTTGGAGGTTTGGGAACTTCTGCCTCTGCCTAGGAGCATGCTGCTATGTCTTCTACTTTGTGGAATTATCTCTATGAGATTCCATGTCCTCTGCCATTAAAGAAACTTTATATCTTCTGTGTCTGTTGGTGGGGGCGGGGGGGGGTCTGTCAATTACATGACTGTACTATTTTGACAACTGCACACAATTGGAAGTTATAAACAAAGAAAAAAACCTTCATTCAAATAGGTTTAATGTAAATAAAAGGAATTTAATGTCGCATGCATCTGAAATATTCAAAGGTATGTTTGATTTCAGGAAAGGCATGAACTAGCAGCCCAGAAATATCACCAATAACCTGATTTGGGGGCCATGTTTCTACTCTGCCTAGCTTAGTGTCAACTCACTACAGGATGATTTCTCTGGTCCTAAAATTGCTCCAGGACTCCAAAGGTCCATGCTTCCTCATTAGTAACAATAGAGAAAAAGAGAACATATTTATTCCAGCATTTCCATAAAAAGTCCTTAGATTCACTCTGATTGGAACAGCTTAGGTCACATCCCCATGAAGTCACAGATGCCAAATCCGCATCCAAATTGCAATTATACTCCCTGGAACCAACGCCAACAGAAACCAAGAGTCATGTATGCTGGGAAAGCATAAAGTCCACTACAGATGATAACATAAACAAAAAAAGTAATGTTCCCTCTCCTTCTGGCTATGTATCTGGCATGAAACTATAGACCATATTTCATTTCAAGAATGTTCAAAGCAGTGCTTAAAACAGGAGAAAAATTGGAAGCAACTTTAATGTCCAACAATATAAAATCAGTTAAATAATTCATAGTACATCTATATAATAAAATGCTATGTTAGCAGTTCTAAACCACCTAGGTCTCAGGTCCCTTTTATAATCTTAAAAATTATTGAGGACCCAGAAGAGCTTTTGTTAATGTGGGTTACAGCTATCACTATTTACTTTTTTTTTTTTTTTGGTGAGGAAGACTGTCCCTGAGCCAACATCTGTGCCAATTTTCCTCTATTTTGTATGTGGGACACCACCACAGGATGGCTTAAGAAGTAGTGTGTAGGTCTCTGCCCAGGATCTGAACCCACAAACTCCAGGCCACTGAAGTGGAGTGTGGAAACTTAACCACTACACCACCAGGCCAGCCCCACTATTTACCATTTTAGAAACTAAAATTGAGAGATTTTTTAAAATATTTATTAATTTGTTTAAAAATAGCAGTAGTAAGTCCATTACATGTTAACATGAATACATTTTTTTGAAATGCACCCCCCCACCCCCCCCCAAGAACAGAAGAATAGCACTATTGTCTGGTTTAACAGAAGTGGCTGGATTCTCAGATCTGCTTCTGCATTCAATCTGTTTTGATATGCTGTTTCGGCTGTAGTATATGAAGAAAGTCTGACCTCAAACAAGTATGTAGTTGGAAAAGAAAGGAGTCTTTTAATAGTCTTTCCAAATAATTGTAGACATTCTTCTTTAAAACCATACCAAAACTGGACAAGTGTTAGTTCCTTAAAAACTAGTCGTAATGTGTAATCTGAAACCATATAAATGAATTTTTTCATATTCTGCGACATACATTAAAATTCATTGGTCCATTGTGCGCTTCAAATGTATCTTTTATCCATGCATGATTTTATAAGATCACATATTAGTCATCCAGAAAATATTGGTTCACTGAGTTACGTAATCTTCTTAACTGTTGACAAAAATAATTATATAATGTAAGAAAAAAACTGCTAATCCTACCCATCTCATTAGAAAAATCCTACCCTTCTCATTATGGGAAGCTGCCAAACTCCTGGAAGCAGACACAAGTTTTCCAAAATTACAAATTTTGCTAGAAATCTCAAATTTTATCATTGGTAACAAATAACCATTAGTTTTCCTTGAAGAGAGACACTGACTTTGTTCCATTTTGAGAAAATGTCCACCAAATGCCCAAGTCTGAATAACCAATTGTAACCACCCCTGATGCAGGAAGGGTTAATAATCACTGGAAAAGGCTTGCCAACAAACTGTGACCTGGAGGTGAGGAGGTTGGTTAGCCCATGACGGGTAAGATCTCCAATGGGAGGCAACCTAAGCCAGGCACAGTCACCTAGGGGCACAGACGGAGACACGATATCGGGAGCAGGAGGGGCCATTGCCTAGGAGGCCTTGCATGCTCCGAGATAAAAATATACGAGCACAGCAATAACATGATAATATCAAAACACAGTTCGAGGGAGGGCTCTTTGAGAAATCACTAAGAATTCTTGGCATTCACTAATTACATTGTCCAGAACACCTGTGTATGTTTAACAGATGTAAGCTATGTATATATTGAAACGCTGGTTATAATAAACTCAGAGTGGCCTTCAGCCCTCTCCACATCTATCCTGGTGTGTACATTGGATCGCGACACCAACACCAATCATAGTTTTCTATCAGTACTTCTTTTCAGTAAAATGGTATTCCCCTCCCCAAAAAAGTAAGTAATTCAATTCACCACTCAAACCGTCAAAGGAGGGCTTTCCTTGAGATGACCATCATAGTCTAGTACATAGAAGAGCTTATGCACACTTTCCATTTCAGCACACAGAATATTGCAGAGATGTGTTAAGATTGAGAATTAATAAAACCAACAATTTGGTGCTATTGCCTTGATTTGCACTAAAGTACCAGTGGTTATACTCATTATTGCTTTGCACCTCAGTGCAAATACCAACATAGTACAAAAGGCAAATAACACCTTGGTTTTATGAAAATAGTTTTGCTTTTGCAGATCCCCTGAAAGGGTCTCATGGACTCCTAACTGCCTGCAGACCACACTTTGAGAATCACTGTACTACATAAAACCACAAAAAAAGATTCTGCGGAAGACTATTTAATGACATGGGGAAAAATATGTTCAAAATAAATTCAAGTGAAATATAAGTAACAAAAAGTATGTTTTTGACTCTTTAATTCTACTTCTAGAAACAATCTGAAACAGAAAAAAATGACAAAATCGCCAATAGAAAAATGATTATGTAAATTATAGTATATTCACCAAATAGAACAGTACGTAGCTGTAAAAAACAGTGAGATAAGTACGTAGCTGTAAAAAACAATGAGATAGACCAATATATACTGAAATGGAAAGGTCTTCATGACATATTAAGTAAAAAAATTTTTGTTGCAGAAAATTGCATATTATATGATCTGATTTGTGTTAAAAAAAAGTTAAGAATATGTGTAGATACATATGCAAAGGCACGTAAGTGCAGAAGAAATGACTAGAGAACTTCTGTCACATATTTAGTAGGAGGCACCCTCTGGAAAGGGGCTGGGAATGGGATGTGGGGAAATGGGAATATGCGGGATTTTTGCGTTTTAAGTATAGCGTGAATGTTTTACAAAGAAAATTCATTCATATATCATTCATGTAACAAACGAAGAAAGGAAATGAATATAAAAAGGTTTGGGAGGATACATGAAAAGGGTTAACTGATTATCTACTGGAGGGACTACTAGTGATTTTTCTTTTCTTTTTTTTCACTTCTCTGGATTTTCTAGTTCTTCTACAACAAAGATGTATTTCTTCTTCATTAACAAGTTATTTCTATTTACAAAAAAGTCAATTAAAGGCCATTTGGTAAACTGCTTACAGTTTTATTAACTATGGTTTACCCAGCTCAGTGTCAGAGTATGGCTTTTACATATTTAAGTTATATGTGCTACACAAAGAGAATTTAGAACCAAACTCTGACATCCTTAAAAAATAAAATACTCAAAGTAATTCAGTAAATGAAAGCTTACAAAAATATCTATCTTTATAATATTCAGTATGAAGGACTTTTTTTTATTATTTGAAAAATAATAGAAATAATATATAAAATACAAAGTGCATATTTGCCTAGTGCAATTGGTCTCCTTTGTTATAGTCTTTTTTTCCTCCTTACATGGAATCCAAAATGTTTCATTTTCACTTATCTGGTCCACTGATACCAGTTAACAATGTGTATAAAAGTTTCTTCTAAAGATAGTAAAAACAATTTGTAAAACAACTATGCTTTCTTTATTTCCAAGACAGAATTGCGGGAATATCAGAATATTTAAATCATGCACACAATCACTGTATACCTACTGTTATCTATATCAAATCACATTTTCCAAATATACTGCTGAAATAAATAAAGAGATTAGAAAACAGGGCAGTAACAGTGCAATCTTAAAGGAAACTAATTTAATATTCTATTCTATGATGTAATCACCCAGGCTCTCAGAAGACTCAACTTTATGTGAATTGCACAGGGCTGTTTTAAGATGCCAGCTGTTCAATAAAGTGAGTTTTACTTTGAGAGTAAAATGATTTTTAAACTGAAACATCACTCCCCAGTCTTTTCATAAATGAAATACAGCACCCCTCTTACAATACAGCAAGACACACATAATTCCTCTAGCAATTGCCAATTTAACTAAAAAGACCCTTCTTTTTCGTTCTGGCCATTGATTTTTTGCTGGTATCAACTAAGATCTTATCTCTCTTGCCAAACCCCGCATACATTCTCTTTAAGGCTCCAGATGAAGTCTATAGGAAAGAAACAGAAAAAGAAACATTTGTACTGTTAAAAATATGTGGCAGTTACAAAAAGTAACACAGGTCACTGAATATACACCCACCACTCTTTCCTTGACAAAATAAAATTTATTTTTGGATTAAGAAGTAAATAAAAGAGACAAAATCCCTGTATCATTTCTTTAGGCAATTACTTGTTATCCTATTATCTATTCTCAGACACTCAAGTGTAGAGACACACTCATTTGGGAAGGAAAGAACTGAATGTTATTTTAGATCTATGTCCCATTGAGTATTTGCTTTGGGTTGACCAAAATGGTGAATTTAACATTCAGAGGAAGGTATGTGCCTGAAGATGTATGCACGCGAGTGTACACACACACACACACACACACACACACACAGGGAGTGCTATTAGGCATTTGAAAAAGTAACTTCTACATCTACAATAGTAAACAGACTAAAAAAGTGGTTCACTCATCATCAGCACCTTGCAGAGTCGCTGAAACAGCAGATACTCAAAAAAAATCCGCTGAATAAATGAAAAACAATTGTTTTTTGTCTCACTCTTTTGAGAATCTGCTAACAACTATAGAGATCCACTTCAGAGAAAAAAAGACAAACGAACACATGCACAATACTTTGCACAATTTTAGGGATCTCATGCATCAAATAAGCCCTCAGAACCCTAAGATAAATGTCCCTGATAAACCATTTTTTTAAGAACCCAAAAGCAGTGGTTGTGTACTATACGACCTGCACATGAAAAAAATAAATCACTTTTAAGCAGGTAAGTGTTCCACAAGCCTAAAATGGTATTAATGTGTGTTATCTCAGTTTGAGCACTAGATCCTCAAACATGACAGAGAAACTATTCTAATACGCATCCACCTTGGAATCTGGCAGGGTTAATTCAGTTATTGGAACTATTTGAAGGACTTTATAAGGTAGCCTCATCCAAGTTACAATGTTTCTGTTAGCTTAAGGAACAAAAACATAATTTATTCCATTTCAAGAATGACGCCTATATCCATATATTATTCACCAACTGCTTGCTATGTTTTATTACGTTTTCTACGTTTAAAAACGGTTTCAAAATATTTAAGGATGGGGAAAAAAGTAGAAGATCTTTGGCAGAAAACTGCAAAACTTTATATTAAAAAATGGTAAAAACTGTTAGCTGTTCTAGCTTAATTAAAGAAATCCAGTGTAGGAGAAAGGGCTATTCACGCATCAGTAAAAGCTAAAGAAAAAACTGGGCCGAGATAGCAACTTTTCCTCTGGGTACCTATTTCTTCACAGGGAAGAGAAGACCAGGAGAACAGATGAGATTTTTACTCGCTGTAAGATACTACAACATTTGACCTAGAAACAATAAATATTGGGGATATAAAGTGACACAGAAAAGGGTTGGGCAGAGATAAAATTGGCCCCGAAATATTTATTCTTCCCAAAAGACCTTAATATCAAAATCCCTTATAGTCACAGACAACTACAGTTGGTTGCAATTAGAGTTTGAAGCTCTGAGTGCACTGGGAGGAGAGAAACCAGTGAAGATTATAACAAAGCCAAATGTAAAACAGAGCATGCATCTGAACCATAACAGAAGAGAGGGAAAAACCCCAAGTCTTGTCGTAGGTGAACACCACAGAAGAAGCAAGGACTTTGAAACCAGACAAAACTAGGTTTCAGTCCTAATTGAGTCACTTGTTAAATGTATGACCTTATGAATATTATTCAAGTGTCAACTTTTTCACACAGAAAATGAGAATAATGATACCTAACAACCCTGGATTATTTGGAGAGTTAAGTGAGAATATATGCAAAATATCAAAACAAATTCTGACTTATGTGTGGCACCCATTAATTGGTACCTAATGTCACTTAAAGTCTTTTATCTTCTATAACATTTCTACAGAATATGATCTTCAGCGCTTGTAATTATAAGAATGATCTTATTTCATTGAGAAAGGGGAAAAATGCTTACTTACACTGAGTGTATCTTTTAAGTCTCAACAATAAGTATCTGGAGAGACTTTAATTATGACGTCTAAGTCACCTGACGGAAATGCCTTTCCGTGACTACTTCTTTCATCAGTAGAAGACTAAAATTCCCAGAAACCATAATAAAATTTTAAGAGGGTACTTACACCTTTTTGACACTCCGAATTCTATTAACAAACTATTATCATTGAGAATACAAACCATTAACTCATTTCTGGTTACATGTGTGCATATGTATGTAAGCAAATAAAGAAATATGTACGTTATATTCACAATTTAATTTTATCTGAAACTAAGATAAATCTAAACATTAGTTATCAAGTCTGATGTACATGTCATGAAAACTATTTTATTAAATCAATTTACCTGTGGATGAGAGTCTGTAAATAAATCTTCTATTTCTGGATCGCTGGATGGCTGATTCCAAGATGTCAGTCTCAGTGAATTTCTGTGACTCTTATCTTTTGGTGAAAGATCACAAGGATGTTTTCCATCAACCTTTAACATTTTTATGGAATACAAAATAGTTACAGCAAAAAATGGTTATTTTCTTAGCAAAAAAAGCCCCAAAAACTATGCCTAAAAAAGCAAAGCTTAAGAAAATTCTTATTATTCTGAAGTACTGAATTTTAACAATAATGATTATAATAAATTACCTATAAGACATTTTTTCTAAGTATCTTAAAATAGTTAATAAATAATATGTCTATTTTAATTTATAATTAAACTCAGTAGCAGGGCAGGACATATCACTCTCTCTCTTTCTCTCTCAGGCAGTCAAGGAAAGGAAAAAGGAAAAAAGTGATATAGGAGGAGAATGTTTTGGGAAGATGGTTGCAGCAACAGCGTAATTTTTTAATTTCTCTGAATCCCAGCATTAAAACAGAGAGAACAAGATAGCAACAGCAGAAATTCATCATCTACATTTACAATGAAACTAAAGGTATCCTTGGGAAACCCAAAGTATAAACACCTGAAGACAAACCACCAACAGCCACAAGACCTGCATGGGAGAAAGCAGAGGGAAGCAGTGAGGTGCGGGCACAGGAGAACCCCAGAGCAGCCCACAGGTGGACAGCGGAAAGCAGAACAGATTAACACGAGAACAGCAGCTGAAAGTGCAATAGCAGGTGACTGAAAGGTGTCCATAGCAGTGCCTGAGGGGCTGAAGCAGCTGGCTCCAGGAACTCTCCTGACCAGCTGATGCTGCCTTCCAGGAGAAGGGCCCAGAGAAGGGCCCACACTCAGGGGAACTGCTGGAGTCAAACCAGAATCAAGCAGGTCGGGTGTAACAGAGACAACGGGAAAGAAAGCCCAGTGGCAAAGGAGTATGTCTCATAAACCAAGTTTCCATATTTTGAACATTACACACACAAAAAAGGAGAACAAGCTCTGTGAAGTTGGAAAAACTATCCTGAACCATGCCTTCTTTTGAAAGTGCCGGAAAACTAAATTCACATGAAAATGAGCAAGAGAGATTACCAAAGTCAAATCCTAGACACCAGAAAGACTTGCTGAGATACAGAATAAAACTGTAATCTCTCACAATGAGCTGAAAAACACTGAGAAAATGATTCAAAGCAGGATAGAACATCATACATCGAAATCAGAAAAATTCAAAACTGAGGGGGAAAGCTCAGGAAAGAATTAGAAATAAAAGAAAAAAACTACAGAAGTGAATACTGAATTACAAGAAACACAGTAATAAATACAACAGATTATGTCCAAAGAGAACTGGAAAGGTGAAAAAGAAGAAAACAATTTTAAATTAAAAAGAAACGAAGAACTAAAAGGAATTCACAAGCAGTGACAAAAACTGAAGGGAGGTAAAGAAGACCCAACATAGAGATAGTAGGAGACCCTGAAGAAGAAATACAAAGCAATGGGAAAAAATATTAAAAAGTAAAATTTAAGAAAATTTTCCTGAAATAAACAAAATTTTTAAAACTATAAGAAAACTTTCCAGAAATCTTAAAAAACTACATATTTAAAGAACTCACTGTGTACCTACGTATATTAAATCAGAACTACCAATAATCAAGAGATAATCTTCCTCCATTAAACATAGGCATGACTGAGCTTCTATCTCAATAGCCATCACAATAGATGTAAACCAACAGTGCATCAACGAATAAAAAGAACTGGCTCTGACATTTTTCTTATCAGAAACCTCATAATTATAAAATGAAATAGACTAAGGGATACAACCCAGGTCAGTAGAGAAGACGAATGTTAACATATGCAAGATCCTGAAACTAGGCCTCCAACAGACTCTACAGTATTCAGAAGAGCTTTCTATACTGGGAGGCAGATGTAGGAAAAATAGTTTGGCTGGCTCGTTCACCTCTTAATCTACTTCCCAGGCCAAATATCCTTGTTCCCTTAAATGGGGGAGGGAAAGGGCTAAATCCAGTAGGCTTAGTATGATTTCCACCTCCCACCCCCCAAAAATCCCACTCTGTTGTCAGTATCTCATGTTATATCAATAGGGGAAAAGCAAAAATGCTAATATGTGGTTAAAATAATATTTTACTACAAATATGCTTCGATATTCACAAAAAATAACAAGTTACTCCTTTTCATGTATTGAAGGGTAGAAGTTGGGAAAAAATAAGGTTTTAGGTACCTGATATAGATTTCAGAAATAAAAGGTTGAGAATAGAAGCCACATTTCACTAACACCACCCACATATATTTTCTTTAATGCCTTTCTTACAGCTAGTTCAATTGTCAAAATAATGTAAAGAATTCCAATTAAGTCAATTTCATAAGGTTATCTAGGACGTAACTATATATAAACCTGAGGTACAGAATTTTAAAAGACCAATTCCTTTATTTTTAAGCTACTGAGAAAAGAAGTTTAATTGTTGGAAATCCTACAAAGATGACCTCAGAACTGAAATGGAGTCCCTAATTCTCTAACATAAATATCAGCAACCACCTACTACCATGCTCAATTTATCATCTAGGAACTAAAATAATTTTTTAGTTAATTATTAGTTTTCACAGTTTTCATCATGGAGTCATGTAATTTTGGACCTGGAAGATACTGAAGGTCAAATTTTCAACTTTATACAATCATTTAATAGAGTCACATTGTCAAAAAAGTTATTTTCTGATTACTATTTATCTTTCACTGCACAAAGCAATAATTTCCAAAGCATTTGATTTCAGTAAATTGTACCATCTAAAATAATACTAAATCATGGTCTTTCTCCAATCATGCAAAAAGTTCATCGGGATATGCTCAGGTCCATAAGCAACAATTATCCTTCTACCTGCGATATCCAATATAACAGGAACAGAGCATGAGGAATGACAGAACGACAGACAAATCAGTTTGGGGGGTATTTGTAATAGAATTTGTTTTCATTTTCATTAACCACATAAAGGGCCATATGCTTAAAGCCAATATTAACTATACCCATGAAAGAAAGAGAATTTCCAGGCTATATAGCCAATATAAGGTAGAGGTAAAATTTAAGCTGACATTCCACACAATAAGCTAAATAGATGGACCACATTCCCTTTTCTGTCGTTTAAAACATCACTTTTCTCAGATCAGATTTATGAAAAGCAAAGGAAATACAGCACACAGATAAAAAAAATCACCTTATATCAGAATTTATAATAGTTTCAAAAATACAGCATTATTAGAAGCTGCAGATTGAACAAACTGACACTTTATGAAAATTCTACATATAATTAACACCTTGGTATTAGTGCCTACTTCGTCCTTGCTTCTCTTCGAACGTGAACAGCTGTCCTCAGAGTTGGGGAAACATCTCTTTTTACTGGAATCACATGAAGGTTGGCATAACGGTCTGTTGTCACAATCTTTTCTCAGGATCTCAATTGCCATGTAGATAAGGTATGTGTCAATGTTTTCAGGAACAAACATTCTAATTAGTTTAGTTTTATTGATATCTGTAAAGGATGAAAAAATAAGATTTAAAAATAAACTACATAGACTATTTTAGAAAACCTATGAGCTGGAAATGGTGAAATATTTTGTAGAAAAAGAGGAGAAAAGTGGCCAAAGAAAATGTCCCTCTGTCAAATGCCGATAGCCCTAGAGAACAAAAATGGAGTAAAACGTGCCCCCTCATTCCTCCTGCCCCACCTGCACCCACTGCCTCCAAAACCCAAAGACAAGCCAGTGCCATCGACTGCATAAATTATGTTTCAAACTATCTTTTGTGGGCTGCCCTAAGAATCAAAACCACCATTCACAGAATTGTTTCTAAAGGAATTATGCTTCAAATTCCTAATATCAATAAGAAGTTAATTTTTTGAAGATAATTTATTCTTAAAATAGAAGCTAATAATACTTGTAAATAAGACGCTAATAAAAAGGACTCTTTCAATGGATATTGTAGCATTACAAAATACATCAATCATTTAAAATGCATATTAACTAAATGAGTTTTCTGGGAAAGATATATCTTATTTTCAGAATCAGGGAATTTTTAATTTTTCTAACTCAATGGAACTGAATCAGACTGTGTCAGTCTCTTCCCACCTTTTACAAATCATGGAGCCATCTCCCACAGACCACTATTCATGTTTCAGGTACTTCCTTCCAACATCACATTCATCTGCAGTTCTGTAGAGTACGGTAAAACCAAGCAGCTTAGAACCTATTCACTCATCTTCATGTAATTTATAAAACTAGTATCAAACATTTCTGACACACAATTCAAATTCAAAATCAAAAACTGAGTATTTTTAAATGCCACCATGAAAAGGCGGTCTTTAAATTATTGCAGTTTCCAGGTTTATATTCTCCTTTCTTCCAAAGACCTTATCTTGCTCCTCCAGGACTTCTCCAAAAAACCGCAGTTAAAAAAAAACAACAACAAAACAGCCAGGCAGAGAAGGTTACACAGCTAACAGAAACCAGGACAGGGGCTACTTAATTATTTAGCCTGTACTCTAACTTTAAAGTTTTAAAATGTAAAACTGATGCTAATCAAAATCTTGGAAAGATAAGATCACCTCTCTAAATGTAATAAAATCAGCAATGTGACTATCATATCTATCAACCAAACTAAAGCTTTATTTGTCCCTTGGTCATTACCACTGAAATTCCACCAATTTTACTACTTCATCATTTTTTAATGGCCCAAGAGTTTTCTGCTGTATATGTCTATCAGAGTTTACTTTGAGCTCCCTTTCATTTGTTTTCAAATGAAAACAGACGACGCCAAACTTAACCACTAGGCCACAGGGCCAGCCCCATTTATCTTCAATTTTTCTTTCAAAAAAATTTTCTAATGAACATATCATATGTATCTTTCCATATTGCTAGATTCCCAGAAGTGAGATTGCTAGTTCAAAGATTAGACACATTTTATATTTTGATACATATACCTCGATAACTGTGCTGTCTGATACAACAACCGCTAACCACAAGCAGCTACTGAGCACTTGAAATGTGGCTAGTGTGGCTGAGGAACTCAGTTCTTAATTTTAAGTAATTCTAATTAATTTAAAACTGATACTTGATTCGGTTATCAGAAAATTTTTAAGTATGTTTGGAACAAATTTGGTGTCTTCATCTACTTTATTCAATTGTAAATTTTATGAAAGCTAAATACAGATCAAGTATTTCAAATTAAAATTTAGCATCAGAATTGAGATACCCTGTAAACCTAAAACGCACACTTGATTTCAAAGGCTTAGTTCAAAAAATTAATACATAAAGTTATCTTACAAATAATTTTTATATTGATTATATGTTGAAATAACATTTTTAATATATAGGGTTAATCAAATTAGATCATTAAAATTAATTATTTTTTATAAAACTTTACAAAATAAAATTATCTGTTTATTTTTACTTTTTTAATATGGCTACAAGAAAATTTAAAATTGTGTATGTGGTTCACACCATATTTCTTTTTGGATAGTGCTGCTGTAGAAAAACCGTACAAATTTCCCCATACTCTAGCCAACCAATACTACTGTATTGAATTCATTTTCTTCTTGTAGGTATTTAAATATTGGACAAATAAACTATACATCCTTAATTTCACCATACTGTAAATGTAGAATTTATAAACCAATTTTTGGGAGAACATCCACAGAATCTTGAACTATCATAGCATCGTGGGCTAAATGAATTATTTTGAAAAGAAAAAATGAGTTATTTTATTCCACTTGATACAAGCTATTTCTAAAATGAGAATGTTTTCTTTTTATAAAATTATGATGTATAAACATTTGCCTAAGGTTTTAAGCCACAGTTAATGATTTAATAAATGTAGAAAGTTATACTGTAATTAGAATATAATATCTAGATATAATTAGAAAATTCATATATTTACTTACACATTTCTATAAGTACCCTTTATGTTTTTATCTTAAAGTCATCCTACAATAAATATATGCAAAGAAGTGGCATCTAGCTTTAAAGGGGCATCTTATTCTGTTCTAACTTTCCAGGCAAGTTAGTGCTGGAAATATCTCCTGGAGAATAAAATAATGAACACCGGCGGCACTCCTCCAGCGCTTTAAGAGATCATGTTACCTTCACTGTTGTGGCAGGTCCCTTGGAAACCACCCTTAATTTTCCACTTACATGCACATAAAGAACGGGAGAATGAAATTACTCAAAATATTATCCAGGAGCCTCATTAAATGCCTTGCTTAATGTATAATTAAGCACAGTTAGAATCTCAACTCCGTAAAAAAAAAAGCTTAAAATTTTATAAACATGGAAAAACTAAAAGAATAAAAAGGTAGAGAATTCCTTTAAATATTAAGTTACGAAGAAAAAAGCTACTTAATAAATAAGATAGCATGAAAATAATAGATATGATTTCTCAGTTCACAAATACTCTATTCTTTGGTATAAGCTTATGTCATAATAAAAGATAGAAAATTCTCAATTCAGGATTGTGCAAAATTTAAATGTCAATCAAACTTGTTCATTAAAACACCGAATTATGTGATATGGCTATAGTTAAATAAAAGATGAAAATAACATATCTGAACCATTAACGTAGCATGTATATCTTCACTTCTTATTATAATTTATAATTCAACAATGTTTTCTACAGTAAGAGAACAAATCGTATTTTATCAAGGAAAAATAAGAATTCAAAAGTAAAATTTAACATCAATAAATAATTTCTTACAGACTATAAATGTACAATCAAAAGAAATAAAAGAGCTCATAGTGCTCACACCTTAACTTCCTCAATTTTGGTTTTGGAAGTAAACTAAAATAATTTATCTTTTCATATTATATGTACAACCTACACACAGCATATTGACAGAAAGATGAAATGTGTTTAATAAGCATATTTAAAAGTGTTTTCTATTGTTCTTTGGAATTTCAATTTAATATTTATTTCTGAATGAAAATTTATTTGTTATACTCAGTGTACAGTGGTAAAGACAAATGTTTTAACTAATGCTTTAGTCACTATTGATTACAAATATTTTCTCACCTCCCTGATATTTACTGAATCAGGTTGTGCAATTATAAATAGGGAATTTTTCATTATATATTCTGCTTGATTTTAGTATCTCAACTTAAAAAGTTATCTAACATCAGAAATTGAAATTGCTAAACTCAGAACATGGAGGGTTCTAGACATCTAGAAAATATTTAAAGATACTAGGTATATAAAGATACTAAACTGAATATAATTAAGTACCTTTATTTTACTCATCAATTAGAGCCTTATAAACCCAAATCCTGTATCAGGATTAGAAATTGCATATTTCTTTGTTTTACATAGTTGGCATTACAACTTTAACATGTATAGTAAAAAGAAAAACTTGATCAGTCACATTAACCCTGACATGACATTAAAACAATCTGCCACTCTCTAGGCCTCAGATTCCTATTTCTGAAACAGGGTTGGAGTAGGAAAGGGAAATTTAATGAATTCCAATTTCCTTTCCAACTCTACAATTCTATAACTTTACAACAATATGATTTAGAAAGCAAATTAGCAGCACCTCAAATGTTCGCCATGGCCAAAGAAAGTATACGTTGTCAATACATGGCTGAATAATAGAATCTTAAATCTTCCTCTACCATTTTCTCCTGCCAATAAGAACTGAAATTGGAACATCCATTTTATGTCATTCAAGAATATTTGCCCAAGAATTCTTTAGTACTCGAAAAAGAAAGAGATAATTAAAACCTTCCTGAATTATTAAACCTACACCTGTATGTTTCTATAAAATACTGTTTTGAAATCTCCCTTCTGGTATACTTTTTATTAACTTCATATTTTCTTAATTAGCTACTAAAAGGATAGAGTACAAAAGTCACCACATGTAGAGGCATTTTAAAGAAGCCACAAGATCTTACCATCTACTTCTTCAATCATCATCGTCACATTCACCATCACCGCCACCACCACCAGTTATACAACACACACCAAGTGCCAGAGCATTCTGTGCAGTCTCTAAGTGTTTCTCACAATTCTGTGAGAGAGGCAATAGTATCCCTCTGTTTTAGAGATGAGGAAACTGAGGCTTAGGGAGACTGAGTACTTCACCTCAGTCACACAGCTCTGAAACAGTAGAAGCAAGACCTGAAACAGGTCAGCTGTCACCAGAGCCTTTGGTCTTACTGACCAGGCTAACACCATTCATCAGTCTTCATGATTGAAGACAGGCAGCCAATGATAGCAAATAGGACTGTTAATAGGAAAAAAATTTTTTAAAACTGCACAAATTCTTTCAGAGAATACTGTCTACTATCCAACAGCACATCAAAAGACATATATATCTCTAAGTCCTGAGAGATAATACATATATAGAGGAAAAAATAATTCTAGAGTATTAAAATCAAGAAGACATCTGAGTCTTTGAGTTTCCCTAAAACACTAATTCATTTTGCATTGGAGAAAGAGGTTTTATACGATCACAATTCTACTCCTATGAAGTAGTTACTGTTTCCTTCCTCTGCCTTAATTTCTAGGACAATGACTGCTGCAGTTAGAAAGACTGGAATGGGACCAGGAAAGATGGCTATCTTTCTCATAAGATGACTGACAGCTGAGATATCTTCGCTATTTCATCACAATCCAGGATTTGGTCCTCAGGTTTTCAGATTTAGAAATCTAATTTAACCTTAATAGATCCACATTGACCAATTTCAGAAAATGCCGATTCATTAATTTACAATGATGAATTCACAATTATCACAAAGATAACTACCCAGATTAGCATGACTAGTGCATACTTACCCTATAGACAGATCTAGGTGGGAAATCAAACTATAACCAGAAAGGTAAGAACTGACATAGAAGCAGAAATAGTTGTTAGGGTGTCTTCCTCAAATAAGATCTTGACAAAACTTATCAATAGGCCCTTAGTATCCTTTAAGTCTTACTGGTCAGGACTATAAATTGCATATTTCCTTCTTTTAAATAGTTGGCAGTACAACCCTAACATGGTATAGAAACAGAAAAACTTTAGTTCCCGGGAACTAACTTAGAGGACCACTGCCCAAGCTCTCCTCTGTCTCTCTCCTGGGCTTCCACAGCAGATTAATGCAAGTGATGGAGGCATTCTTTCTTCAGACTTTTCAGCCAAGTTGTGCTCAAGCCTAGAATTCACGATGACTTTTAAGATGACTTGAATATCCTGTTCAGATCAATTAAGTATAGTACCGATGATACTTTCAGAGGGTGATCTTATTTCCCTCATTTCCAAATTTTTAGGGGGAATCGTATAGTTGTTCTCAAGTGGGAAAGAATTTGAGGTAATAAAAAATCGAATTATTTGCACTGCAGCTTTGGAGATAAGGGTTTTTTTTTGTATGTCCACTGCCCTGTCCTAACAGTCTGAAAAAATTTATCAGGTTTATTGAGTTATAACACACCCAGTTTATTTGTACATCTGGGGAGAAAAATCTTCTAATGTACCTCATCTTTATCTGTAAAAAATGGATCATAATTTAAAAATAGGCTTATTTTAAAAAGTTCTGAGAGCCGGCCAAGTGGCACAGCAGTTCTGTTTGCACGTTCCACTTCAGCGGCCCAGGGTTCACCAGTTCAGATCCGGGGTGCAGACCTCCGTACACACTGCTTGGCAAGCCATGCTGCCGCAGCCGTCCCACATAGAAAGCAGAGAAAGATGGGCACGGATGTTAGCTCAGGGCCACTGTTCCTCAGCAAAAAGAGGAGGATTGGTGGTGGATGTTAGCTCAGGGCTAATCTTCCTCAAAAAAAGAAAAAAAAATTCTGCGGGGCAAGCACAGGGGCTCAATTTCCACAAGCACAGTTGAGGTTCTGCAGCAAAGAGACAAGAGGAAACCCTTCTACAAGGCACCTAGAGAACTTGGTCCATCCCTTCAATGTCACAGTGACTGATACCACTGACTCTATTGATTATGAAAGGCTACTTACATGAAATCAATGACAAGGAATCAGAAAGATTTAGGGGAAAACTAGGAGTCCGTAAGCTATGGGGAATGAATATGGAAAAAAACACGTGTTGAATTCAAACGATGAGGTAAAAATTAGGAAAGGATGAAAGTGCACTGTTTTGAGATGGGTGTGGAAGTTGTAATCTGAAGCTGAAAAGCAAAACAAGAATTCTTAAGAGGCACACTTTTCTCTGAGCGATAATGGGAAGAAAGATTGTTTTTCTAAAACAATAAAAAGTATGACAAAAGTCAAATTTTCATAGCAGCATGAAGGGTTAATGCTGTTAAAGTGAAAACAGCAGATGGCTTGTTTACTTTGTCTGGCTTCAATGAGTCGAGTCACTAAGGCTTCTGAGAGGGTCACGGTTATCACCTGAGTTGACGGGAGGGTTTCGGATGACATCAGCAATAATCTTGTGAGTCTCTGGAGTCAGGCCTGCTCGCTCCATGTCGAGTGGGTAGCCGGCTTTCAGCGCTTGGAGTAAGTGTGCGCCAACTGCTGTGAGAGGCAGAGTCCTGTTCTCAGATATGCTTTTCTAGAGAAATAGCAGCAAAACAGCCAGTGAGTTTTTAAAAGTTCCCACTGTACCGTATGGAAAGAAAATGTCCAAAACCTTCAGGCAGTAAATGTTCACTGAGAAATAGACAATGGACTAAACCCTCACTTAAAATTTTCCTGTTAACTATTTCTTTAAAACTACCCACATTATACAATTCCACAGGTTTTACTTTTTATACTTATTATATTCAATAAAACAAAGTCACCTCACTGTAGCTAAGAAATTAATCCTGGTCCCTCTGTAATTATTCACTTTAAAACCTATTAGCGGCAGAGACTAATCACTCTATATAAGTCTAATAGCTACCATGACCTTTTGAAAATATAGTTAACTGTAATCGAATATTCTACATTCTTGAAATAACAGATGGTACTTCAGTTACATGAATTTCCAAGAAGACAAATCCCAAAATGCTTATTGATAACATATGGCTCCAGATGCATTCTATTAAAGGTTCTTGAGAAGATTTTAATAGGTGTTTTAAACTGGCTCTACTCATAAAATGATAATAACCACAATTTAACGAGGGCTATTTTCCTACTATTGAACTTGATGTGAATTGTGTTCAATTTAGACAGTGTTATATATTTATGGAGCTTTTTAAATGAATGAAGCCCCAAATCTATTTAAGATATGTACTATATAAAACATTCCTTAAAACACTCAAAAGTTTAGTCATTCAGCTCTAAAGTATATTCTCTTTTAAAACATCTTGGAAGTCTGCATTTGGTGTGAATGTTGATGCTTTCACAGAATAGAGCATTAAAGCAATATTTTCATCGTTCAAAGATAAGTTTTAAATTACTTTCATTAAATGTCTACCCTTTTCTACTAGATGGTGTGCACCATGTGCACATAATATCAGGGTTATTTGATACCAGGCATCAAATTACCTAAAACTAATTGTATTATTGCTCCTGATTAATTAGTCCTTAGGCATGTTTAATTTTGTGATTAACTAGCAAGACTCTCTCAGAGTCCTGGGAGATACAGATAATTATACCACGATATTACACAATAATATACAACCAAATAATAGCAAAAGGCATAAATGAAGATATACCACTCTTCACATTTTTAACCACGAATATGTGACATAATACATAAAACCTCCTATCATGGCTGAGTATTAGAATGTACTTTATTCAGAAAATTTGGAGGCTATACTAAATTTTCTTAGTAACTATATTCAGTTATACCCCCATATATGGTCAAATTATGTGTAGATAAGCATATTTAACATGTACATGTAAGTTACTGTTTAAATAAAGAGTGAACTTAAAATTCCTATTTATCATGTAATCTGTTTCAAAAATAGTACAATGGAATTATCTGCTTTCTCATGAAACGGCTTTTGTACTTTTAATTAAGGAATTTGACTATCCAATTAGAACATCTATTAAGTGATGAAGACAAGCTATGGACTGTTTACTCTTATTTATACTGGACCTTAACCAGAATAAAAAGTGTGTAATGTAGCCTAGTGGATGGAGACAGAGAGAACAGGAAAAGCAGACAGTGGACCCTATAGCCTGTTCCAAACCAATTTAATGTCAGAGAGGATACGAATTCACATTAGTTAAACTTAGCTGGAATTACTCTGTCCCTATTCCATTAAGATATACTCTCCATTTTGTATATTAAGAAAACTTCAACAACCTTAAGGATTTATGCCAGAACAATGAAGAAACATTAAGTATGGCCATTGTTCACAATAATTAGATTTTTTCAAAGAGCATTAGGTATGGTTAAAAAAACAGAACAACACTAGAGGACAGAGAGTAAAAAGCAAGTTTGTTGTTTTTTTAAACTCATTTCTAACGTCCTTCCAGAGATAGTCCGCACATTTTTGTAGACATACTCAAGGATACGTGAATATATAAGCATGCATATATAGATGGAGATACATTCTGAGAAATGCATCCTTAGGCAATTTCATCATTGTGCGAACATCATAGAGTGAACTTACACAAACCTAGATGGTATAGCCTACTACACACCTCGCCTATATGGTACTGATCTTATGGGACCACCATCATATATGCAGTCCACCATTGACCTAACCGGCATTGTGCAGCACATCACATATACACACAAACATTCACATGTTTATTTTTCATACTGCTCGGCATCTCCCTTTTTACTTAAGAATATATCTTGGAGATTATTTCTTATCAGTCCATATACTAATAGTTTTTTAACTATTAATCCAATTTAAAAAGAAAATTGTCTTAAAATACGGCTGCTCTAATATCCCTAAGCTATAATTGTGTTTATCAGTACCTCTCGTATAAGATAATCATGGTAAAACTATTCTTGCCGTTTTTACTTGACAGAGGCAAGCTTAGCAGAAAAAGAAAATGACACTATATTCTAAAATTAAATACAAAATAAAACAACATAAAATATTGTAGGACTAGAAGAAATCTATCCCCAGTCACAACTTTAATATTGAAAAGCTGATAAAACACATGTCTAGAGAGAATTTAAAAATTCTCTCCACTTGAAAGTAACACTCACCAAAGACATGTTCTTTTCTTGGAATAAAGAATATGTGACGGCCACAGAGTGTGAAAGTGAGCGTGCTTCATCTTTCACCACCGGACTTTTCTGCTGTTCTTGAGGCTTTGTACTTGGAAAGAGGTCTGTCTACAAAATTTTAAATGTAGCACAAATGATCAATAATGCTATCAATATAATGATAGATAGAACATCAGTATGATCATTAAGCATGAGGGGGAAAAAATAGTCTAAGGAGCAGTCAAAAATTCCATTTTTATGAGGACCTCAAAGAGAAGTTTGGTTTTATTTTTACATATTCATTTAAAAGGTAAAAAGGGAATAAGTCTTTAATAAAATATTTGTAATAACAAACATGGCTGTGGAAGTAGAAACTCCTAGTCTCTCCTTTAGCTAATAAGAGGGAATAGAAAACGAGCTATGATGTGGACCACTCTGCCTTTAAATTAGTCCCCTAATCCCCTAGAAGCGAATATTGAATGAATGAATAAACAGAATTAGTATCCAAGTTTAGGTACTACAGCCACAAATTCTGCTAATGTATCAGAAGTATACACATATAGTTTAAAAAGATACATACACACTGTGCTTCTAAACTTGAAGCATTATGCAAATTCTTAAACATGGTTCCTTACGAGACGTTTAAAAGAAAAAAAGGAGGGGACTGAAAAACAAGATTAATTAAGAAATACTAGAATTTTTTTAAAGACTGCAAAAAAGGTAAATACTAAATGATAGTTATGATAGTACTAAATGATGCATGATTCACACAGATATATGAACAGTTTCCCTCCAAAATGCCCACTTTACCTTCCAAAACAAAAGAACCAATACTAAAATTAAAAGAATTAAATCCAACAGAACTTGGCTTATTGTAACCCGCACTGGTCCATTCCTACCCTAAACGAAAGTGAGTCTGTAGATTAGTTCACAGGTCTCTGGGACAACTGCAGGCTGGGGAACAGAGAAGCCAGAAAATACAAGACCTAAGGTCTCCAGGTGGTTTTAAGCACTCCTAGATTTTCAAGGAAGAACATTTTTTATTCAATGAAAATGAGTTATTTCCATCTGAGACCTTAACACTGTGAAAATTGGCCTTAAATTTCTAGGAATGCCTAAAATCAAACTCCAGATTCCTCAGGATTACAGTGTAGTCTATACCTGGAGGCAACAATGGGACAGCCCTACACCAAGGTCTTGGAAATGTGACCACCGTGACTTATGCTGGCAAATTCATAAGGATTTTAGGATTCATGGGACAAAATCATAATATCATCTGTAAATGTGTGACTGAAGCATTTAGAAACATCTAAAACACTCAGCAAAGTAATTAAGGTGAGAGCAATGGTCTCAAGGTGGGCATAGAATGTGATTCTAATAAGCAAAAATCTAATCAAATCATGCTTTATATAGATAAACAGAACAGAGTGGTCAATTACAGAAACATATAAATAGGAAAGGAAGAAGGACAAAAGTAGGCAAGGCCAACCCAAGCAGTGCTCAGATGAGAAGACTTCTTGGCTAACGAGATTTGAATATTATCGTTTTCTTGGCAAGTAGTGCATGAGAATGGCTCAAACTGCTTTTGTTCCTGAGAGACTGCTACTCAAGACACCGTCAGGATTTCCCTCGTACGCCAAGCTTGCTGAACAACTTTCAGATAAGACAACTTCCTTTATATCTTCTTCCTCTAGGGGAGGGAACATACTGGTTGGGTCAAGTGAAACTTTTCCAGTATTCTCACTACAATGAACTCACATTCCAATATTTACACTTACATTTATATATACACACAAATGCATATACATAAACCAAGTTCACAGAGAAAGATAATGCAAATCTACTCCCCAAAACACAACTACTCTGTGACAAGACCTACCAACTTTTTGGATTACAGGGGTGAGGACCGAACCCCTAGCCTAGACCATGGCAAACGCCACAGTGGAGCGGCCAGCTAGGCTTCCCCAGAAAATATGTATTCCATCCTGATGCATGTTTAACTAAAAACTGCAAAACACAGGGGCTGGCCCCGTGGCCGAGTGGTTAAGTTCGCGCGCTCCGCTGCAGGCGGCCCAGTATTTCGTTAGTTCGAATCCTGGGCGCGGACATGGCACTGCTCATCAGACCACGCTGAGGCAGCGTCCCACATGCCACAACTAGAAGAACCCACAACGAAGAATACACAACTATGTACCGGGGGACTTTGGGGAGAAAAAGGAAAAAATAAAATCGTTAAAAAAAAAAAAAAACTGCAAAACACAGCTATTCTGAAGCTTTAAAATAGAAATAGAAACATGTACCGCCTGGCTCTGTTTTATTTAGGGGTGGTGTATGCTCAGAACATCAAATCCCCACCTCTAGGGTTATTTGATTGGAGTTATCTTTTGCGTTGATGTGAGAGTATAGCTCTGATATGCTTCCATATGCAAAGTGAAATCCCAAAAAGGTTTGGAAAACACCTGATTGCCTTGGGTGAGATAATTCAAATTCTAAAATTAGGCAGCATATATATGACATGGAAAAAGTCAAACAGAAACATTTATAGTTCTCACCAAAGCAGTAAACCAATATTCAACTAATATAATTTTTGATTAAAATCCATAAATGACAGGATATGGAAACAAAAATAAATTTCTTTCCCAAAGAAGAGTTCATAAATATTTTTTCTCATACATCTATACATACTATAATGGACCACAAAGATAAACAATCTTATCAAAATAACACCAATATTATTCATCAAGGGACGGGGCTCCTCTTTAACTTTTTTAATTAGTTTGTTACAGTTCTCATTATGACTACAGTGTGCTGTTTTAATCTACCTTTTAAGTGTGATTAGAAAAATAGTTGTCTATCTCTTTTAAGGCTTTTCTAAGTAGCTGCCAACTATGAATTAATCTTTGGAGGGGGGTGGACATTTTAAAAAATTATAATTTTCATAAAATGTATTTCTATAAAATGATTTTAAAATGCTTTTCCTAAATGGCTATCTTTTTTTTTTCTCCCCAAAGCCCCAGTACATAGTTGTATATCCTAGTTGTAAGTCTTCCAGTTCTTCTATGTGGCATGCTGCCACAGCATGGCTTGATGAGCAGTGTGTAGGTCCACGCCCAGGATCCAAAACATCGAACTGCAGGCTGCTGAAGCGGAACGTGCAAACTTAACCACTCGGCCACAGGGTTGGCCCTGAAACAGCCATATTAATGGGTTTAATATTCATGTTCTCATATTTGTAATTTTTGATTTGTACTATGACAGTATTTAACTTTTACTTCAAAATTTTAAGTAACTATATTAAAAGCTCAATGAAACTACTGAATAACAGAACTGTCTTCATTTATTAATTTTTTTTTTTAGTAAATAGTTTGAATTTGCAGAATAGTTCAGGTGTAATACCTAACCACAGAAATTAGCAGTCATTTTCTCTATCCAGGAGGTTGAAAAGATTTCATATCCATTATTTGGAGCATTTATCTTTTGCCCTCCTTCAATTTCCTCTCTTGAAGTGGGGTTGGGCAGGATAATTCTTTCATTATTAAATAATACTATTAATTCATGAAAGAAGATACTACCATCAAGAGTCCAAAGAGAGGAAACTTAGTCAATTAACACTGGTTAAGTATGGTATTCTTTATCAAATTGTTAAGAAATTATAACTTTGTTTTTAAAATATCCAATATGAAACATAAGAAATTTTCACATGATGTCTGGCATAAAAGTATGAAAAGAAAATTTAAAGTTGCCAAAGATATTCTACATCAAAAGAGGGAAATGCTACATACAAAAAGCAGAAGAGTTTTCTACTGAGAGTTAGAGAATGACTTTTCTAAAGTGGGATGGGTCTGTTCACAGCTTACAGAAGGTTCTCAGAAATAAAAACAATACCGCCTTGTATATTTTTAACTCTTCCAACTTTGTATACACATCCCCTATCTTTTATCTTTCTGATTTATCTGTTGTTTCTTTGATATGGGGAAGGACATTTTCATTGTGTGAGGGAGGAAATGGAGACCCAAAGATGTTACAGAACATGTTCGGGTTCACCGTGTCAACTATGGCAGAATCAAAATCCTGATCCCTGACTCCGAGTCCAGCGGTCTCTCTACCACTTCACCCTGCCTTACCCTCTGTGCTGGAGTACACAGGACAGTGCAGTCTGCCTGTGGAGCTGAAGAAGCAAATCCAAACAATCCTTGTAGAAATGGTCATTTATGGTGGAGCAAGAAGTAATAAAAGGATATGAAGAAAACACTCTTGAGACTGAAGAGAATAACATGGAATCTACTTAACATCAAATGGTAGCATGAGTGGAAGGGCTAAGGTAATTAGGGAATACGACAAACAACGAGAAAAACAAAGTGGCTGGGCTTCCTTATCAACTAACAGCAAGGATAACTTTGCAGCTTTAACTTTTACCTACATTTGAAAGTAAAAGTTAGAATTTATCAGCCTAAAATACAGTACTCACTCAAATTTAAAAACGAAACCTCTCAACAAAACAGGAAAAAATAGTAATAGAAATAAAAATGGACAACTACTTCATTATCATCTTAAGAGCTATGTAACTAACGTGTTTTTATAACTGATTTGCTGCAGAAACAATCTGAATTCATTTTCTAAGTGTCTGGTGTGGAAATGAAAATAAAGGCAAAAAATGTTGCTTTTGGAGGGTGTTTTGAAATGGTCAAAAAATGCGTGTATTCTCTCAAAGTTCCTGCAAACCATAGTATTTTACCTGAATACTATTTGTTTGACTGAAATGTTTGATGACTTCCAACAGAGGGGCCAACATAGTAGCTTTGCCTTCAGAAACACCGTCGATCCTTTTCACATTTTCAACCGTAGTAGGTCTGTCATAGAAAAAAAGGGGCAAGAAAGCACTGAAATACTATCGCTCCAGCAACACAGCTGACATTCGTCTTCATACTGATGCTCAATAAACGTATATTTTTTCCAACAACCAAAAACAATGCATAATACAGCTAATCCTGTTTTATAATGTTTTCCTTTGCTTTCCACTCTTTAAAGATTTGCTGTTTTAGTAATCTGTGAATAAAAATACCACCACCCCAAAAACACAGTACTAACTGGAAAACAGGCCGTAATCATAAAGAAACAGGCTAACACCTCATGTTTTACTCTATTATTGATCTCATTTTTATAGATATGAAAAGAAAAACTATGAGGCTCTAACTGAGGACAACTAAGAGCCTAAGAAACTCTCAGAATAAAGTCTCATTCATTATTTACAAAGTGTTTACCTGTTACAGTAAACCTGCTAACTACTTTAGGCTTTTAATGCAGTATTTCTTACTGTGTCCAATATCCAAAAGGCTGTATGATGTCTTCTTCTAAAATAGCTGCCCATGTAATGATTACTCCTTTTCTTTTAAATATCTTCTCTGAATATTTAAGTGTGGTCTTAGAATATTTATTTTTCAATGAAACAGTTATTGTAAGATATAAGCACTATGTAGTATCATTAGAAAATTCTGCAGTAAAGTAACATCTCTCAGATGAAATTTAGTGACAGAAACAATTTTTTAAAAGGAAGCATAAAAGAAGAATACAATTACCAGGCAACTATTCTTTGGAATAATTCCTTCTAAATATTTATTGACCACCTAGAATTGACAGGTTGCTGTGCTCGGTGCTTTGGAAGATACAAAGAGGTGAGAAACATACTATCTTTATTCACAGAGTTCAAAATCTAGAAGATATAACACATGTACATGAATAATAACGAAAACATAAATAAAGCATGTGTGGAAATGCCATAGACGCATTTGTAGAATTTTCATTTGAAAGTCCTTCATAAATTCCAGAGAGGAATTACTTTGCTGATAAGAACATGGAAGACTTCAGGGAGAAAACAATCATAAAGCTAGATCTTGAAGGATTTCTTAACAGGAGTTTTGAGGAATTGAGGAAACTATAAGGCAGAAACAACACTGTAAATAAGCATACGGAAAGTGCAAAAGGGTCTTTAACAAATGGTAAACAATCTAGGTAAGATAAGCCATTCAAGATCCCGGGACTTAGATGGAAAAGTAGGTTTAAGTCCACAAACGGAGGGCCTTGAAGTGGAAGCTAAAGAAGCTACACAGTGGGAAACTAGTTAAGCAGAAGTACACGATGTAGGAAGATTAATTTGGTGCTCACATATCAGATGAGACAGAGAGAGACGGAGGAAAGAGTGACTGGTTGAGAGGCTTTTGCAATACTCCAAGGGTAATGGTCTGAACTAAATGGTGTCACTAAAAAGAGGGAGGATGGCATAGGCAGACACACATGAAATATTTAAATAAAAAACCTAAAAACTATTTAAATAAGAGGAAGAAGGGGATATATGTTAGAGGAGTGAAAATGATATCAGGGGTTTTAAACATGCATGACTGAGAACAAAAATAAGAAACTCAGAAAGAAGAGTTTTAGTGTTTGCACGAAACGCATGTAGGGAGGGCTGGATAACGAGTTAGATTTTATATATCCCGGATCTGACTGCTGACAACAGCTGGTTTTCATTCATGTGGAAACGTGGGACTAAAGCTCACCGAAGAGATCACTTCCAGCAGCCTGGGAGATCTGCGAGTCCCCTCACATGCGACAGTTGACGCCATAGGCTTATTATCACAATGATATATTTTACAAACCTATTATGTTAGAAGAAAATAAGCTAGAACATATACAAATAGATGGTTTACCTCATTTTGGCCATATCCAACAGTATCTTATTTGTTGCCAGGATAGCTGGAGGAACGTCCATGTTATGGGCACGTTTCTGCCTAGCTTCTACCAATTCACCGTATAACAGAGTCTGAACAAAAAAACAAAGAAACAACTCAATATTTTTTAAACGTACTTAGAAAAATCCAGTCCTTTATTTTTAGAGCTTCAGACATTACATTTTTCCCTTAGGATGAAAATAAACTGAACTTTATCTCGGAGTCTTAGCTAAAGAACAATTTTTAAAATACTGGCAACAGAATTGAAGCATGCATAGAATTATAACCATCCTCTCAGAAACTGTCTTTTTACAAAAGCCATACCTGAGACTCTTGCTCTTGAGCTGAAATAACAGGTTCTGAGGACTTGTAAGATTTTCTTGGTGATTCCAACATGACGCTAAAATATTTAAAAGAAAATAAATAATAAAGGCTTTTCTTTCCCCTAGTTCACCTTTATTTCACCCTCAGAACAAGAATATCTTTCCAAGTCAACACTAACATTTATTCTTTGAAGTCCCAGCAAGGCAATTTGTTACTTAAATGACAGCCTAGATTTTAAACATTCTGGATCAAACAAATTCATTATAATGGTAAAGTTAAAACTGTAATTTGAGTTTATCACAAAATTGGCATACTTAAGAAGGGTATTTGCCCCATCCTCATCCTCAACCAAATGCTTTGAAAGAAAATATTCCTTATATATACTGAAGATAGCTTTCTTAACCAAAAGGAATACACTCTATGATTCTTAATGTGATATCACTAGTTTTTGGTTGGTGAGGAACATTAGCATGGGATTAACCAAATTATTCACAATTTTCTTCAAAATCAAAGAAAAATAAGCCAAAAGGAGTAATTTCACATTTTGAAAGACAAAAAACACCTAACTGGCAAACAACATGGTATGAAAGGTGCCAGGTATCAAACTACATAGAAAACCAATTTCTACAGAGGCATGTTCATGGATAAATAATTATAAATAGAAAAAGTCATGAAAATGAAATTGCATAAAATAGCCTATAAAAGATGACTAATTTAAATAAATTCCTGCTTTTTTTTAGGGAGAAAGGGGGAGAACATGCTTGATATTTAAGAAATGTTTATAAATTTCTCTGTTGCAAGAATTCAAAATCTATAGTGTAAAGTAAGATTTTGTTTTCACCATTACCAAATCCGTTCACCAAAATAAATAGATTTGAACCAGGGGAAAGATAACTCCAGTTCAAAGAATTAGTAACACCAGGTTACTCAAGACAATTATACATTTGTTTTAAGTCGTATAATTAAATTAACCTTCATGTTAGTATTTACGGAAATCTTTATACTAATGTACAATTTACAAAATGGTATTTTAAATTATTTCACAGACAAATTTTGTTATCATATATACTGGCAAAATTCTGGGTAACACATCCCTGAATCAGAAATATATGTGGAAAACATTTAATAGAAAATGTTTTGCCTATGAATGCTATTAAAAGTGCACAGAAGAAAAGCTCAAAATAACTACGATGAATATCATCAAAGAGATAAGTGGAGGTAGTATATCCATGAAACAAGAAAAGATTGCCACATGTTACTAAAGAAACAAAAGAGAATGAGAAAGAGTTCTCAGAAATTAAAAATTTGAACACTAAAATTAAAATTTCACTAAATGGGAGGGGATATAAAGTCAAGGAACTCTCCAAGAGAGAAAACAAGCAAAAAGAGATTAAAAATAGGAGAAAATAAAAATTAGTAATAGGCACACTAAAAAACCAAGAAAAGGAAAAAAAAAGACAGAAAATAGGAGAAAAGAAAAATTATTACAGGAACACTAAAAACCAAGCACAGAAAACAAAAAGACAATTATTAACACCAGGTAAAATTAAGGTAGTGGTGGCCATGATAACACAGTTTGGCTTAGCAGCATATAATATTTGATATTAATAATGTAAAAGGAAATTATTAATATGACCAAACTTGAAATATAATTATGTTGAGGTGGAGGGACTGAAAGACGGGAAAAGAGGGGAGGCCATATGGGAGATAAGCCCTAATCTACCATGATAAGGCATAAACAGAAAATTTCTAAAACTGTTATGTCAAAAAACAGTAATCCAAACATGTCCCTTAGAAATATGAAGGCAAATATCAGAGAAACCAGCTGGAAGGTTTGAGGGTGACTGCTTCTACAGAACAGAACAAAGTGTATTTGGGAAGGGTGTGGACTGGTGTGCTTTGTTATAAGCCTTTAAGTACCAATTGACTTCTTAAACCACGTACACGTATTATTTTAATGAAAACTCAAATGAATTTTAAAATAAGTTATTGATATGTAAGCATCCTTCTCATTTCTGTACGCTAAGCTCATATAGTAAAGTTAACTCCTGGAGCACTCCACAGGTATTTCAAACTCAGTATGTGTATCATTAAACTCCTAATTTTAACCTCATCCCCTGAACATCCAACCTCTCAAATTTGTCTTCCTCTTATGTTGCCTAATGAAGGGCATGACAGTATGCTCACCCGCAATCAACAACAGAAACCTAAGAGTCAGCTTCAAATCTTCCATTTCCCTTAACCCACCTATCTTTTTAACCACCAATTCCTAACAATTCTATCTCCTAAATATGTTACAAATCTATTTCTTTCCACGCCCACTGCAACTTCTCTTGTCTAAGCCACCATCATCTCTTGCAAATACTACCACAATAGCCTCCTTATTTATGTCTCTACAACTCTGATCCTCCTACAATCCATTCCCTCCATAGCAGAGTCATCAATCAAAGGTTGGCACCCTAGGGTGCATGGGCCAAATCCATCTGTTCTGGTAAGGACTGTAAGCCAAGACTGGCTTTTTACATTTTTTAACAGTTAAAAAAAAAATCAAAAGAAGAACATTTTGTGACATGTGAAAATTATATGAAATTCAAATTTCAGTGTCCATAAATAAAGCTTTATTGGAACATAGCCACACTCATTCGTTTATATACCATCTACGCTGCTTTGAGGCTATAAGGGCAAAGTTGAGTAGTTGAGACAAAGACCACATGGCCCTCAAAACCTAAAATATTTACTACCTGATCCTTTACAGAAAATGTTTGTCAACCTCTGTTCTCAATCATAAACTTGATCATGTCACTGTTCTGCTTAAAACCCTTCCTTAGCTCCTAACTGCCTTCATGATCAAGCCGAGTGTTTGAAAGGAACTTGATATTCTGGTCCCCGTTTAATTCTCTCGTCTTAAATTTTACCACTTTTTTGCCTCCTTGTACCAGGTAATCTCCAGTCACACTACTGAGTTCCTCTATCATATCAGACATTCTCTTGCCTTCAGGTTTCAGTATGTGGTCCATTCCTCTGCTTAGAAAACTCCCCTCACTTCATCTGACTAACTTCTACTTAAGCTTCAAGTGTCACTTCCAGGAAGCCTTCTAAAGCCTCTATGTGTTTCCAAAGTGTGATATCACTGGATGGTAATTTTATGTTCCCTTATTTCTATATCCCACTAGAGCATAAACTCTCGGAGGGCCAGTGACTATGTCTCTATTATTCTCCACTGAATCTCAACGCCTAGACTAGGACCTGGCACAAAGAGGACGCCCAGTAAAAACACAGAAAAGTTTAAATGAAGAAATGCTCCAGCATATTGAATGGATATATTGTTTTGTACACTCTTTAAACTCTTTGTTTACCTAAAACATAGTAATCAGACACCACATACCCGAACAAAAAGAAATTGTTTTGGGTGGGAGACATATTGTGATCAACGTTTTTGTTGGATCCAAAGTAGTATTACCTATCTAAATAATAAAACCATTAGAAAGTGAATAACAGTATTAGAGCACACTCATTTCCTTTCATCTGATATGTATGTAAACACAGTCACTTACTCTGTCTACAGGCCCTGACAAGTTTTTCAAATTCTCCGTCTTCAGACCTTCCGTAATTCTATACATTCGCCACACTTTTATTAAGTCAGCAAGTCAAATATTAAGCTTAAAAGTACAATAGGTGCATTACCTTTATCCTTACCAACTCTACTATCCACCATTTTATGATGCCATAAAATCTTTTCTTAAAAAGAATGGGGTGGGAATATATATTTCATACAAAGATAATTAGTGTTTAGATGGTAGAGGTTGACAATTATAAACCTGAAACCTAGCTCTGCCATTAACCACATGCTCTTGAAGAAGTTAGTTAACTTCTTAACCTTTGGTATCTTCAACTGTAAAATGGGGATAAATAATAGTAGCTAACTCATATGTTGTTGTAAGAATTAAATGAGATATTACATATAAAATGCTTAGTATTTAGCATAGAGCCTGGCAAACAATAATACCCAAAAAGTGTTAACTATTAAATTAATGTTAATACTATCATTTTATAGGCCTGCTGTAATAATTACAACACTGGAGGCTTATGCTTTAACTTCTTCTGCCAGTGAAATAGGCTTAAAAGAATCAAAATAAGTTACTTTCTCAAGTACTTCTAACTGTGCTATTAACCTCAGAAATCATATATCACATATTTTATTCTGTTCATGTCACATCTCCTTCCAAATTTTACGTTTTGTTATATATGGCATTTTCCTCTTTATTAGGAGGGAAATTAAAATATGACAGACCTTTATCTTTAGGAAAGAAAGGAAAAAAGTGCTGATAAAGTATACATAGAAAAGAAAAATTTTGAACTTTGTACCTTTTTTTAGGAATGTTACTCCCAGAAGAAATTTTATCAAATGCTTTATAAGAATACATCTTCTCCAAGTTAGCCTGCTTTTAAACATACAAAGATCCGTTATAAGAAAATTAGAAGTTTCAAAAAACTTTTTTATATGAAGAAAATAAAATACAAAATATCACGAAGACAATTTTTCCTCTGACTAACCAAGTCATCAAACAAATCACCTGAAAATAGGCTCTTGAATTATCAGCTTCTAGGGTTCTAAAGGCAGTTAGAAATGCAACACAACGTCCCATTGCCCCCAGATCTATAGAGAATATGTGATCAAAAGAATTCTTTGAGACACAGCAAGAGCCAAAGTTACAAAAATGATTCCATTACATTCTGCACACTTGAAGAAAGCAGAGAAAGTTCACTAGAAAATTTAATTCAGCATATTTGTCTAATACCCCAGTGTTCTAATTAGCTGAAGTCTGCCTATGGGTAAGTATTTAATCTGTAATACTTACCTAAGATCTAAAACCACAGCAAGGAAGTATGTGTGTATGTGCTTGTCCATGTATGTGTGTATAATTTTAATGAGAACATTTAGGAATCAGGAATACTTTTCCATACTCTACGTATCACAATATGTAAAAAAAAAAAAAAAAAAAGCAAGCCAAATGAGCTATAAAATAGGCTTAAAAGAATCAAAATAAGTTACTTTCTCAAGTACTTCTAACTGTGCTATTAACCTCAGAAATCATATATCACATATTTTATTCTGTTCATGTCACATCTCCTTCCAAATTTTACGTTTTGTTATATATGGCATTTTCCTCTTTATTAGGAGGGAAATTAAAATATAAAATTCTAAAATAAGAATTGTATCAATAAAGAATGAAATAAATAAAAACCATCTCTCTAATAAAAACAAACCTTATTCTCTGCAGTTAATTCAGTTGGTACTTGACTAGAGGAATGCTGTCCAGTGTCTGAAGATACAGTTTTAGAACTGAAAAATATCAAAATTAAATTATCTCAAATATTCAAATGTAATTAACACACGAATCATTCTATCTCCACTCTTAGAAAGGCAGATAAGATTACATTACTCTTTTAGAACTGATGATTCTTAAAATTGGGGTGTTTTTTTTTTTTCCAGAAAAAGCTCTGGAAAGTTCAAATTTAAAAGAAAAACTGGGGGCCGGCCCAGTGGCGCAGCAGCTAAGTTCATACATTCTGCTTTGGCGGCCCAGGATTTGCCGGTTTGGATCCCAGGTGTGGACCTGCTCACCACTTGTCAAGTCATGCCTTGCCAGGCGACCCACATATAAAGTAGAGGAAGATGGGCACAGATGTTAGCTCAGGGCCAGTCTCCCTCAGCAAAAAGAGGAGGATTAGCAGTAGATGTTAGCTGCCAACCTTCCTCAAAAGAAAAAAAGAAAGAAAAACTGATAATCTAATGTAATCTAATGCACAACCTAGTGATTACAGAAAACAATACTCCATCATAAACTTAAAACTTGCTAAGAGACTAGATCTTAATTATTCTCAACACAGAAAAGAAAAAACAATTATGTGATGTGATAGACGTGTTGGCTAACACTACTATAGCAACCATATTGCAATATACAAATGCATCAAAGCAACATGTACACTTCAAACTTACACAAAGTTATATGTCAATTATATCTCGATTTAAAAAAAGAAAAAAATTGATAAATGATTGATAACATGTAAAAGTACTAAAGAGTAGGCAACAAGTGTATTCTGTTCCCACCTTCGGCACACAGAAGGAAACACGGTATATGGATCCTTCAACATTGATCTCAATGCTGCTCCTTGAATCAATGAGAAAGCAGCTTTCTAAATACTATACTCAACTACTTCCTACTAACCAAGAAAGTCTTCTCTGATTTATCTTTCTCCCACTGACCCACACTCCTAAACTGACTAAAGGAGGTATACAAAAACAAAATCTTTACTCATTTTACCTGTATGGCACCTGTAAATTGGTATAATTTGAATCACTTAAACAACAAAAAACCCAGAAGTTTAAAAAAAAACTGAAAAATGAACCTCGGTAGAAGAAACCTCCTTGGACGCAGCTCTTCATTAGCTTCAAGGATTAGCCTCTGAGGGGATCCTCTTTTGGCTTTATCAAGCCAATTTCTACCCTATCGAAGGCAAGAAGAATCTCTTAACGCATAGCAAGAAAAATTAAATCCAATAGGTAGACTTCCACATCACTTACCTTTTTTGTAAGGGTGCAAATCTTTATAAACTTTTCTTTCCCAGGCACTTCGACCAAGAATCCCTCAGTTATGAGCTGACGGGAAAGAGCCCTCCACCACGCCCTTGTTTGGTCCTTGCCAGTGCCAAAGAAACTGTGACTGCGATATTTATCTGCGAGACGCTTGGAATTCTGAAATTAGGAATAAAATCATTATCTAAAAATGCTTATTTAATTAAACAGGTAAGTAAAACACAAAACCATCTACTGATTCTTTGGATTTAACACTAAATTTCAGCTTTAAAAACCTACAAAATTTTTATACCCATCCTGCTTGCTCTGATTACTTGACACAAATAAATATATAACCAAAATAGTGCTCCTTTTGTGTTTTAAATAATGACAGGAAATTCACATATAATTCACATGTATTTCCCAATGTAGAGTCTGGATATGTTTGGAATAGTTAACCTCCGCTATTTAGACCTTTTACTAACATACCCACATCATTGCTAGAAAACAGTGATCATAATCTACAGCTGGAGACTAGAAGCACGGGTGGTAAAAGGCAGTGTGACCTGAGAGCTAGAAATCAGGGAGTGCAGTGCAACGACCCGCGATTTCCACTGCATGGCTGTTTTCACTGTGCCTTGTTCATACAGCACCGCAAAGTTTACTTCACCGCTTCTGATTTAGCGGCTTCACTGAGATATAGCAGGAAAGCCAGGCGCATGCTAAACAGTTGATGCTTTTGAGGTATATTTTCCTAAGTGAAGAGAGGATTCATACCAGAGACTTCATAGCCATCGAGTTCTAGAAATGTTGGGGAAGCTAGTCTGCCACACGCGATTCTCTCATCCGCTAACAGAGACATCTCTCCCCACCTTCACTCTCTATAAAGTACTTTTCCATTCACTTGGTCCTCTTACTACTTCTTTCCTTCATCCTACGCACTTAAATACTACTTTCAAATGTATGTATGTAGTAGTATATGAACACAGGGCTTTATGGAAAATTGTTCCTGTCTAATGTATTTGTGGTGAACACTGTAGACTGTAATTTCAGGGTCATTCTAACCTTCATCCTCTGTGACTTCTTCTACCAGAGAATCTGGAAAGTTACAAACCCTATTTGTCAAACTTCCTTTCAGCTGGGTTCTGAATATGATTTAAGTCTCACTAGTCAGAAGCATTTTTTACATGACATCTATAAGAAGAAAGTGGTATTTTTGCAGATACACTTGACTGTGGAGGTGTTTTCTTTTCAGGAGAAAGTGTTAGCAAAGAATCTGGCATAAAACTCCTAGTTCCTAAGTATCAAGAGGCATCATCCACTTTGCTGAGAGAGATTAGAGAAGGCGCGGGGTGGTTCCCAGAGCAAGCAGAAGCAGAACTTCCTGATTGTTACAGCCCTTATTCAGCGCAGCTGGGGGTGGATGCTGTAGTGGCAGCTTCCCAAATGACAGACAGCTTCTTGATGACGGAAGAGGCCGCGGCTCCATGGTGGCCTACTTTGTAGTATCATCTCATCAACAATACTATAAGCTATTTAATACTCAGTAATAAATACCTTTCTGTTTCAATTAGCTAGAGTAATTATGAGCTTTCTAATATAACTGCTGTATTTTAGGCTATATTAATGTTTCAAAAACATTCATCTCTTGAATATGGCAAGCAGTTACTGTATTCTAAAAATTTCAATATAAAATGAAATCTAAAATATCAGAAACAGGCACAGCCTGTAATTTAACCTTTTTTATATTTCGTCTATACCCTAATGAAGGCTTAACAATCAATGCATATAAAAATCCAGAGATCAAAATCAAAAGAATATACAGGATGAGTTCCAGCAGACGTAACTCAGGCACTGTACGCTCTCTATCATGAACCTATTGGTTTTATTGAACTGATGAGAATGTTATGGTTACAAGTTTCTCTTTTGGGAATGTTAAAAATGTGAATACAAGTGAAATAGCCTAAATATGGCCGATCCCTCACACAAAGGAATCTAGGATGAAATTAGAATAAATTAGGATACATTGCCATCAGAGACACATCAGTGCCTAGATACTTGGCTTAAAACGAGGCTGCTGATAGGTTTAGTTAACAGAGTTTGTAACATTCTATTAAATCTTAAAAATAGAGTCCTTTTCACTAAAATAGCTAAGTAATGAGCTTTAGTATCATGATGATTATATTTACAAAAATTTTATTAGAACAAGACTTAGAGAAATAGAAACACCCAGATATAATGTGGTACCTTTTTCCTTGTTAACAAACCCAGCCTAGGCTATCAACTTTGGGTCGATTTGAGAAGAATGTTTAAAATCAAACATCATAGAATTTCAGAGCTGGAAGGAAAATTGGAGCTCCTTGATCTACTTAGCAACTTTTTATCATATTGCTAATAAATAACCAGAGACTCAAGATATTATGTGGTATGCTAAGGTCCTTGAGCTAGGACTAGAACACAGGCCTCAGACTACTAGTTCTAATTTTTTATTACTATACCATGCACACACACACACGTGCATGCAGGCACACACAGACGCCGATATACTTGCAGATATACACACATACACATATATATTGACTGCAGGCTCTCAAGTTAGATTACCTGGGTTCAAGTCACAGTTCTGGTACTTACTAGCTTTTTGACTCTGGACAAGTTATGTATCTGTGCTTCTATTTCCTCAGCTGCTATACAAGCATAATAATAGTTTCTATCTCTTGGTGATGGTGTAAAGACTGAGTAACCAGGGCAGAGCCTGGCTCAATAACATTAACTCTTTTTTGGGCTGGCCCAGTGGCACAGCAGTAAAGTTCGTGAGCTCTGCTTCAGAGGCCCGGGATTCACCAGTTTGCATCCCAGGCATTGACCTATGTATAGCTTATCAAGCCATGCTGTGGCAGGTGTCCCACATATAAAGTAGAGGAAGATGGGCACAGATGTTAGCTCAGGGCTAATCTTCCTCAGCAAAAAAAAAAAAAGAGAGAGAGAGAGAGAGAAGGATTGGCAGCAGATATCAGCTCAGGGCTAATCTTCCTCAAAAAAAAATTAACTTTCTTTTTTTTAGTTAACAGCTGATCCTTTAACTCAACCTGAATTTCTTAAGCTAAAAGCAAAACCATGACTTAGTATCTAGTCAGTTTTCCTTGGAACACTCGTAATGGCACTCTACATCAGCTAGGGGCTTACCTTTGTAGTAGGAGAGTCTATTACTTGTAAACTACTAATACCAAAGGTATTAAATTGCCTATCTAGTACTTACTAGCAATCTGAATATGAAAAATTATTCCTCTAGCCTTGCCTTTCATAAGCAGAAAAAACCCTGAAGTGAATGAACACATTTACTAGAATGATGCAATGAGATTTTTTCTAAGCAGCAGGGAGGAATTGTTCCTTCCCCTCAGGATCAATCATCTTTGTGAATACTGTATACCATGTGAATAAATTTACATTGTCTTGTTTCCATGGCAATCACCATGCACAGAATGAAATATCTCTGTTCTTTGATATAGAGCACTTTTGTTTTAAAGGAATCACATTCCCTTTTCAACAAGAAATCCAAACTAACCAAGCAACATTTTTTAAAAAACAGAATACAATAAGGATTTTCAACAACAAATGTGTCACTCTGAGCAAGGCATCCTCCATTAACTGCTTAAGTGTTCCAGTTAACTGAATTTTCCAGGTTAACCCACTGATGGAGTACAAGTGACTAGGATGAGAAACCTAGAGAGGATACAGGAATGTGGACATTGGTTTTAAGGAGGGCACAGTTTTACACACAATCTCTTACCAATCACGAATCTGCATTCTAGCATCTCTCTATCATGCAACCTAAAAATACGAATTTATGAATTTAAAACTGCATGTGAACAGCACAATAAATAGAAAAAGCACTAGAATAGTTGTCAGGAAAGCTTCCTGCTTATGCTGATTCTGGCACAAAGTGATTGGTAAGCTGAATTAGATGAGACTTATCATCACGGAAGGTGTTAGGTGTTACGCAGGAGGAAATAAGTATAGTGTAGCATAGAAAGAGATAAGGGGCATATGAATAGATACAAAGTATTATTGAAGTTCTGAAGAGAGAGTGCTTGTTAATAGCTGGGGAATTAGAGAAGTCTTTGTGAAGTTATCACTAGAGCTTTCTAGTGTGGGAGATGTGGTCGATTTTGGCATTCAGAGATGGAATGAGAGAAGAAGGGTGGAGGGGAATGTGGCACTCCCAGTAGAAGGAATTCCCACAAAAAGCAATTATGATTTTTAAAGATAAGTTAATTCAGAGAAGTGGCAAGTTTGTTTGTTTCCTCTATCAGACAGTGCTGCAAAGATTGTGCTTTTATCAGAAAGTGACACTTTGGGTCATGTACTCTAGCCAGTCAGCTCCCTTTACTCTAATACTCTAATACTAATACCATCAATTAGTAGGTTTCCATATTCCTTAATATGTCATTTTGGTGTCCCTTATTTTTCCAAGCTGACTTTTAAAGGAAAAGAATGAGATAATTTCCCTTGTTGAGTGTATCCCATAGAAGTAAGGACTCTTAGAGAAAAAAGACTATTTAACCCTTCCACCTTATTTTACAGCGGCTGACACTGAGTCCCAGCAAGTTAAATGACCCGCCCTATGTTCTTAAAGTACAAAATGAACTATTTTCATTTTAGTTAGTTAGTTTAATTAAATTAGTTAAAATGTAAACAGCTTGTTTTGGGTTTTTTTTCTTTTAACTCTTTCCCAGTTCCTACAGGCCAAAGAAGCTCACAGCTACCACTTTCAGGGCTTAAGAAAGTCATTGCTTGGCGCTGACCCCGAGGCCTAGTGGTTAAGTTCCACATGCTCTGCTTCAGCAGCCCAGGTATGTGGCTTTGGATCCCATGTGCAGACCTACACCACTCATCAGCCATGCTGTGACAGCAACCCACATACAAAATAGAGGAAAACTGACATGGGATGTTAGCTCAGGGCTTATCTTCCTCAAGCTAAAAAAGCAGAAGACTGGCAACAGATGTTAGCTCACGGTGAATCTTCCTCAGCAAAAAAAAAGGGTCATTGCTGGAGCTGTTATTCCATGTGCAAAATAAAACCAAAAGATAAAGTAACAATAATTATCTCTGGGAATATATTTCAATCAGTTAAAACAGCTTATCCAGAAAATTAAATGGATAACCCTTTTCTCTTAGTTTGAAAATTATAAAGGATGATTAAAACTTCCAATAGTTTTCCAATGGCTGCCTATAGTCAAAGCATCTTTTATCAAAAGTGTTATCTAATTCTGGAGCCATGATAAGGTTTAGCACTTTGATAATGTGATCAACAAAGAGGCTTCACTTAATCTCCTGGTTATGCAAATTAATGAACTGTGTTTCTGTTTTCTAATCTATAAAATTAAGATAATTGTGTACCTTATCGAGTATTCACACAAGGTGTTTAAAGATATTTATGTGGTGAGCTGTTTAGACAGCTAAAACAAAGCTTCTTAGGCAACATTTCTACTATTTAATTTCCAACTAAACTTGCGCTTTAAAAACAAAATTTTAAACTCCATTCACAAATACCTGGATGGGCTGCATAATCGTTTATACTACGTAGACAAATCTTGTGTAAGAAAGGTGAATCGTGTGCTGCTGAAATTATACTTGTCATATATATGTACAAATAAACTCCAAGAGTTCACAGTTTAAAACATTTATCATCTTTTAGATCAAAATGATCTACAAAGATATTAATTTTTCCTAAATTAGTTAAGGTGGACGATTTACTAAATTCCCAAAAGAACTGCAATTATAATTTTTAAAACAATATCCCAGTAGATACCAAGATCACTGCAAGGAAGGGAAAAAAAAACTTGCCTTATTTTCACTGTAGTTAATGTCTACAAATTTTCGTTAAGTGGTACTTTTTAAAAAGTTTTACACCTTTACCTAGCAAGGGTAGTATAAAATTTCACAAAGAATAAACTTCTTAATTTGAGGACTCCCAGAAGAGGCTGTCAGTATAAGTGGTGTGACTTGGTTTTCAAATAATAGGTGAAATCTGATCCCTCTAGGAGCCCACATACACTTATTTGTTGATACTGGATACTGCTGGATTGCACTAAATTAAAATAAGAATAATTTTTATAAAGTATACATTCAACGAGATACACAGGTTTTGAAGACAACAGAGACAGAAGAAACTTTCATAGATCTCATTTATATTTAACCTATCCCTTGCAACTTAAATTATTTCTATAAAAAAATAGCAATCATAGCAGCTAAAACCAAGTTCCTTAGGCAACATTATTATTAAATTTCTAATCAAACTTGTGATTTAAAAACAAAATTTTAAACTCCATTCAGAATCTAAAAATACCAGTACCTGAAAAGTTAGCATGTCTCCAACATATTTCATTAAAAATATTTCACAACTTGAATATGTCTCTTTCTAAACAAAAACTCAGAAAATAAATATGTACAAGAAGCATTCGAGTATTTAACAAATCAATGCTTACCTAAATTATTTAAAAAAATTCTACACATAAAGTGAGACTTTTAATCTCTACTTTTAAGTATATTTTTAACAAATATACAAGTATGCAAAGGATTCTATCTCCCACTTTTGATTTATTCAAGTAATATCAATATGCAATGTTTAGTTTTGCTTTATAGACTTCTAAATCAGGAATAAAATCATATAAACAAAAGAACTATAGAAAAAGTTCTTTAACTGTTGACAGTCACGACTTATTCATATTGTACCTACAATTGTTAGCATAATGCTGGCACACTAATTACTCAAAAAAATAGCTTAATTGACTATTTATTTGTTGATAAAGCAGAAAAAAAAAAAAGGGGGGCCTGGAATTTTAAATACTTCTGAGAAGAAACAGAATAGAGGGAAAGAAAAAATATAATACCAAATATTGTTATTGAACTTAGACATTTATAAATAATCACTGAAATCAAAGTTTTGCTCAAAGAACTGACTACTTTCCAGGGCACCGAAACATATAATTTTGTTCTACTTGTCCCTTGACACATGAAAGTTAACTTTTCTTAATTATTCTAAGAAAGACCAGTCTAGGGATTCATCCAACTGAATGTAATAAACTAACAGAATGCTTCCAGGCTGAAATGAAAAGCTGAACATCAGCCTGAAATATGAAAACGGCGGTAGCTGTGATACGCACAGGTTTTGTCAAAAGTAATGAATGCAGTGCTTAACTAGGAACTTAATATGACTCCCAGTTTCTAATAACTCATCTAAAGCCAAAGCCACAATCGTAATACAGCAAAACTCTCAAGAAAAGTGTAACAGGAGGAAAAGAAGAACTATGAAGGTTATTCACAGATATACTTACGGATCCTTGGAGAAATAAAATTGGAACCCCAATTCCAAACTTTTCTCCTAAGATGTTCACAGCAGATAATAGCTGGAGTGCTTGCGGACCGAAGTCCTGGGCTGCATCATCTGAGTCATCAATGAAAAAGCAATGATCCAATCTAAATAAAAATAATATGGAAGAAAGTTTAGCCAAGGCATGTACCTTTAAAAATGAAAAAGTCTAATGTGATAATTAGGCAAGTAAAAAAATATCTTAAATATACCAAGTGCTTCAGAAGCTACAAATAAAGTTCCTTACAGCCAAGAGCTGGTGAAGCATATAAAACATGAAAGATAAACTATAATATAGTATCACAGGTATGTTATATTGACGGTTCTCAACCCTGGTGCCCTTGAACCCAAATTTTATGGGAGGTACCTTGGACCATAAAAGAAGTTAAAGCAAGGAGAGTGCAGGATTACATCTCAAAGGGCTCCACTTACGTTACATAAATATCAAACTTCTGTGTTAGGTTTTGTTGGAAGAAAAAGTTTGTTGCAAAAATAAAAAGAGTTCTTAAATCTCCTATGCAATAAGTTGTTAAGCTCTAATGAGTGTAAAACATGATAGAAAGATCACAAACTTTTCCTTTAAGTCCATTTAGATGTTAAAATCCTAAGCCATCCTTCAGGTAGTTTTAAAATTACCATTAATAAAAGTGAGAATTTTTTAAAGCAAGGTAAGAACAAAAGGACTCCTTAGAGAAAATCAATCAGTACAGTTCAACTACCTAATTTGATTGCTTTCTTTATAATAAATGTCTTTGAAATAGTAATAAGATTATATTCCGTATTCCAGATATAATTACATGTTTGTGGAAAGAAGGACTATGTTTAGGTTTATTCTCCTATTCTAACTTCTTTAGTATGATACTTAGCTCATTAATTTTCTTAGCTACCAAATTCTCAGAAGATACCACCTATGCTGCATCTTACAAGTTTTAATGTATATTATTATAATTATCACTAAGTTCTAACAATGTTTTAATTTCAGGTTTTTTTCCTTTGATGAGTGATTTAAAAGTGCTGTTTTTAATTTCCAAATGAATGAGAATTTTTTGTTTATCCTCTTATTTACTTCTAATTCAATTGCATTCTGGTCAGAAAATGTGCCGTGTTTGATACCAATACACTGAAAACTTTAGAAACATGCTACAGTCTGGTACAGAGGTTCAAAAACTTTTTATAAAGGGCTAGAGAGTAGACAGTTTGGACTTTGTGGGCTTATGGTCTCTGTGTCACAACTACTCGGCTCAATTTTGTAAAAACAGCCAGAGATAATACATAAACTAAAGGGCATGGCTGCATTCCAAGAAAAGTATTGAAAAAAACAGGCAGCAAGTGGCTGGGTCCACGGGCCATGGTTTGCCAACCTCTGTTCTAATACACAGCCAATTTTTGTAAATACTCCATGTATGTTTGAGAAGTGGTCTCTAAAATTCAATTAGCTGAAGGGGGCCGGCCCGGTGGTGCAGCAGTTAAGTTCACACGTTCTGCTTCTCGGTGGCCCGGGATTCGCCAGTTTGGATCCCGGGTGCGGACATGGCACCGCTTGGCACGCCATGCTGTGGTAGGCGTCCCACATATAAAGTAGAGGAAGATGGGCACAGATGTTAGCTAAGGGCCAGGCTTCCTCAGCAAAAGGAGGAGGACTGGCAGTAGTTAGCTCAGGGCCAATCTTCCCCCCCCGCAAAAAAAAAGATTCAATTCGCTGCGTGTGCTATACAGGTACTGTCATAAGCTATGTAGGTCATGAAGTAAAAGTGTTTGAGACACATTGCTCTAACCACCTCATACAAGGTTCTATATACTACGTGTCTGATAAATGAAATTTGTTACCATACTGACCAAATTTTCTACAGCTTACTAATTTTTTGACAGTTTAACCTACTGACAACTAAAAATTATACCAAACTCTTCTATCTTGATGACAGATTTGTTGATTTCTTCAAGTTGTTCTGTCAACTGTGCTTTATAGATTTGTAGGACATTTTTTTTAAGATGCACAGACAATTCTGTCCTCTTGGAAAAGGAACCATTTATCACTGCATAAAGTACATCTCCATCCCTAATAACACTTCCTTTGTATAACAGGAATACAGCTACCACCCTAGGTATATGGTTAGCTCAACTAGGTATATCATTTGTTTCTATTTTTTTAATTAATATAAAGTTAAATTGATTGTATGTCTGTGTGTGTGTGTGTGTGTATAAAGTTCTACAAATTCAAACACATCCACAGATTCGTAAGAACAGATTCATCTAATGACCACCATAATCAGCTTCCACCACCACAATCAGGACACACAAGAAATCCATCCCTGCAAATACTCCCTGGTGCTATTGCTCTATAATGATACCCTCCCCCTCCCTCTAACCTCCAGCAACCACTTATCTTTTCTTCTTCCCTATGGTATTGCCTTATGTTTGAGAGAGAATATCATATAAACGGAATCATACTGTAGAACTGGTGTTATTTTTCTTTTAAATGTTTGGTAGAATTTGCCATTGAAAACACTTGGGCTAGAGAATTTTGTTTTCACAGATTTTTAACAAGGATCCAATCTCTTTTTCAGTTGTAGGACTATTCACGTTATCTATTTCATTGTGGGTGAGTTTTGTTAGTTTGAGGTTATCGAGGAATTGGTCCATTTCATCTAAATTATTGAATATACCTGCACTGAGTCATTCATAGCGTTTCCTTATTACCCTTTTAAAGTTTGATGGGCCTGTAGTGAACTCCCTCTTTTGTTCCTGATATTGGTAATCTGTGTCTCCTCTCTTTTTTTCTTGTTAGAAGTTTCTATAAATTTTATTGACCTTTTCAAAGAGTGAGCTTTTGAGTTCATTGTTTTTCTCTGTTGTTTTTCTGTGTTCTATTTCATTGATGTATGCTCTTTATTATTTCTTTCCTTCTGCTTCTTTTTAGTTTACTTTGGTTTTATTTGCTTCTTAAGGTAGAAGCTCAATTACTAATTTGAAACCTTTCTTCTATCATAAGGATTTAACGTTCTCTATCTCCCTCTCAGTATTGTTTTAGCTGCATCCCATATATTTTGTGTCTTCATTTCAACCAGTTCAAAATATTTTCTGATTTACCCTGAGACTTTCTGTTTGACTCATGGATTATTTAATAGTATGTTATTTAATTTTCCAGTGTTTGGACAATTTCCTGTTATCTTTCTATTACTGATTTCTAGTTTAATTCCATTACAGTCAGAAAACATACTGTGTACGAACACAATTCTTTTAAATTTGTTAAGGTTTATTTATGACACAGATTACGGTCTATGTTTGTTCTATCTACATCTGGAAAGAATGCGTATTCTGCTATGGTTGGGTGGAGTGTTCCATTAAAGGCAATTAGATCCAGTTTGTTGATAGTTCTGCTCGTTTCTTCTATCTTCTTAGGATTTTATGTCTACTAGTTCTATTCATTACTGAGAGAAGATGTTGAAGTCACCAACTATAACTGTGGACTTCTCTATTTCTCTTTTCAATTTTGTCAGTTCTTTTGCTAAGTATATACACACTTAGGATTATGTGTTCTTGGATGTGATGGCTAAGTTTATGTGTCAACTTGGCTAGGCTGTGGTACCCAGCTGTTTGGTCAAACACTAATCCAGATGTTGCTACAAAGGTATTTTGTAGATGGTATTAACATTTACAATCAGTTGACTTTAAGTAAAGGAGAAAACCCTTGATAATGTAAGTGAGTCTCATCTAACCAGATGGAGGCCTTAAAGAGCAAAGACTGAGGTTTACTGGAGGACAAGCAATTGTGACTCAAGACTGTTAACATAGAGATCCTGCCTCACCTTCCAGCCTGCCAGCTTGCCCTACAGATTTCAGACGTGCCAACTCCCACAACTGCATGAGCCAATTCCTTAAAATCAATCTCTTTGTCTATCTGTGTGTTTGTGTGTAAATACATATGTGTGCGTGTTTTTCTCTAGAGAATCCTGACTGTTACATTGGTAAAGTGACCTTTTCATCATCCTGTATCATCTTTCTTTATCCCTGGTAATATTCTTTCTCCAAAGTCTCCATCGTCTGATATTAAAATAACAATTCCATCTTTCTTTTGATTAGTGTTTTCATGGCATATAGTTTTTATCCTTTTATTTCTAATCTACCTATATAATTATACCTATAGTGGATTTTTTATGAACAGCACAAAGTTGGGTCATATTTTTAAACCAATTCTAACAATGTCTGCCTTTAAATGGATTTTTTAGACCATTTACATTTAATGTAACTACTGATATTGATATTGATATGAACTATTGATATTGATATTGACATTAGATTTAGGTCTACCATTTTACTGATTTATCTATTTATAAAGCAAAATACTCTAATATTGTTTGCTTTGTCTTCTATTTAAATAAATTCATTATTTTGTTTTAAAAAACTGCAGTACATATATATCAATGAAAATTCAATTAAAAATGATTCGAAAAGGAAGAGAAAAAAAGACTTTTAGAACGTCCATCTAGAAGCAGAAATCTTTACCTGAACCTGCAATTATCACAGCAATTTTCAGTTCCCATAATGCCCACGGAGGCCTTTCGTAGTTGTTTATCTTCAAAATGAGACAAGATGATTCTACCCAAGAGAAAATTTAAAATTAAATGAAAGAACAAAAACGTATATCTTAAATTCACTGCTGAAAATAATGAAGTGAACTTATCACTGATTCACCTGAGACTTCAATATTTGGCTTCAGTTTATTAAGGCATAAAGAAAGTTGACTTAAATGTCAGAACATATGTAAAACCAACAAAATACTGATTCTAAATACTTCTAATTATTTTGGAAAACGTTTTTCTTAAAAGAGCACCATCCATAAGTCCATGTTATTAACGGAAATAAAACAATACATACTGTCGCCTACACTTGCTGGAACGAAGATATTTTTCCATCTTTTCCATCATCTTTAATTTGTATAATCGAAACTTTTCATCAGGTATGTCACTAAGGCGGTTCCTGTCAATCAAAAATATCACTGGAATATGTAAATTGCATTAGCTGTTTTGTTACTTTTTATTTATTACTGTTTATTTTTCATAACCTATAACATCCACACCCCTATCAAGATAACATTGCTATCATCCCAGAAAGTTATTGTGTCCCTTCCAATCAATGTCCCCAACAAGAGGCAACCATTTTTCTGATTTTTATGAAAACTACTTCAAAAGAATTCTACCTATGTCCAGGCATCAATTTTTTAGCTGCCTTTGAAAAATTATTATAAACCCTAAAGTTTTTCATTTTGATTTACATACTACATGCTTTTGGCAATCTTTCTACTATATATGAATTTTTACTTTTTCCCAGTAAAAGGTTTTTCTTTATTTTATATGAGAAACAAAAGCATCTATATAAGGAATACTAAAAGAGGCTCATGATCCAAATATGAGCCTTCATCCCTATTAGTTCTTCAGCCCTCTAAAAACTATCGCTTTGTACTATAGAGTATTATGGGACACCAGTAAAGCATCAGAATTAAGTTCCTTCCCCAAACGATAATAACTAATTTTTTTCCATAATATTGAATTTCCTTAAAACTGTTAAATAACTCTAAAGACATGTTTGTTTGGTTTTTTTAAAAGTTAATGTTGCTCTAACTTATGACTCTTAATTCTAGTCTTTGGTGAACAAATTTCATGATTATCAGATATCAGATGATGACAATCTCTCAAATAGCTCTGCACATCTTTCCAAGAATTCTTTCCAAGAATAAATAGAAGTCTGAGTTGAAGAGGCTTCAGATCTCTCAAAAGAAAACAACAATTCACCTACAAGATCTACATTATAATACTGACCCTCATCAAAATGGACCTCACTCACTGATATTCTGACTATCCAACCTTCTGACTGATAAAAGTACCTCTGTACAGTTCTCAACGATGACACCAACAGGTAATCCAGTTAAGTGAGTTCTGGGAAGTCTGAACAGGCAAATGACCTCTTATTCAAAAACACTCTTATCATTTGATACCACCAACCACCCTGCCCTTCCATGCAATTTCCCTAAAAGTCTCTTCCACTGCTGACTCTAGTTTCTAGGTTAACCACCTAATCTCATTTTTCCAAGCTCATGGGCTAAATATTGCTCCTTTTTTGCTTTATTTCGTTTGTTTGTTTGTTTAGCTCACCTCCTTCTCCTCAGATAGAAGAAACAAAGAAAACAAATGCCTATACTCTAAGAACTAGACCTGCTCTTATGTTTGATTTGATGATCCACATTTAACTAATCTTATCAGTGTCAGTAACAAATTTGAGAAAAGAAAATTACAAGTCTCTAACAGCAAATCAAACGAATATCTATTCTTCTTCTGGGACTATTACAACAGTTAAAGTACAATATTCTACACAACAAAAATAAGTTGAAGAAGAAGAAAAACTCTAAAAACAATACCAAAAACAGAAATCAGTTGGAGTCATTGGAAGATTTATTAAATTGAGGTTAATTTGCAAATAATTTCCTTACAAAAAAAGATTACAGGGGCCGGCCCTGTGGACAAATGGTTAAGTTCATGCACTCTGCTTCGGTGGCTCAAGGTTTCCCTGGTTAGGATCCTCGGCACGGATATGGCACTGCTCATCAGGCCGTGCTGAGGCAGCATCCCACACAGCACAACCAGAGGTACGCACAACTAGAATATACAACTAGGTACTAGCGGACTTTGGGGAGAAGAAGAAGAAGAGAAAAAAAAAGAAGAGGAAGATTGGTAACAGATGTTAGCTCAGGTGCCAATCTTTAAAAAAAAAAAAGATTACAATAACTATCAGGTTTGACTCTCTAAAATAATAGCAAATGCAGACACTGAGTCTTTGCCAACGGTACAGCCTCCACAATATGAAATATAAAATTATATATTTACAATGATGACTGGACAAGTGTCTTCTCTCGGCCACAGGATTCTAGCATAGGATAGAATTTAAAAATTGTATGAATTACAGTGACATTTTCAGTTGAGAACCAGCAACTCCATTTATTCTAAAACTTTGTTTTTTCTAATAGAAGAGCTTTATCTCAAGGATGACACATATTCATCCTCAATCCTTGCTGAATTCTCTTTTATCCTGATTAACCCTATAGTTTTATTTCCCTTAGGATAGATGCAAAGAACAACCTGTCTATACTGAAAATTCAAGTATGGGTTTTCTGGTACCACTATTTGATTACTAATAACTGTTACTTCCTGTTAAATCTTAATGAGAACCATTTAAAATATCTTTTGAGACCCACATAATCAGGAACTATTATCTACTGATGAACCTACAAAGCCACGATATAAAATTCAGGCTAAGTCTTCAGCACTTTTAGCATAATGCCCAAAATAATCAGAACTAGTAGGAATCAACTTATGTTTGATACAATCCCAAACTTAACAGTAGCATGCAGAGCTGTGTTCTATCCCAATTACTTTAAATTAATTCATAAGAAGCTTTACATAAACACTAGCGTCACTAGGAAAACAATAATTTGTTTAAGAGGATGGTTTCATTGGCTCTATGTTAGGAAACAAAAGCTACTGGGGCTGGCCTGGTGGTGCAGCAGTTAAGTTCGCACATTCCGCTTCAGCAGCCTGGGCTTTGCCAGTTCTGATCCTGGGCACGGACATGGCACTGCTTGGCAAGCCATGCTGTGGTAGGCATCCCACATAGAAAGTAGAGGAAGATGGGCACAGATGTTAGCTTACAGCCAGTCTTCCTCAGCAAAAAGAGGAGGATTGGCAGCAGTTAGCTCAGGGCTAATCTTCCTCAAAAAAAAAAAAAAAAAAAGCTACTGACTACTCCTAAAAGGAAGAGCTGAAAATTGAAAGCAGGGGGCCAGCCCCATGGCCGAGTGGTTAAAGTTCCACATGCTCCGCTTAGGCAGCCCAGGTTCACAGGTTCGGATCCTGGGTGCAGACCTACTCCACTCATGAGCCATACTATGGAGGCATCCTAACATACAAAATAGAGGGAGACTGACACAGATGTTAGTTCAGGGCTAAAAAACAAAACAAGAGGAGGATTGGCAATGAATGTTAGCTCAGGGTGAATCTTTCTCACAAAAAAAAAAAAAAAAATTGAAAGCAAACATTTTTACCTAATTAATCCCTATTCTTCTTTCAGACTCAACTTACCCTATCACTTCCTGAAGGAAGCCTTCCTTACCTGACCTTTTTACCTTGGTAAACACAAAGCCCATTATATGCTCACTACTCAATGCATCTTTCCTTCATAATACTGAACACAGTTGTAATTTTACACACATTTGCATGATCCTTTTTAAAAAAACATTTGACTACTGAAATTTTCAAACACAAAAAGAGAACTGTAAAATGAACCCTATGTCTCCATAGTTGTGTGATTCTATGATTAAGATCTGCCATCTCCATTATACTGTAAGCTCTATGACAAGAGCTCCCAGATCTGCTTTTATTTATTATCGTAGACCTAGCACAGAGCATAATACTTAGAACAGAATGGGCACTCAAAAAAAAGCAGCTCACGAATAAAAATAAAAAGTGTATTGGATAGGCACTCTCATCATTTTAATAAAATGGGCTAATACGTCCCTTCAGAGTTCAATTTATTCAGCTATATGGAGATGCATTTTGGCAGGCCCATGAGTCACCACACATAAGATTTTTCCTGAGATTTCCCCCCTATGGATGAGGCAATCAGTTGCTAAACTCTGCCTCTAAAATTTTTGCAAGATGAAGTTTTCCTTTCCAGTATATATCTCACAGAACTTAAGTGCCAACAAAATACTTGTTTAGTATTTAAGAAGAATGGTTTTCCTGTATTTAAACACTAAAAACTGAATTTTTTCATGGCAATCAGTGCAGTGCAACATGATTATTCATACAGTCAAGGGGAGGTGACATGCTCCCAGAGAACTAAAAACTAAACAGCTGGAGAAGAGAGCCAAACAGGGATTGGTAGAAATCATTTGGAATAAGCACAATTGGAGCATGAGAAGAAAGAACCAATAACAAAATAAATGGTACCTGAAGTAACTATGGCTAAAGACATAGTAAACCATGACAGGACCTGAGGAAAAAAATCAGCTCATGGATGCACAATATCAGGAAAGTATGCCAGCGGGTCTACGTTACATTCCCAGTATAGTCCTGATTTAGTGAATTCCTCACATTAAATGAGGGCTGGCTGAAATCGGGTCATCTCCTCTGGGTGGTAACACTTACCACAAACGTTCTTCTCAGATGTCCTATGTTTCATTTGGGTTTTAAATGCACTTAGACACACTTCTTGAAATTTCAGATGCTGCCTCAAATACTTTCAAAGTTTATATGGAAAGAAAGAAATCCACAAGGGTGAAAGAAATAAATGTTTTTACCTATTTAAGTTGATGTCTGTTGGAGTCCAGAGTAGGTGACAAGAACTTTGAAGTCCATCCCGGCCAGCTCTACCAATCTCCTGGTAATATGATTCCATTTCCTTAGGAGCACCGTAATGAATGACTTTGCGAATATCAGCTTTATTAATGCCCATTCCAAAAGCTATGGTAGCTACGACACACTGAGAATAGATAACAGCACAGATTGACAAACATTTTGCAGAACTAAAACCTTACATGTTCAACTTTTGGCAAGAATAAGTAGTTGATTAACTAAAGTCCTTGGCATGAAACTGAATTTGACATAATTTCAGTCAATCACTTATAGATTAAAAGATTATCTGCCCAATTTACAGATTAAGGATTGGTGTCCATAAACTAGGATTTCTATTCCCTCTCTACAAAAAGTAGTAAACAAAGCAGTTTCTCTTAACACCTATGAGTACAAGACACAAAAGAGGTTCTTAAAACGTTTATCATATTAAATGAGACTTTTGTGTTATTATGAAGTTTCAAGAGTCCTTACCTGATTGCACAGTATCTTAATATTTTCTAGCATTATTCTAAGTGGAAGGAAGCTCCTCATTAAAGATGGAAAAATGAAACATGAATACATCTTTGCATCTTTAAAAGGATAAACTTGGCAGAATATCTAATACATTTGAGTATACTGGGATGAGATTTACATGATTGGGGGAAATTTTAAAGAAGGATTAGTGATAAAAACACAAAAAACTGAACAAAATTTTTAAAAAGTTTATGAACAATAAGAATACAATAAGATGTGCCAAAAAAGTAACAATAATATACTACATGGCTTGGAGATAAAAAAAGCATTTACAGAGGAATAATCATGTAAATACATAATAGCTGAATATAAATATAATCAAAATTATATTTTGGGAAGAAAGGGGGTTAGAAATATTTCACATGGATGAGGTGAGGAGAAGGGCGGGAAGGAATGTGAAAGAGAGCTAAACTTTCATCTTTCATAGTGGGGAGTTGAGGGGTAATGCCTAATTCTAACAAAGAAATAAACTAAAAACTACGTAATAGCAGTATGAGCAAATTATTGCCAGAGAGAGTTGTAAACACCAAAAGAATAAACTAAAAGAGTTGGGAGTGGGAAATAGAAGTGGGGAAGGAATGAGTGACTGATGCTTTTCATTGTAAGCACTACAGAACTATTTGGTTGTTTATGTGCATGTATAACTGATAAAAATTAAAGTGCCATTAAAAATAAAATGTGTTAAGATGGACCAAGAGAAGCAAAAGAAAAACAAGAAAGAAATAAAGAAAATGCTGAACAAATAAAAGGAAGCATGAGAAAGGTAACAGAAAAATAAATACAGGAATGGAAATAATATTAAGAAAAAGCATTGAGTGAATAAAGCTGGCAATTTTGCTATATATGAGTGAATAAGCAAAATAACAATTTTAATTTTCTTTTTCTAATGTCATTTCTTATGTAATTTTTTTCCCGGCTTTATTGAAATATAATTGACACATAACATTGTGTAAGTTTAAGATGTATAATGTGACAATATAAATGTATTGTAAAATGATTACCATAACGAGGTTAGTTAATACATCCATCACCTCACATAGTTATCATTTGTGTGTGTGTTGTGTGTGTGTGTGGTGAGAATTTTCAAGATCTAATTTTCATCCTATGATACTGTTTTTAGATGAGACCAACCTATTCTACAGATACGATTTTCAAAATATCCTTATAAACTCTCAGGTGTAAAGAAAGATATTTTATCAAATAATTTATTTGCAATCTCATTCCAGAAAGGAAAGAAATTCAAGCCGTCTTGAAAAGGCAAATAAAACACAAAAGGGAATAAAACTAAAAGTCAGGATTAAAAGCAAGAATGAATGGTCACAGACTAAAAATGTGAATCTACATCTGAATGTGGTTAGATTCGGTTAACTCGACCCTGAGTTAACATCTGTGCCAATCTTCCTCTATTTTCTATGTGGGACACCGTCACAGTGTGGCTTGATGAGTAGTGTGTAGGTCCACGCCTGGGATCCAAACCCATGAATGTCAGGCCACCGAAGCAGAGCACGCAAATTTAACCACTATGCTACCAGGCCAGCCCAGGAAGTAGTTGATTTAAACCTACTAAAGTGGCTTGAATTTAAATCTTCCCAAATATTCTGTATGACACCCACTAAACCAGGATTCCAATCATTACAAATTGAAATTATGACATGATTTCAATTATTACAGGAATCTCAGCTGTAGCACTTTACAATAACCTCATCGATACCCTTCCTTTCTTCAGTTTTTCTCCTTCTAATAAATCCTTCATAGTACTGCTAGTCTAATGTTTCTATAATACTCTTATCTTTCTCAAAAGCACAGAATAATCTGTCATGATGGTTTCTAAACTCCATTCTGCGGAGCTCTGTGGATTATAAGACACCCACAGGGACTGTCTTGGAGACAGGGAGGCTCTTGGACCCCTTTCTCCCTCACATCAACTTCAACAAGAATTATTCTACTTTAATTTGTTTTATCCATGAGATAAAATTTCATTTACATAAAAAACTCTAACGCTCAAGTAGTCTGGAAAAACTACAGGCACATCGCACCAAGCCCAGCCTGCCTCTTTGCAAGTTTTAAGCCCCTCTATAACTGACAAACCAACCTGTTCAACTTTTTTCCTATGAGTCTCTAACAGTTCCTCCCTGACTTTTTACCTATACTTTGTGCCATTCCTACTCCACTCCCTTTCTCTCCAACCATTCCAAACTACTCACAATTTCCTGAACCCCGTACGCACTTTCATATCACAGTGCCTTTGAACAAAGTCCTTCTTCCTGGAATTCTATAACCAATTCCACGTCCCTCATCGCCTACTGGCCTCGCATACTTGACAAACTTCTATTCACCTGTTCGGACTCTACTCAAATTGCTTCTTCCTGGATGGACCATCCCTGGATCACACAACTTACCTTAACAGCTGGCGTTCCATCCTCTGTGCTCCTGAGTGCTATGTACAGGCTGCTGTTTATACTAGTCTACAATAGTTTGCTCACATTTCTATCTCCCACATTATACACTGATTCTCTTTATCAGAGAGACTGCTTCATGCCCAACGCAAAGAAGGTATTCAATAAAGATCTGGTAAATGAATAGAGAAATATCTGTTTCCACTATAGGGAACAGAGAGTAACAATGCTCGATCTTCACACCTGAATTTCATCTCTCATGAACCGATGATGAACCTCTTTCCTTGAGTTACTACCCATGCCTGCATGGTATGTTCCACAGGCTAACTGCAGTTTCCTGAGTTCAGCTGTAACTTGTTCTGTCATTTTTCTGGAAAGACAATAGATGATAGTTGGACCTTCAAATTCCCAGGCAGAACTAGAGAAAAAGAAAAACAAAAGAACACACATATATATCCACATAGGCTTCAGACCAGTTTGGGTTTTATCTATTTAATTTTCCCTTTCTTTTTAAATTTTTAATTTAAGTTCAATTTAACTTTTTAAATTTTAAGTTAATTTTCCTTTTAGTAAAAGAGTAAAAGGAGAAAGCATATAGAAAACAATGATATATTTAACAACATAAAAATCTAAAACATTATGGAAAGTCAAAAGTGAAAATAAATTATGTTAAACCCCAAATACCTTTGACCCAGTTTTTATCCAAATTAAAGTTAAATCCAGGGATAAGTTTACTTAAGCAGAAGCCTTGATAAAAACTTATAAACTACTGGAAATGCAATTTCCATACTTTAGGAAATGTAAAGCACTAGATTAACAATTAGTCTTCATTTACATAAGAACAGTAAGTGAATATTTACACAGAAGAACGGATAAAATTTATATTTCATTATTCTTAGTCTCTCTTATGATCATATAATTGAGTTTCTATACCTATTTACTATAAAAGCAAAAACTTTCTTGTAAAATTAAAGGATAATTTTAGAGTTCAAAGACGTATTTACTAGTAATCTTGAGACTGTTATAGAAAACAACATCTGTTAGAAAGTCTGTTTTAGAAAACAGTGCTTATTTATTAACATGTAAATGATAATTTCCATAGAACGTTCATTTAATTCCTCACTATATTCATTTACAAATACATTCATTGATGTTGAGTTAATCAATACAAAAAGAATGTATTATTTTAGATTTAGGAAAAGTTATTTTACTTAATTTTTAATGCATATACCCTTTGATACAATTTCAATTTTAGGACTCTATCTTACAAATATACTTACACATCTGCCAAAAGATACATACACACAAATATTCATAGCAAAACTATAATAGTTTAAAATAATCAATTTCATCATTATGTACATTCATATTATAAAATACTACGCAAACATTAAAAAATTAAGTGTATGCAAAATCTTTAAAAAGGACTATGGCAAAAGTTATTGAAAACTTAAAGGAGGAAAAAATCAGGCAGTAATTTCACTCTCAGAGTCTTACTGAATAATCTACTGAAAGTAATTTTTGATAATGACCAAATGGACTTCCATATCAAAAATTCAGTAAATTACTTCATAGAGTGAGAAGAAATAAAAATTACCTTTTTAATGTACAAAATTTCATTTAAAAATCACTTTTCAAGGAAGAAAAAACCATTCACCAAAACGCAGATATTGTAATATCCTATACATTAAGGCCCTAATTTGGGAAAACATAATATATAGAAAGATAGCAAAGATACTTTAAATGAAAGGCGGAAATTGCAAAAAAAATAGATCTACCACAAAACTATTTCCATATAAAGTCAACAACAACAAAAACTGGGAGCGCATATCTGCACCATACAGAGTCAGAGAAAAGACTAGAGCTAAATTCCAAAATATTAATAGCGATTATAACTGAGGAATGGGATGGGAAGATTGAAGTACTTTTTAATTTATATACATCTGTATTGTTCAAATTGATACTAAGATTATGTATCACTTTTTACATTGAAAAGAACAGAAACACAAAAATTTGAACTTATAGAGCAAAAAAAATCAAACGAGTAAAAATTCCTTTTACAAAAGGATTCACTACTTTGCCAAGTGGTTTAGTAAAGACTGTTATTTCTTCACAACAATTTCCTAAAGGGGAAAAACCCTATCTTTTTCCAACCACTAAATTAGATAGGTAAGAGGCTTATCTATCTAATTTAAATGTATCATGAATATAGAAAACAAGTAAGGTCAGAATTTAAGAAACAATGAATACAAAAAATGTGAATACTGACTTTAAAAAATGACAGAATTAAATGAAGGTAAGAAAATGGAAACAAAAGGCAATATTCTTAAAGTCTTAATTACCCTCCATTTCATTGCTCATTAAGAGGAAAACTCTTTGTCTAAGATCTACAGAAAGCATTCTCACTTTCAATGGTTCCCTGCTCCCAAAACTCTTCTTGGAGGACTGAAAATGAATGCAAAATCTTTCTTGATTTGCTTCCGGAAAAGTCATGGTCACATTAAATATCAAAATCTTGGACGGTCTTGGATGCCAGGCTAAGGAGTTTGGCCTTAAGCCCACAGGAAAGAGAGAGCCACTGGAAAGGAACGCCAAGAGTTGGGGACGTGCTTTCAGATGACGGATCTGAACTATGTAGAGAATGCAATAAGGAGCAATGAGGAGGAGGGATTATAACAGTCTGGGCTAAAAAGCAATAAAGACCTCAATTAGCAGAACTAACATGAAAGACAGTGAGAAGAAAACATTTACAGAAAATCATAAGAGGACAATACTATCAGAAAGATACGATGCCACAATGTCACAAAAAACACAGTTTCAAAAAGAAGAGGGTACTGGGGACAGTGCCATAGAGACTGAGAATAACATGGACTGAAAAGGGTCAAAGATGAGGAGAGTGTATAATGGTCTGACTGTGGAGACTCTAGCCTACACAGGCTTCCTCGAGAGAACGTTTCCCTTTAGGACGGAAGGGAAGGGAAGCACAGTGAAGACTCACTGTGGGGAGATCACTAGAGCAGCCAGAGCTCTCAGAACATATTCACTACGTTCTTGTTTTATTCTGAATATAGGACAATCAAGGCAATAGCAAGTCCTACATTTAAATTCATCCTAAAGGTCCCCGAGAGTTACCGTAGGGTTTCCTTAACTTAGGATGATCTCTTCTTTTTATCCCTTTCTGAAAAGGAAAACACTAATGATGTTCTTTAATCTCTATTTGCCAAGATTTGTTTTGTCTTTGTATTAGCGGGACAAATATTATTATAAAATTACATTTCTATGTATTCTGACTTAAAAACGCATTTCATAACATGAAAATTATAAGCCTTTCACTGAGCACACAGAGCAGGGAATAAGGCAAAGGGAAGCTTCTTAGCATACATAAAATGCCTTCAAACAAAATAAATAGGAAAGAGTACTAGTGACAGTTTCTTCAGTAAAATGAAAATATGTAGCTTACTGAGCAGTTATAAGGATTAAACTAGATCACTTATATAAAGTGCCTAAGATAGTCCTTAGCACACAATGTGGGCTCAAAAATTGTTTATTATTAAGATAACTTAAAATTCCCAAATATTCAAGAGTAAGTCATATAATTAGTGAACCAGATAGAATTCAGATAAAAGACTCATTTGTTTTTGGTGTTTACTCGTCAATTATTAAGAGTATATGTCGTGTTTAAGCAACAGCATGGAGTATAGAAATATTGGAAGACTTAGTTTCTGCCTTCAAAGTAGACTTTTTCCTCAGTCACTGCCTTGAATATATAACATCACGCTTGACTTAAACCAAAGCTAAGTAGAATCCAAAATATATTAAATATGCACTAGAAGGAAATAGTAAAAAAACAAAATAAATTTTTAAAAAAGAAGGAAATAGTTAACATAATTTACCAACTATGAAATCCTCACCATGTCTTTTGGACAAGAAATTGCTTCAGATCCTGAAGGATGTTTCCTGTTTTTTGTCCAACTTCTAAATACAAGTTCGGTCGATCAAAACCAGTACAGGTGATCCGAGGGTTCTTCAGTTCTAAGCAACGCACAATGTCGTCCCGGATTGAAGAACTGGCCGTAGCAGTGAGGGCGACCACTGGAACCTGAATGAAGTAAAAGGGATTTTTAGAAGAGAAGAGAACTCATTAATTCCCAACATTTCTACTGCCTTCTTACCAAGAGACTGGAAGACAATTACAGGAGGAACAGTGTTAAAAATGCAACTCTAAAATTATTCTTTGCTAAAGAAGAAAAAAAAAATCCTACTTATTTGTTTCTCAGCCTTCTGAATACATTTACTTTATTTAAATCAAAACTCATTTAAATAAAACATTAAATCTGTAAGATTCCTAAATGCAATCTACCTTGTCTTGTTAAATGAAGCCTACTTATTAGCTATTATCTATTATTATCTTATTATCTATCTCTCCATTTATTGTTTTTGACATTCATTTCATCTGTAAGAATGCTGATATAAATGGAAAGGTATGTATGCCCTATTTTTGATTCATCTATAATTCACAAGTTATAAACCCTTTTAATCACTGAAAATCTAACTATACAAAGCAGGGAGTCTTTTTTTGTGTCCTATATTAAATATTGTGGTTTATGGCTCCTCAGATCTAGAAGTGAAGCTCTCAATGACTGGGATAACATTTCTCCAGTTTTACTAAGTCAGTCACGGCACAGTATATATAATAAAAATGCATAAAATGAAACATCAATTATTAACTAATTTCTTGAGCAACCAAGTCATGTTCTATTCTCAGTCTAGCAAACACTTCTCAAACTGGATTAGCAGTCAAAGCAGGAGGCACAGCAGGTACCAGAAAAAACATGAATATGTAATCTTTCAGAAATTCTAAAGTAGGACAACAACATATCCCCCATGAAACTACATTTAAGATCTTTGTCCCTATCATCACAGGGAGATATAATCAACCATGCCATCATTTCATAATCAGGAAAAATGGACTAAGTCTTAAAGTTGTTCCTAAATCATCAGCTGTTCTATACCTAAGAATACAACCTTCCTAAAACACTCTTTTTGGCCAATTACAAATACAGTAAACAATATCCTCATAAAATAGTTCTTCAGATACACTCCATCTACCTCACAAGTCAGTTTAAGGAATTATCTTGTATGTAAGTGAAAATCTGTGGGTAATTTGTAAAAAAGCAATTATAGAATTTGAAAAACAAGATACAATTTATTAAAAACTATAAACTACTTTTACAATCAATATAACTTCACTGAATTAAAAATTACCTAAAAGCTCGTATTAAAAAAATCAATTAAGTTTGGGAGTACTTTTTTTAAATGGAAAAAAATTATATCAAAACCAATGTAACCAGGTAATTGGTATTTTTGCATTCTCTATCTTTAAATTTTGTGAAATTATTTAAAAATGTAACTCCTAAATTAAATTCATTGATTTTTGGCTTACAATCAGACTGTCCTCTGAATTTACAGGGTGCCTGTCTAATAACATAGATGAGTAGGCCAGTTTATAAAGAAGTTAATCAAGCCTTAATATATATATGTTATTATTAATACATATATCTGCCATATAGCTCTACATCAAATGAAAAGAAAATATCTATGTATCAGATACAACGCTGAGAAAAAGGGAAGTTTAAACATCAGAAGTTCTTAGGACGCGCCTTACAACAACAAAGCACTTCCACCTAAATTAATGAATCAATTTATAAATGTACTAATAAAATACTTGTTTAACTACATATGCAAATAAAGACAAGTTTTCAGGATGGAGACTATAAGAAAAGATGGTTTGGTTTGTTTTTCAGCAATATAATGTATGAGTGGAAGGGCAATGCATTTATGGAAATAAGCATGAAACGTGACACCTCTTGAAGAAGTTACTAGAAAAATCAGGCAAAATAGCAGCACGGTAAGGGAAACACTCTGGCATAGAATCAGTTACCTCATTCAAATCCTGCCTTTGCCACTAGTTAGGTGTGAGAGTTGAGCTGTGTATTTAACTCTCTCAGCTTTGGTTCCCTCCTCTATAAAACGGCTACAGTAACAATAACACCACCAATCTCATAACATCGGTGGGAAGATCAAATGAGATCAAACATGTACTGTAATGTGCGGAACACAATGCGCAGTTCACAGCGAACACTCACAAAATTTCAGCTACTCCTGAGACATTGCAACAACTGAAAAGAGTTCTATACGAGAACTCCAGAGACATGGGCACTACTCGCAGGTTTGCTTTGCGGCTGAGTTTGGCAAGGGCTAACTTGTCTTGGCCTTAGTTTCCTGACCAAAATATGAGATGGAGAGGGCCACATGTTAGACTCACTGCTAACCAAAAATTCCCACTTTGCCACCAGAAACCCCCTATTCCAGTGACCTACTAACAGTGAAAAATCACTACAAATTCACTCTTTTTGCCTCGGACATTCTCGCAAGTCCCAGTTAAGAATGTTGCCTCCACAACTAGAAGACAGAATAAACTAAAGAAATATATTAAACTTAAAGAAACAACAGATACTTTCACTTCAGAAATGAGTAGAGTCTTTTCTCTTAGAAGCTTGTGGTGCTTTACGATATTTCAAATTTATAAACGAAGATGAAGCTTAAAAGTAATACACAGGCTGGTCTGAGAAAGATGACCATGCATCCCGGCTTGCTGGGCACTCCCAGTTTACGCGATCAGAATTATTAACAGCTTACAGCCTTCAATTTTCACAAGCAAACCAGTTTGGATGATAAATTATACTGTCACCTAGTTATATCAAGTTCTTCACTCATGAAACTCTTATTCTTTAAGTCAGCAAATCTTGGTTTCTTTAGGAATATGTACCAAATTTTGTTAAAACAAGCAACAAAATATAAATTAATCTTGTGACCATAAATTTAGCCACATATTTCAACAGTGTAGCACCTACAGATTCAAAGAATTATAACTATTCCATTTGCTTCTAAATGCAGGTCGTGTGGCTAATTCTAACTCTGTACTCCTAAAATCATGCTTCATTCAGTAACTCACCATCTCAAATAGTTTTTAGTGACTACTATGTGCTGATTTTTGTGAAAGGGCTGGGGAGGAAGCAACGGAAAGAACCAACACATCTCATGGATCTCACACTTCCTCTTATTTGAATTTTACAGTATTTTCAGACTGACGTAGGGCTTTCTGCCTGGCTGCTCTTTCTTGAGACTCACTTTGTCTGATTCTCTCCAAACAGGAATCTTTGTGCCAAATGGTTTAGTGATTTCTTTGCTATTTTTGAACTGACTGAAATAATATGGAGTGAAGCATTGCAGGTTTACACCAGTTGTCCCAGTGTAATTACAGTTGGAAGGAGAAAAAAAGCACTGAGAACAGTGAGGAAAATGAGAGTCCCACAACCACAGGTGGCCTTTCTCACCACTTAGCTAAGAAAGAAAATAAAGGAAAACACTTGGTGAAAAGGTATTCTCAGCCATTGCTGGAGGAACACTGTGTTCTCTACTATATTGAATCATCCCAAGAAACGAAAATGATCCAATGGTCCACAGCCAGACATAATAAAAGACTAATTCAACACTGAAAAGTGTTTAAGAACTCCATAAAATATTTAAAACTCCTCTAAGACAATCCTTCTAGAATCAAAGGCCTAGGAAAGGATTACAGAAAGCAATTTTCCTAGGTGCCAAAAGCTTACGTTAAACCATTCTAAATGAATGGAAAGCAGTCCTCAAGGAACACTGAGCCTAGTGACTTCTACCACAGAAATATCTTCTTTATTACATGTAACACTATTAGACTTTCTATATTATTTGTACCATTTCATATACCGTTTATTGCTTGGTACTATTGCTTCTACTTTTATAGGTATGAATCTAAACTCCTCTACTGGACTACGAGCTACTTTAGGGCAGAAATTGTTTTATTCTTCTTTCAATCATTTTCTTTAGAAACTAGCACAGTTTCTACTGCCCAACTCTGCTACTCACCACCTGTGTGGGGAAGTGCCTTCTCTGATTCTCAGGTTTCTCATCAGAATTCATTTATTCATTCACCCAATTATTTATGGAGCACCCACTATGTGCCAGGTACTGTCCTAGATTTTATAAATCAAATCACCGAAAACCCTTCCCCACAAAGAATATTCTAGTAGGGACCCACAGACAATAGACAAAATATAGTACAGTAAGTTAAACAGTCATAAGTGTAATTAAAAAAATAGTAAAGGGGGACCAGCCTGGTGGCGTAGTGGTTAAGTTCACACACTCCACTTTGGTGGCCCAGGGTTTGTGGTTCGGATCCCAGGCACGGACCTGCACACCACTCATTAAGCCATGCTGTGGTGGCATCCCACATACAAAATAGAGGAATACTGGTACAGATGTTAGCTCACTGACAATCTCCCTTGGGCAAAAAAAGGAAGATTGGCAACAGATGTTAGCTCAGGGCCAAACTTTCTCACCAAAAAAAAAAGCAAAGTAACATGAAAAACGTTGAACCTTGGGGGGTTAATCTGAAATTTTAAATATAGTGGTCCAGGAGGTCTAAACGAAAAAGTAATATTTCAGCAAAGACCTGAGAGAAGGGATGACACTGCGTGAATGACTTGGGTGAAAAGTATTCAGGGAGGGAAGAGCGGGAACAAAGCCCTACCACAGGAGCATGCTTGGCATGTTTGAAGTATATCAAGGAGAACAGTGTGGCTGGAAGCCAGTGAATAAGAAGGCAAGTAGTAGAGGATGAGGTCAAAGAGAAAAATGGAAGACCACAACACATAAGACATTGCAGTGACTTCTGTCTTTATTTAGAGTGAAGCAGTCTGCTACTAGAGGGTTCTGAGCAGAAGACGTGGTCTATCTGACATATTTTAAAAGTATCACTCTGGATGCCGTATTGAAGTAGACTGAGGAGGAAAAGAGCAAAAGCAGGAAGACCAACCAGGAGGCTGTTGTAACAGCCCAGGTGGAAGGAGACGGTGGCCTGTCCCTGGGCTGTGACAGAGATCGAGAGAGAAGTGAGCAGAGTCTGTATACATTCTGCAGACCTCATGAGATTTCCTTACAGTTTAAATGTAGGGTGGGGTGTGAGAAAAAGAGAGGAGTTAAAGAAAATTCCAAAATTTTTGGCCTGAGCACCAGAAGGATGGAGTTGCTATTAAATGAGATGGGGGAGACAGAGGGAAAAGCAGGTCTGGGATCGAGAGAATATGAGGAAGTCAGTTAGGAACAGGTTCGGTTTGAGAGGCTTGTCTGGCATCTAAGTAGAGAGATGTTGAGGAGGCAGTTACCTTTATGTAAATGTGCATGTGTACCTATGTATATGCAGTCTATAAAATGGTGAAAATAAAAAATAGTGATAACACCAAATGCTAGCAAGGAGGCAGAGAAAATGGATCACCCATAAACTGCTGGTATCTATTCAGGGTGGGGATATAAATTTAGGATCTGCAGCATACAGATGATATTTAAAACCATATGTTGAATGAAATGACCAAGATGGTAACTGCAGAGAGGCAAGAGAATAGGTCCAAAGACTAACATTTCAGGCATGCCAATGTTAAAAGGGCAGCGAGGTGAGAAGAAACAAGCAGAGGAAACGAAGAATGAAGAGACAGGAAAGAAGGAAGAGAACCAGGGAAGTGTGCTATCCTCGCGACAAGTGAAGAGTTGTTTCAAGAAGAAGGTAATGCAGATATTAATCTTGCCGGATTGTTGTGAGGGTAAACCAAGATAAAAGCATTAACCCGGGGCCGGTCCCAGAGTTGGAGCTCAATTCACAATAGTTTGATTCTCCTTCGATATATACTTGCTAACTGGCACATTCAAGTTTTTTGTTGGTTTGTTTTATTTTATTTTAATGTCTGCTCCAACCAAATCTTTAAGAGAAAAGCTAACAAAAAGAAATTATTGTTAAGATAGCTCTCGATTTGCTAGCTATATGCACAAATTAATAAGCAATGAAACTGAACTAGATAATCTACCAAAAGAACAACAAACAATTTCTTACACTTTTTAAAAATTTTTTATTTATTTATTTTTATTTTTTTGCTGAGGAAGATTCACCCTAAGCTAATATCTGTTGCCAATCTTTCTCTCTTTGCTTGAGGAAGATTGGCCTCAAGCTAATATCTGTGCCAATCTTCCTCTATTTTGTATGTGGGATGCTGCCACTACAGCATGGCTGCTGATGAGTGGTGTAGGTCAGTGCCCAGAAACCAAACCCGGACCACCAAAGCGGGATGCGCCAAACTTAACCACTAGGTCACAGGACCAGCCCCTCTAACACTTCTTACTTTACTCATATTACCATTAAATCTTGGGCCGAGAAGACACTATAGCCTCACTACTACCAGAAAACCAACATCGTTTATTCATACAAAATTAATACAGTAGAGTAGAGAACTTAGAAATAGATTCACATAAATATATCCAAATGATTTTCAATAAAGTGGCAAAGCAATTCAACAGAGAAAGAACATCTTTTTCAACAAATGGTTTGAAGCAACTGGACATCTACAGGCAAAAAAATGAACTTCAATCTAAACCTCACACCTTATACAAAATCTGACTCAAAACGGATCATGGCCTTAAATGTAAAACATAAAAGAATAAAAATTTTAGGAAAAAAAATCATAGGAGAAAATCGTCAAGATCTTTGGTTAAGTGAAGAGCACAATAAGAGAAAAAGGTGATAAGTTGGACTTTATCAAAATTAAAAATGTTTGCTATGTGAAAGACACTGTGAAGAGAATGAAAAACCAGCTACAAATTGGAAGAAAATATTTGCAAAGCACATATCTGACCAAGGATTCCTAGCTACAATATATTTTTTAAAACTCTTAAAACTGATTAGTAAAAAAACCAAACATTCCAATTAGATCAGGCATTTCACAAAAGAGGCAATTAGTACATGAAAAGATGTTCAACATCATTGGCCATTAGAGAATGAAAATTAAAAACACAACATGATATCACTCCACTTATCCAAATGGCTAAAATAAAAAATAGTGGGGCGGGCCCCATGGCATAGTGGTCAAGTTCGCACACTTCACTTCAGCAGCCCAGGGTTCGCAGGTTCAGATCCTGGGCGTGGACCTACACACCGCTCATCAAGCCATGCTGTGGTGGCCTCCCACATATAAAATAGAGGAAGATTGGCACAGATATTAGCTCAGTGACAATCTTCCTCAAACAAAAAGAAGAGGATTGGCAATGGATATTAGCTCAGCAACAGTCTCCCTCACTCACACAAAAAAATTAATGATAACACCAAATGCTGGCAAGGATGAAGAGAAACTGGATCGTTCATACATTGCTGGTGGGAATGTAAAATGATATAGCCCTCTGGAAAACAGTTTGTCAGTTCCTTAAAAAGTAAAAACGCACTTATTAGGAGCCAGCAATTTTACTCCTGGTCACTTATCCCAGAGAAATGAAAACTTATCCTCACAGTTTTAATCATTCACCAATTAAAGGACCTTTGGGTTGTATACAAACGTCACAGCAGCTCTGTTGATAATAGCCAAAAACTGGAAACAAAAGTCCTTCACCAGGTGATGGATAAACAAACTGTGATACTACTGTACATGGGAATACTATGCAGCAATAAAAAGGAACAAACTTTTGATACACAGGACAACTTACATGGATCTCAAAGGAACTATATGGAGTGAAAAAAGCTAATTCCAAAAGGTGGCAAACTGTATGATTCCATTTATATAACAGTCTTGAAATAACAAAATTATAGAGATGGAGACCAGAATAGTGGTCACCAGGGATTACTTAGGGGTTGGAGGAATGGAGGGTGTGGCTGTCAAAGGATGGCTCCAGGGAACCTTGGAGTAATGGAACAGTTCTATCTCTTGATTGCAATGGTAGTTATACAAATCTACGTATGGGATAAAACTGTATAGAACAACAGACACACACAAACACACACACGACTACTTATAAAACTAGAATAAGAATAAACTGAAGTAACAATAAACCGGAGACTGTACCAATGTCATATTCGTAGTTTTGATATTGTACTACAGTTATGCAAGATGTTATCACTAGGGAAATTGGGTGGATGGTACATAGACCCTCCCTATACATTTATTTACAACTGCCTGTGAATCCATAATTTTTCAAAATAAAAAAACGAAATAGTTGTCAGTGTTGTAAGTTTTCAAGCTATTCATGTAAAATATGCCATTCATGTACAACACTCATGTAAAAATTTACTGTTCTTTATAATCAGGGAAGAAAGTAGAATTCTAATACTAACAGCTTTATTAAAACCCTTTCGAATAGTTCCATTTTTAGGTCTTCAACATGACACAAGAAGTCATAGCCACGCTTTCTTTCACAGCATCCTAGAGTAAAACGACATATGGATAAGAGTGGTGTGAGAAGGCATGACGTCTAACCACGCTTCCTAAGCAGCAGTCAACAAACTATGCTCTACAGGTCACGCCTGGCCCACAGCATGTTTTGTTACGGCCCTTGCGCAAAGAACAGTTCTAACATTTTTAAAGGATTGTTAAAAAAACAAAGAAAAATATGTGACAGAGACCACACTGGCCCATAAAGCCTAAAATATTTATCCAGTTCTTTCAGAAAAGGTTTGCCAACTCCCGCTCTATAGTATTCCTCAATAAACTACATGCCAACCTTGGAAGGAAGACAAGTTAGAACTTTTTAAAAGTCTTTCCCCTGCTTACATCGTTCATTTGCTCTTTCACAGAGAAGTCTTCGGCAATGGCTCCAGGGAACTCCCCAATCCTGGACTCTCCCTTAGTAAGAGTGTCATTTCAAGACATCACACTTGGCAAAACTTACCAACGGGAATGCTGTTTTTAGGGAGCCCAAATTCCTGAATGAATTTCTAAAATCATGTCCCCACTCAGAAATACAGTGAGCCTCATCCACAGCAATAAGTGTGATACCTATAAGAAAGAAAAATATAAAGGGGGAAAATAAATTAAGTTCAAAATGAAAGAATAAACTCATCTAAATCAGTATCAATTTCTTCACTTAGGATATATAAATATTACAGGAAGGAGAATGAATAACCAGATCAAAGTACTTGGTTCATATAAAAATATAAGTGTAAATAACATCAGATATCACTCAAAGTCATTATTGAGAATGGAGGTGGGGAGATATATGGATAAAAGGCATAAGGATAAAAGAAGGAAATACTTATATCTTATTCAAACATATTTATCGGATTTCAGCTTTCATCATTATTTATTATTCAGAAAAATGAATTACTTACTATTATTTTGTCCTCAAAACTATCATCCATGAACCATCTGCAACAATAACATCCTAAGAAAAAGAGCTCTTCTATTTCTCTTTGATAATACTTTCAATTTTAGCTCATGGATTAGCGATCCAAAGAGATAGAGGAGTCAGCACATTTCTAGTGAGATTAAGTGCATCACTCTCCACGATTGATCACAGATCATATTAGAGAGAGTTCCTCTGAAATGCCAGTATTGGAAGACAGGAAGACAGCCACATTTTCTAATGTAAAATGCTAAGGGAAGAACTAAATCTCATTATGTACGAAATAGATAAGAAGGAATATCACTTGTTCTTTCTTCTCCAGCAACCTCTCCACTCTACGGCCACACCACACACCCATGTTGAAATGGAATCAATAGTGTACAGTAATGCATTTCAGAAAAGAGCTTTATTGTATAACCATCCATTACGACAACTTCAGATATTTCAAAGTAATGACAGTGGGTCTTTTGCCCTCAATTAGCAAATTAATACTCAAGACAAAAACACTTTTTTCCTTCAACAGGGATGATCATTACTTGATACTTATCTGAGTATTAAGAATGTGCTGCTACTAGCAGGGCAGTTAAAAACATGTGTGTGCTCGGGAGTCAGGATTGCCTGGTTGTAAGAATCTGGATCCGTCCCTTAGAATGTGTATTACCTTAAGCAAGTTACTTAAGCTTTCCAAGTCTCAGTTTCCCACAAGTAAAAGGTGGACAGTTACTCTGAAGATTAAATTAGATCATACACGTAAAATGGTAAGACAGGGCCCAGCATAAAAGAAAGCTCGAGAAAAAACATGACTATTATTATTATGGTTATTAAATGCCTGCTATGATCCAAACACTTTTCTAGAAATAAAAAGATTAATAAAATGCAATCCACGACCCTGAAGCTTACGATTCTAAAAGAAGAACAGACATTTAATCAACAACTGTAATTCACTGAGATTACCAAAGAAAGGATAAAACAAAAACCTACTAAATATGAGCAAAGTGGGTTGATTAGGATCAAATTTCCCTGGTTACTACTCAGTGGCTGGGAAAAAGTCAATTTACCACTATATTCATTTTGGCTTTAGAAACTAATGACCTAGATTTTAAATTAAATAGGTTAAAATAAAGATGATGGCTCCTCCTTTATTTTAAAAGCTTCCTTTAATAAACAGGTTTGACTAACTACCCTTGAAGGGAGCTGAACTTTGTCCCTCACAGTCAGTCTAGGCAAGCATTTGCCAACTTTCACTCTAAATGTGCAAGTCCAAGTGTCTACCTAGTCCCTACACATATTTCATTTTGGCATAGCTGTCACTCAAGCCTTATTTCCAAAGTTACAAGTTAAAAGACAATTATGAGAATGTTTGGTTTGAAGGAGCCTCCATATAAAATTATGTTTGCTGCCTCTGTTACACACTCATACTACTTAAATAATGTAACATTTACCATAAAAATCATAAATCTGATTAGCTACATGTCAGACTACTGTACAAATAAAATTCTGAGTATATTCACTTTTGCAAGCATCTTACAATTTCCTGCAAACAAAAGACAAAGAAAAATATTTCAAAAAGAATTTATCTCTTTTTGTTCAACATTGAAAGTCAAGCAAAAAGAACATTTTCATCCATCATATGCAGAGTATTCTGCTTTAATGATTGCAGTATTCATAATTTAATCCATTACAAAACAAAAAAAGAGAATTAGAACTACCTGTCAAAAGGATCCAAGTAAATAAGCCCATTATTAACTCCATTACAGGAACAAAAGAAATACCAAAATGGGACAAAAGATATACAGACCACTATGGACACAGACCCTAGCTTTTGCAATAAAACTATGAAATTTATGTATCTAGGGTAGCTAGGCTTAACCTAAAGTGAAATATTCTAAAGAGCTTCATACAACCCAATAGGAGATACACCATATTTGTTTTCCATTAAAGGCAAAATATAAAATGCCAATAAGGGAGTTTAACATCTGATGGATGCACTCTTTGATAATATATTTAAACAAATGTTAATTGCTGCCCTCATTCTTCTGTTGGTATTTAGCATATTAAAAAGATACAAATTTCTTTTCATTATATTGCTAGAAAAATTGCTAAATGCTTTCCTAGAGTTAAATCACAGTAACCATCAAACAAGATGTTGCAATATTGAAAACTTTACCTATCTGGAATTATTTTAATATAGAATTATACAGCAAGATCATCTAATATTAGAAAACAAAGATTGGTTGGTTCAACTGAATGTTTGAAATATGTGCATTCACAATAGAAGCCATGACTGCAACTCTTAGACAGCTAACCCTAACCATTAAGAAGGGAAAAACGAACAGACAAAAAATTTTTAAGTACAAAAAGAAGGGCCCCAGCTTTTGATTAATTCTATATTTACATTTCCTAGGAAATAAGCTCTGACTTATTATTTTTTTAAAAATTAATCATGCTTACTGGTGGCAAATATTCAAAGGTACTGTGGTTTCTAACCCTGACTACACATCAGAATGTGATGAAAAACTACAGACGCCAGGGCCCCGCTCCAGGCATGTTAAGTCAGGATTTTCAAAGTTGGATGAGTCCAGTTTTTCTAAAGTTTGAAAGGTGATTCTCGTGAACAAGGGTGGAGAACCACTACCATGATTTAATTAAGATTCAGAATACGAAAAAGGAAATTATAATTTCATAGAATCTAAGGTTCAACATTCATTCAACAATACATTTAAATGCCTACTACGTGCCAGGCACTGCACTAGGGAAAAATAAATAGAAAGGAATGGCATTTTTTTCCTCAAAAAACATATAGTCTAGCAGAAGAAAACAGATATATAAACAGGTAATTATAATACAGGAGCCTAATTTTAGGGTACTATGGGATAAGACAGGAGAGACACCAAGTTGGAGAATCAAAGATTTCCTGGAGGAGATAATGCTTGAAATAAACTTCAACAGATGTGAAATCCAGTATCCATGCATAAGTTTAACTTTAAAGGATAACTCAACTCAATAAATACTCTAAAAGATCCTACTGTACCACTTACCAATATTAGCCTGAAGTTGGTGGAGTAGGTACAAGTTCCTCGAACAGAATTCTGGAGTTATGTATACAATCCGATATTTGCCTCTGCAAAAACAAAGAAATAGTAGAGGAAACATACCATCATAAAGAAAACAATCACTCAATGAGTTACAACTTAAAACCATAATATCTGATAAATCTTTTAAATAGTAATATATTACGCCACTTATCAAAAACTAAATGAATGTTATACATGTGTGTGTATATCCACATATATTAGTTTTTGATTTCACTTCAACGCTTGAAAATAAAAATTAGCAATGCTTGTCATGGAGTACTCAGGATTAAGGTGACATTAGAAGCCAGGTTCTGATCTCCTGCAGTCTTGTCCCAAAACTTGAATTAAGTGCAATCCACCCACATACCACCCTCCTTCTCAGAGAACTACAGCCCATTATCCTATCTCTGACTCCCTCCCCCAAGATTAATCTGACAGCACCCATGTTTCTCAATGTATTCTGCTCTCTTGCCTATTTCTTCTTGGGCCAAGGACAGACAGTGTATCAAAGTCAAGTCAATTACTCTCTGTCCTGGAATTTGGGCATCTGACCAAGAAACAACCAGTCTCTGCAAGTGATAAGACCTAGAACACATAAAAAAAGGAGCTGCAGAGCAGTCTTCTCCTATTTTGTGACTAGAAAAGCAGAGAATGCTTATCTCCTCAGAGAGAAGAATGAGGAAGACACATAGATGCTCTAAGTAAAAAGAAAGCCCTGTAATATTTTCAATACCCAATTCCAGTCTGTTCCTAAAGACTGGCTAACTTCTTTTCAGTGGGAGCCACAAGACATACCTGCCTCCTTAACATAAAATTCAGTATTTGCTTAAGCTCGCTTGATTGATTTCTATTCCGGACAGACAGAATCCTAATTAATACAATGTTTCTAATAAAGATTAGGTCTTGTGCAAAATATGTATATAGTCTCTTTTCCATTCTACCAAATGAAGACAGATCAAGTTAAATGAAATGAAATTTAGTTTTCTATATAAAAAGACTAAAATATTTAAATTTTATTGTCTATTGTGTGCTAGGCATGGTGCTTCCACTAGGAATTATGAACAAAACAATTAAGAACAAAACAGATATCCTTTTAATCTCATGAAATTAATTCAGTATTCTAACTAACACAGGAAACAGTATATAATAAGCTCTGCCCAGGTTTGAATCTCAGCTCTACTTCTTACAAGTTAAGTGATCTCAGGCAGGCACTTAACTTCAGTGTGCCTCAGTTTCTACAGCGTAAAACCGTGATAATAATTATAAAGACAGCTAATTCTTTATATACCTAGATCCAAGGGAAACCCAAACAAAATCCAAGCTGGCATTTTAGTTGAAAAGATGATTTTGAAATATTTATGGAAATATAAAGGACCTAGAACAGACAAAAACCTTTCAAAGAAAAGAATAAAATTGGAAGACTCGCACTACCTGATTTCAAGGCTTTTTATAAAGCCATAGTCATTAAGACACCAATCCAGACAGACGAACAGAAAATAGAGTACAGCAATAAACCCACATATATGTAGTCAATTTATCTTTGACAAAAGTGCAAAGGTAATTCAGTGGAGAAAGGACAGTCTTTTCAACAAACAGAGTGGAACAAATGGATATCCTTATGCAAAAAAATAAATTATAATCAATATCTTGTACAATAAACAAAATTTACATAAAATGGGTTATAGACCTAAATGTAAAACTTAAAACTGGAACACTTTTAGGAGAAAACACAAAAGAAAACCTTTGTGATCTTGAGTTAGGCAAATATTTCTTAAATTTAACACTAAAAGCAAAATCCATAAAAGAAAAAATTGACAAACTGCACTTTATCAAAATGAAAAACTGCTGCTCTTCAAAAGAACTGTTAAGAGAATGAAAAAAGTCATAAACTAGGAGAAAATGTTTGCAAAGCATATATCAAATAAAGGATTTGTACTCAGAATATATAAATGACTTATCAAAACTCAATAAAGAAAAAATAACAATAAAGAATGGACGGGGCCAGCCCAGTGCTGTAGTGGTTAAGTTCACGCACTCTGCTTCAGGAGCCTGGGGTTTGCAGGTTCGGATCGCAAGCGCAGACTGACCCAATGCTCATCAAGCCATGCTGTGGCAGCATCCCACATACAAAATAGAGGAAGATGGACAAAGATGTTAGCTCAGCGACAATCTTCCTCAAACAAAAAGAGGAGGATTGGCAACAGACGTTGGCTCAGGGAGAATCTTTCTCACCAAAAGAAAAAAAAAAAACAATGGACAAAAGATGTGAATAGACACTTCCTCAAAGAAGATATACAGATGGTCAATAAGTGTATGAAAAGATGCTCAACATCATTAGTCATTAGGAAAATGTAAAATAAAAACACTGAGCCCCTATTAGAAGGGCTAAAATTAAAGACTGGCCATACCAAGTGATGGCAGAGAGGAGCAGAAACTGGAACTTTCAGACACTGCTGGTGATGGTACACTCGCAAAAAGTCTGGCAGTTTCTTAAAAAGTTAACATAGAATTACCATATGATCCAGCAATTTCACTCCTAGACACATACACAAAAGCACTGAAAACATATGTTCATATAAAAACTTGTACACAAATGTTCATCGTACCATTATTCATAAAAGCCAAAAAGTGGAAACAAGCTAAATGTCTGTCACTGATGAATGGATAAATAAAATATGGCATGTGAATGGAATATTATTCATCCATAAAACGAAATGAAGTCCCGACAACATTATGCTAAGTGAAAGAAGTCAGACACAAAAGGTCACATGCTAGATGAGTCCATTTATATGAAATGTCCAGAATATGCAAATCACAGAGACAGAAAGCAGATTACGGTTGGAAGGGGGTAGTGGAGGAACAATGGAGAGTGACTACTTAATGAATATGGAGGACTTCTGGGGGTGATGAAAATGTTCTGGAATTAGATAGTGAGGATGGCTGCACAGCATTGTGAATGTACTAAAAGCCACTGAACTGCAGACTTTTTAAATGGTTAAAATAATGAATATTATATTATATAAATATACCTCAGTTAGAAAAAAAAAGTTAAACATATATCCATCACAGGATTCAGCCATTCCACTCCTTGGTTTAAATCAAGGAAATGAAAACACATGTCCGTAAAAGACTTTATAGAAATGAGTGAAGTTTGGGGATGATGGCTATGTTCATTTTCTGGATTGTGGGGATGGTTTCGTGGATGTTTTTATGCCAAAACTTACCAAATTATACATTTTAAGTATGTAAAGTTTATTGTATGTCAATTACACCTCAATAAAGGTGATTTAAAATGTTTAGGAAAAGAGAAAACATATGTTCAAAAAAAGATTTTATAGAAATGATCACAGCAGCTTTATTAGTAATTGCCCAAAACTAGAAATAGCTGCAGCGTCTATCAATAAGGAAATGAAAAAACAAACTGTGGTATTTTCATACAAAGAAATACCACTCTGATATTTAAAAAAAAAAAGAGACTATTCACACATGCAACAACATGGAAGATTCTCAAAACATCATGCAGAATGAAAGAAATCTTACACAAAAGAGTTCATACTGCATGACTCCATTTATACGAAGTTCTATAACAGACAAAAGGACAGTAGAAAAAATTAGAACAGTGGTTTGCTTTAGGATGGAAGACAGAAGGACAGACTGGAAAGGGACATGAAGGAACTTTCTGGAGTGACAGTAATATTCTACATCATGATATGGGTTTGTGTTCCATATTTGTACGCATTCATCAAAACTCAGTAAACGCATGTGTGTATGTGCATGTATTAATATATACACACGTATTTTTGTTTGTGTCTGAGCTCTTTGGTAAGAATTATGTCATGATAGTACTGCTGGGGCAAGAGATCTAGAATCCAGGCCCTGCTCAGCCATTTATTCCCTGAGTGACTTTGGGCAAATTACTTTCTCCGGGCCTAAGTTTCCTGATCTGTAAAGTGAGACAAAGCTAGATACTCTCCAAGTTCTCTTCCAAAACCAAACTTTTACAATTCCATGATCACAGTGCTAACCTTACAGGCCAAGAACTGAAAATAAGAGGTTTCTTTAAGTTTGAAAGATTTTAAAATTAATAGTTCTGCAAATGTACTATAAAAAGAAAGTACATTTTTAAATCATGGACATTTTGTGCATGCATTAAATAAAATTTCTGTGTGTACAAAATTCTCTCACATACCATAGACACCTGACCATATGATCAGAAATCACATAAATTACTTACAATTTAACATCCTCTAGAACATTTTTTGACTGTGCTGATCCCAGAAAACAAGCTGGAATGTTGGACATTCTATAAGGAAAAAAGAATATTCTGGAGACATGTATGTACTACAAATATCAACTTCATTCTTAAGTGAGAAGGAATAAAGAATACAATGATGTACATATTCCTCTTCTTTGCAATCCTCACTCTTTTTGTAACTCACTAATTTTATAAACCAATTCCTTCAAGGAAGCAGGCTATTAAGGTGGGTTTTTCCAAAAAGAATGCAAGCTCAGGTTAAAGAAGTTAAAAATTTTTTTGTAACTAAAAAACGTACTTCCATGCATACACTTCATACAAAGCTAAAGAGCAAGGGTAGCCAAAAGAAAAGAATTTTGAGATATGCAATGTAAATTGGCATAAAGTTTGCTTTTAAAAAAATTTTTATCATGCCACTTGGTAGCCTTGAATTACAGTGAGCTCAAGAAAGAAGAAAAGTTCCTCCACTAAAGTGTCATTTATTACTGATAAAGATAAAGCAACACTTATAGAAATGTGTTACTAGGAAATAGATTTTAACATAACATGATAGATCAGATGTTTCCTTCACTGAATTAAAAAAGGGGTGATAATGTGGCAATGAAAACATTACTTACTCAAGCTGGAGCACTTGGTCTTCCATCAAAGAAATAAGAGGAGAGATGACAATGGCAATCCCACCTACATAAACTGGTGGATACTGGAAGCATAAACTCTTTCCATATCCTTGAAATAAAAATAATGCACTCATAGAAATAAAAATAAAGCCTTGGTACTTCAATTTCTTCTTACAATGTACTTATATTAGATGAAGGATCACTATTAATATGCTATCTTCCTAAGAGGTAATGATGCATAAATTTGAGCATCTTCTCTCAGTTCACTCTCTTCTATATTTTACATCATTTGAATTTCTATTTGTATTTGTATTCGTATTTTGAGAGTTTAACGAAAGATTAAGCATTTCGAAACATTTTTGTTTTTTAAAGGATTAGGTTATTTGCGTAAGTATAACTTACCAGTTGCCATGACAACAACGTTATCTCTTCTTTCTTCCAATACAGAATGAATCACTTTCCACTGAACCCTGGAGAATGATAAGCAAAAAGCTGTTTTGTACTAACAGGAAACCCAAGGGACAAGGTGAAATCCTTTTAATTTTTTCACTTTCTCTAACTGAATTTCCTTTACATTTTTAAGCTTCAGTATAAAAATGTATCAGCCCCAGAACTTTAAAACAAAGAGCCCCATTTGGTCAACCTCCCATTTAAGAAGACTGAACAATTAGGAGTTTCTATGGTATATGTATTAAATTTTATTACATACATCTCAAGTATAAAATAAAGTACAAGCTGCATACTAGATATCCAACAGAATCACTGGTTTAAAATAAATAACAGCAATGCTCCAGCGACAAAGGTTGACTGAGAAGGGAAATGAGGGAACTTTCTGGAGGGATTATAATCTTCCATATTTTATTTTATTTTATTTATTTATTTTTTTTTTGTGGAAGATTAGCCCTGAGCTAACTACTGCCAGTCCTCCTCTTTTTGCTGAGGAAGCCTGGCCCTGAGCTAACATCTGGCCCATCTTCCTCTACTTTATATGTGGGACGCCTACCACAGCATGGCGTGTCAAGCAGTGCCGTGTCTGTACCTGGGAACCGGCGAACCCCGGGCCACTGAGAAGCAGAACGTGCGAACTTAACTGCTGCACCACCGGGCCGGCCCCTATTCTTCCATATTTTAATAAGGGCTTAGGTTATATGGGTGCATGCATGTACACTTAAGACTTGCAAATGTACACTTAAAGTTTGACCATTTCCGTGTATGTAAATTTTACATCAAAAGAAAAAAACATAAATAAATATTTAACTATGGTTACTGATTCATATGCTGAAGTACTTAGGGAGAAGTGTAATGATGCCCACAGTTTACTGTAAGATGCATTTTAAAAACTGGATGGATTAAGGAATGGATAGACAGATGATCAAAGGATATGTGATAAAGCAAGTAGACTAAAATGTTTAAAATACAGGTATTCATAGTACAAACAAATTCAACTTTATCTTTGAAAACTTTTTTAGTAAAACATTGAGAGAAAAATCAATTGGACATGTGATCTCCTGGTGTGCTGATAATGACCTATTCTCTTTTATCTGAGTGCTGTTTACAGAGGAGGCCTAGTTTGTGAAAATTCATTGATCTGTACATTTGTGTGCACTATTCTGTATGTAGGACATAGTTTAATAAAAAAAAAATTTTAAGATCAAAATAAAAAAGGAAATAAATGCTTCCATGGATTAAATTTTAAATTCCCAGAATCAGAAAAATCCAGTCTAGATTTTTGCACTCTTCTCAGTTTTATTCAAATTTACTTGTTTCTCATCTCATTTTAATACTCAGATGTAAATACATTTGAATATATTAAAACTGATAAAATTATCACTGTTCTTCAAACTGTTGTCTTACGAATTTCTATTATATCAGCATGCTTTGGACAATAAGATGCACACAATAGGCACATAGATACTTATTTAATGAAAAGTCAGCATTAAGATTCATTTATTAATGTACTTAAACTGGTTTCTACCCAGAATTCTCTAAAGTAAGGAAAACCATTTTCTTGACTTATAAGAACAACTTGCAGATATGAATTTTATATAAATATTACTTCAAAATAACTCTGTAGTCACTCACAGGAAATACAGTGCAGCATGTATAAACTAGAGCGAAGTTGGGCTGTTACTGTTAAATGGATGGATTATTTGCCTTGTTTCCTTTGCAATAAGATAGGAAATATGCAATTTAATTAACTGAGATTATACTCACGGCTTAAAACTGGAATGGCCAAAGTAGGTCTTGAGGCAAATCACTTGCTCTGCATTAGGTCCTGGTAACAAACGGTCTGAAGATAAAAGAAAATGGGCATTATGTTAAAATAGAAGCACACAAGGTAAGAGGGAAGGAAAGTTTTATTTCACTGGCTTCTTTTAAAGAATACAGTGATAGATACCAAAGGTTACTGTTCTCTGCCTTTTAAATCCAACTAATTTGGCCATCTGGGTACCAATCATGACTCCAGTTAATACTTTGATTATCAGCTAATACTAAGGATTAGAACTTTGTTGTGGTTCACACTTTTGCTGGCACTGTCAAAAACCAATGTTTTGGAATTTGCTATCCTTCTAAAAACTAACGTTTAGACCCAACCTGGAAAGCAATATACCAATCCAAATCTTATAAAAATGGTAATCAGAAATTACATTAGTGTCACAAATAAAATCCACAGATAAAATGAAATCTTAATTTTAGTTACCACTCCACCAAATCTTTGACCAAAATTCTAACTGCCTAGAATAAAGAAGTTACGTCAAAATTACCCAACTGATTTTCATTTTCTTCTCAGGTTTAAGGGTTCATAAGTGGCCAAGAAAGAGCAAAGCAAAGAATTAAGACAATTCATCTTTAAACAAATGAAAATTCATTATTATACTTCTCAGCTTTAACAACTCTAAATAGAAAATGAAACTGATTTGGAGATATCATGTCTGTATTTGAGACAAGAAAAAGGGAAAAACAATTTTTTTAACATCTTCATATATCTTCCGCATACAAAATACATTTAAAATTTTCCACTTTGTAACACTGATGAAATCCAGCTCTAGAGAGAGTTCTCTTTATGAGAAGATCCCACAGTTTGCTACAATTAATGCTATTACTTACACTTAAATAACAGAAGGTTCATTTAGTGGATTCTTTACTATGGTTAGCATACACAGCATGAAAATTAGTCCATTTTGCTATTTGTTCCTGTACAACCTGTTTTAAGTAATAAGCCCCTGAAGAAGAGACACTACGTATCTACGCCATTTACAATAACGTTTAATATAATTAATGATTTTTTTATGATTTTAACAAACCAAATATAAAATTCAGGACGAAAAATTTCACATCACCATGTTCACCAAATGACACAACACTTCTATTACTCTCCTTTATAAGTAGTAAGATTGTGCTTTATGGAGACCAAAATACTGAGGAATTTAGTAACAAGTTTTTAGGACCTAATTAACAATATCACAAAATCCTTAACCTCCCAAAGGTTTAAAAACTAGACTCTAAATCAAATTCAGTGCTAAGTATCAGAGGTGAGTCATTCCAAACGTATTACAGTGCTTACCTTCATCATCTTCTTCTTCCTCTTCAACAGCTTCACTCTCATCTTCCTCATCTTCAAAAGGAACATCCAGATTTCCTTCCATTTCTGTGCCTTTTGAATGAATTGGATCTACCGTGACAGTATTTAGGTTTTCTAAAGTCTGGAAGTTTAAAAGAAATTTTAAAAGCAAAACCATCAACAGTGTCATATCTTTTTCACCAAACACAAAAGGAGTATTATTTACAGAGCCTACAATTTTGTTCAAAGCTGGCAGATGTGCAAGCAATACCACAAAAGAACATGTGTGCTCCGGTTTAAATATGAGCTCAAGAATGGTTTCTAAGGCACAAGGCCAAAGATGGAATACTTTCAGCATGAACAGTGTTCATTAATAGCATATAATGAACTGTCTCTGGGGAAAGTTATCATAAATTTTGACTTTAGATAACTTGAAACATTTTTTCTTTATCACACTTCAATGTTTTCAATTCTGAAAGGGCCAATGTGGGTTTTAATGTTACCTTTGTAATGAGTTTCTCTATATCACGTGTCAGTGTCAGTCACATCCTTTTTGAGTAAGCATAAGGTTTAAATCATAAACAAACAATAAATGTGGTTTTGGAAGCGTCAAAACAACAACAACAAAAAGATTCAAATAACTTTAGGAAAGGAATATTACAAATGTGAAATAAAGTTATTTGTTTTTATTTTGACAATATCTGATTTCCTCCTCTAAGTGAAGACGATCAATTTAAAGAGTGTTAGGATATTTCAAAACTATTTCACCTCCAAAATTTTTTACTGAGAAGTGACAGGAAGAATTACTAAACCACAGTTGTCATTTTCTCTTTTTATTAAACCTTCCATTTAATAAATTTGACTTTAAAGGTTTAAAAAAAGTGTATTCATTTCAAGCCTGGAAAGGGGAAAAATGTGATTCTGTTCCTGATTTTTTATTCAAGTCAACAAACATACTTAGAAAAGCATTTTGAAAATAAAGTTCTTTCATATGGGCATCCAGATTGCCTTCTAAGAGGTTCAATATATAAGTTTGTAGAAGTACACAAGTATCCTATAAATGCACTACTTGAACAGTACTCCTCAGAGAAATGGTTAATCAATGAAGGAATATAATTTGGTATTTACGTTCTGTTATTAGTGTTAGCTCATATTTACTGGACACTTAAAAATTCCAGACTCTATACTAAGCTCTTCACAAGTAACACCTTAAATAATAATTACAACTGTTAACTGAGTATCACAAAGGCTAAGAAACTTGCCCAAAATCACACAGCTAATAAATGGAGAAGCTGGTATTCAAACCCACATCTAAATTCAGAATCCACATTCCTAATCACTACTCACTACGCTGTCTCAAAACTAAAGAATCAGGAACCTAACCTCATTTCAAAACAACAAAAATCACATTGACCTAAAGATGAAGAATAAAAAGTATGCATAATAGTGAACTACTGTATTTTTCTTCATTTTTCATTTAATTTGGCTAAATTTTTGCTTTTCTTTCTTATTGTCCATCCTTAGTTCACAAAACCTAAAAAAGAAACTGGAGGTTGAGTGAAGGGGTAGAAAATACATAAATTATAAAATAATATTTTCAACTTATATAATAAAATTGGGGAAAACAGAATCATCTAAAACATTAGAAAATTATATATAATAAATATAAAATATCCATAGTAAATAAAACCAAAGAAAGTAGAGATGAATATTGAATGTATCAAAATAGAACTTCCAAATAAAAGGGGACATACATAGATGGGAAGAAAGAGAAACTTATTTCAATACTGGAGAGCTGAATCACTACCCACATTCCAGAAAAAGATGAAAAGAAAGTGACCTAAGAGGGAACAGAGAAAACATAGTAGCATGCTTTCTAGTATGTAAAAATTAGTATACTATCACTAAAATATTATTCATAGACATATAAAGCTGTAAAGAAATATGAACTGGAAAAAATATAATGTTACATAATTGATAGCAACCTCATTGTGGTGGGACCAGTTTAGAATTAGGTAATACTTTACTTAATTACATATCCTTTGGAAATAACTGGAAGTAATTTTCTATACTTTTAAACATACCTTAAGCATCTCCATTTCTAAATCTTCATCACTTTCAATTATATAAGATACATCCTCTTCATTATCCTTGGAGGATACATGCTTTAAAAAAAAGTATTTCAAACATTAATTTCCAATATAATTGACTTCATACCCTCTTTTCTACAAAATAAAGTTCCTATACACTAGATATCTTTAGACAACTTCCTCTTCTTCTCTAGCAGATAAATTTATATGACATATTTATGTTTATATGATACGTAGGTAAAAAGGGAGAGAGGGTAGTAGGGAGGCAGAAAGAGAAGGAAAAATAAACATAAAAACAAAGAAAGAAACAAAGAACCAAAAAAAAACAGAAAGAAATATAATTGGAAAGATAGACAAGATAAACAGACTTGAAATAAAGCCCACCCTCTAAATGAGAATACAAAATGACAAGTTCAACCATGGTTAAAAAATGTCAAACTGTGTTTCCCAAAGTTTTTGACTACAGCAACTTCTTTGCAATGTTGGAAAATTCTGTACAAAGCCAGCAACAACAGGTGTTCTTTTATATCCACTGATTTAAAAAAAGATCACCAAAAGCTACTATGATTGTAATAATACCTTTAAATAAATTGCTATTTTACAAATAGCATCTACACGTATTTGAAAAACAGTGTCACAAAAGTTTATTTATTCAGACATAGCCTATGTTTGGATATAAGGAGCTTTAACAATAATTTGGCAATCCCCAGGAAGCAAGTGTCCAAAAGCATGGAACCTGCACAAAAGAAACCCACAAAACATATATAGAAAAAGCATTCCCCAATATGTCTAATGTTTACGTTGAAAGTAGGAAAAGGAAGTATAGCCTTAATTAGCCTGCAAAAACTAAGCCTTAAGAAAAGACTGTAAGTTTTATACAAGAGAAAAATTCTTTTACTTTTTAAATGGGGTCTTTAATGACTAAAGGAAAAAAATGCTAATAATTATTGCAGAATAAAAATTGGCAAGAATTGGGATAAAAGATATCAGTCAGATCATGAAATCCTGATCACAATTCTGTATCATTATATGAAACATATCATTCTAAAGTGTATACCTAATGAGAAATTTCTAGAAAATTAAAGACTAATGCAGACGTTAGCAAAAGATATTTCCCCAAAGGGGAATCTGTCTTAGAAGTGGTTGGTATGAGAATAGTTTGAAAACAACTTTAAAACAAAATGCATTTATACACTGATAGAAGTGATTGCTAACACAGTTACCAAACATAGACAATTTTTTAAACACTGAGACTTTGAGCGCCATTAGAAAACTGAGGAGGAAATAACCCTAATAAATGACTTGCAAATCTAATTTTAAAAAGTTACTGCAAAAGAAAATGCATAAAATTCTACCAAATATGGGCACTCTAGGTAATTTTCTTAACTGATGAACAACAATTATGTGATAAAAGTATACAGCTATATGATATCTCTTTTTATGATGTGTCTTTATAATAAAAGAAACACAATAATTCCTCTAACACAACTTCACTGTTTCAAAAACTACGCATAACTTAGCCAGGAGAAAAACATAATTTCACAACTTAATTGAATCAGAACATAATAATTAGAAATCTAAACATGAAGTTGAGAATATGGAATATTTAACAATAATCTATTAAGAAAAAAACATGGATTGGTGACTCTCCAGATGACAGAAAAGGTTAGAGTCAAGCAAAAAACATCAGTTTATTAGAAACCCTCTCACAATAACAAGTAGAGAAAACCCATATGAGGAAATAAAAATACTCCCCAAAATCAGGTTTGGGAGAGTAAGCACTAGAAGGTATGTCGGGAATCCACAAAAAGCAGAGATACCTGTTATGTAAAAAGCAAGAAAAAAGCTAAAATAGCAAATTACAACAAATACGTATTGACACTATAAAATCTTTCCACTATAAGACTATACGATGCTGCTTATTATACTAAGTAAGGAGCAGTAAACTATGGGTCACAAGCCAAATCCAGCCCGCTTTTTGTCTTTGTAAACAAAGTTTTAACGAAATGTAGACAGGTTTATTTGTTTACATTTGTCTATAGTTGTTTTCACACTAAATTGGCAGAACTGAGTAGTTACAACAGAGACTGTGTGGTCTGCAAAGCCTAAAATATTTACTATCTGCCCCTTTACAGAAAAAAAATCTGCCAACCCCTAATAGTGAATGAAATTGTTTTCTCTTGATTTAGTACCTCAGGAGATTTGTAAGTAACATCACTAAGATTTTTTTCCTGAGCCTGCTGTTCCAAAATTTGGAGTTCATATTCTGTGATATCTAATGACATAATTCTTTCTGTTTCCTCTTTCAACTTATTGGCTTCTAGTTCATCTTCAAATTCATCGTCTTTTCTTTTCACTTCATTTCCAAGTACATTTTCTCCATCATGTTTAATGAAATTATCCAGTGTTGTGTCCCATGTCTCATCTTTAACTTCAGTAAAAATTTTATGTTCTCTAATTTGTTTCTGTAGTACTCCACCAGCAGTCGGGTCTCCCAATGGTAGTAAGTTAGAATTGCCGCTAGGCTTCAATTCGGTCTCGGTAGAACCAAATATCATCTTCCTCAATGAATCGAGATTTTCTGAAATATCCTTCAACAGTACAGAAACCCTATAAAAATTTTAAGAGAGGCTAATTCAATTTTAATTGCATTACAATTTTAATTAACTATAAGGACAAGTTTTAATGCATTTTAAACAAGTAGAAGCTTTCTAAACTTTCACTTAAAGGACACATTGGATTAAAGCTGCTCTTCATTCCCTAATTCCCCCATATGTGAATAGCTTGTGAGCTCCTGTCTAGTACAGTAAGGCACTTCTGCATTCAACAGTTGACATGTATGCTTACTAAGCATTAGCAGTGTTTGGTCCCAAAGTAACTGCTTATACCAGTTATACTCTTTATGGTAATCAAATTAAATGTAAATCAAGTCAACGATAAATGACCACCAAAAAAAAAAAAAACTATTTCATTGGATTCTAAGTTGAACACGTGGACTTTCCAAATTTCCTTTTTAAATAAAAAGTTCTATCTGATTAACTATAGTCAAAAGAACTATAAAAGTTTGGAGGAAAAATCTGAAAAACTCCTAGGACTCTGCATTCAGATTGCTTCAAGTGTCTTAAGTTTTCACTCCTGTACATTTAAACAAAATGAAACTGGAAATTGTAGATGATATATTCCGGGTGTGCTTTAAACAAGAAACACTCAGAACTCCAAGCAGCAGGCCTATAATGCATGAAAAAGCCATTATGTTATCAAAAGATTAGGAACCAAATATACATTAATATGTTAAGTCAAAAGAACATTTTTAGGATCCCATGTTTTACCTAACTTTTTCAATTTACTGATCAATTACCAGTCCCAATACATAAGAGTATTTATGTTTTAATTCAAAAATGATGCTATTTTGCATCTTCAAAAACCTCAAAACTAAACATATTCTTTGGAATAGAAAAACAATGTTCCCATCAGTGGACAAATATAACAAGCAAGAAAACATGGAAAAGACGTATATGAATCTATATGAATAAATATGAACTCAACTCCTTAATTACATTTACTAATATAACATTTGCAAGTCTTAAGTGTACATGCATGCACCCACGTAACCAAAGTCCTTATTAAAATATGGAACATTACAATCCCTCCAGAAAGTTCCCTCCTTTCCTTTCTCAGTCAACCTTTGTCCCTGGAGCACTTCTGTTATTTATTTTAAATCAGTGATTCTATTAGATATCTAGTATGCAGCTTGTACTTTATATGACTTAGTGATTTTAAATGGCTATACTATAACCAAACCTGGTTAACTGCAAAGGAAAACCACCACTGGAGTGTAAAATGAGGCACACTATCTTATTTGTTGGTTAGAGGCCTTATTAAAGTAATTTTTAGTTACTTCATAAAAGTGGAAATTAGAGGGAGAAAAGGGAATATGAAGAGCAAAGAGACATTTTACTATTTAACTAATGCTTTTGTTTAGCTCTTCTAATTTTTGTATTAAAATCAATAGTTAATAGAATCTGACATGACTTTTTAAGTTTTATATTGATGATTCAAATAAAAATTTGATCATTCATGGAAATAAACTATCAAAAATGCTGAGTTGTTTCATGAGTTATTTCCATAGTAAAAATAGCACCATTAACAGCACTCCAAAGTTGGATTCAAGCTTAAGATGACAAAGTCTACATCAACACAAACAAAATCAAAAGGAAAATTAAGTTCAAAACCTAAAAACTCACTAATTCTAACACTCTAAAATTTTTTACATCTTATAAAGAATGTTTAGCATTACACACAGGTATTCAAATATAAGAACAACAGGCAAAACTCATTTTATTGCACTTCACTTTACTGTACTTCACAGATACTATGTTTTTCATAAGTCCCTTCACCAGCAAAAAGATTACCATGCATTGAAGGTGCAGATGATGGTTAGCATTTTTTTAGCAATAAAGTATTTTTTAATTAAGGTATGCACTTTGTTTTACAGACATAAAGCTATTGCATACTTAACAGACTACAGAATAGTGTAAACATAACTTTTATGTGCACTGGGAAACCAAAAAATTCATGGGACTCGCTTTATTGCAATAATACCTTACTGCCACAGTCTAGAACCGATCCCACAATATCCCCAAGGTATGCCAAAATACTTTAGTAGAAACAGATACGTGACACAGTTTACTTGTTAAATGCATGAGGAATGCTGCCACATATAAACACAGCAACAGTGACATACAGATTGACTGACAAGACTACAAGGGCTCATTTATCCTGTGCTAACATCAGAAAATGACACGTTTCATGTAAGATAACAATTTACCCTAACAAATATCAAAGGCCGTCCTGCCTTCTTCCATAAGGCATAGTGTACTTTTCCTTCTTTCTTAGGATTGTTATTATGCATATTAGTAGCCTGCAGACAGTCTCCGCACCCAGCAGAATGTCAAGTACATGACGGCAATGCAACAGATATGCACTGAATTTAAATCAATGACTAAGTCATACTGTATAATTCAATACCCTCCAGATCCACTGAAGCAGAAAGCTGTTCCCTGCAGTAACAAACCACAAACCACTCTATTTTAAGAGTTCTTAGTTCTAATTCTTACAGTTTGTCCACTCCACAGACTGCCAGCTGTAACTTCCAGCTGTTGTCATGTGCATACCATTCCTCATCCATACCTGGTTTTCATTTTAACTGGATATCCAAGCTTGTAAAACTGTATCTATAAATGAAAAGCAAACATGTTCTGAATGTGGCCTCATGCACTCCACTGGAATTCACTGAGCTTGAATTCATGCTGACGGCACATATTTTGGCTGTTCAGAGGCCTTTTTGGTCCCCTCTGGTTCTGAAGTGTAATCTAGATAAGTCAGGTATTACTGTAGACTTGTTACAAAGAATCTAAAATAAGAGATTTAACTAGTTGTTGTTTTGACACTAAAACTTTACAAGATTTATCTTTACTAAAAATATATCTAGTATTTCCTATTCTCAAATTTTAAGAAAACCTATTTAGCTTTGGTGTTACAAAGCAAAGCATTAAGCATATGCAATTTACATTCAGTAGATACTTTAATTGCTAGAACAAAGATCTGAAATGCATGTACACATCACGTAAATGGTGATTTTTCTTCTTTCATGAAGGGAAAAATGTAAAAATGAATAGGAAATGGCTTTACTGGTAACCCTTCCCCATTATCTTCCAGAAATTCTCAGTTACATAAAAACTACTAAAAGAAATGGCTAGGAGGAAAAATGACTCTGAAAAAGAGCTAAATTTCTTTATCATATTTTGAAATCTCTCAATCAAAATATATCACAAATTGCATCCAAAAAAGAATACAGTAACATCGCATTTTGTCAGAATCAGAATTCTATTTCAACTAACTGCTTCACATTTCTACAAAGTATTTTTGCCTCAAAATTATATTACCACATCGTAATCATTCTCTGTTCAAGAGCATTCCTGCTTTTAGAAGAAGTAATTACACAGCACCAGTAGTCCAACGTCTATTAATCCAAATATCTCAAGTTATCTAGTGCTTTAGCTATAAAAAGATCTTTAAAAGCTGAATGCCTCTTGTTCTAATTGTCTACTGATGTCTAAAAGTTGCTTTTATTTGTAGATTTCAAGTGACCAAACTATAAATATAATTAAAGGATAGATGCCCATAAACAGACAGAAAAACACAACTTTGAATCTTAAATATTTTACTTCATGTGGACTTATGAATTTTATTTTACTGGGTTTCATAAAACATCCTATAGAGCAGACAGAAAAGTCTTAAAATGTTTGATGCACAATTTAACAACTGGAAGATATTTCTCAAATTTATATGTCAGTCTGTGTGCACGTATTCAAGCAAATTTATTTGAGTCTACCCTAACAAACAGTAATTTTTCATATATAGGAAAATGCACTAAGAAGCAACAGAATCGATAAAAACAGATAAGATTTAACCTCTGTGGATTTTCCAACTTTCTGAAAGTGTCAGGAAGACGCTTAGCCAGATCCATCATCTCCTCGGAGACTGAAGTCAACTGTTTCCTCACGTCACCAAAAAGAAGTTCCTCCTCTGGAAAAATAGAATCAATATTAATTTTCAAACCACAAAGCAGAAATATTTATTTAGCCATTTATTTAAACAGCATTAGGGCTCACATGTTCATTTTCTTTCTTTAAATGAATTCCAGCAAAAAGACTTCCTTATCCTATACCCAAATCACCTCAGTCACTTTACTTCCCTTTCAAATTTCGCTATTTAAATTTTAGAGTAAATTCCAAGTGATGTGCATTCATACATATTACAACCCAGTGGTTATCAACCTAGGCAGAAAAGAAAGTAGAAATGAGACTCTGAACTCATCTGCCACCATTTCAAAATCAGAAATCAATGCAACACCATGTGGGCTGCTACTTATTAAATACAGTTTCTTAAACATAACTCTACCCAACAGCCATTCTTCATTGCCCTCATTGCCAGTCATCACCCAAATAAAATGCAAGTCTTTCTAATCAGTGAGCACCTTCCAAACTCTCAACTTCATTCTGTCTGGTACACCATTCTCCACCAACACCACAAAACCTGCCTTCCTTTCCCAAACCCCTCCCCTGCTCAGAATTTCTTACTCTTCATCAACACTCCTCTCGTCCTTTAGAAAGTCCAGCTCCTCTGAAGCATATAACATAGGATTACACCACCTGTTATTCCTGATTGCTGCAGTAATCTCGTGATCTCAAAATCACATCCTTTCGGTGTACCCACAACATGACTAACAAAAATGTACAACTGAAATCTCACAAGGTTGTAATCTATCATAACATTAATAAAAAAAAAAAAAAATCACATCCTTTCATTCATTGAAGGCTTTAGCACCCAGTTCACTGTCTTTCCCGTCACTACTACTCTTGTGATAACTCCTAGTGATTTCAACATTCACAGAGATGCTCCAGCTAAAAGTGTGGCCTTTTCAGTGCCTTGATCTCTCCATTTCCAACAATATTCTCCTCAGCTGACCTGAGCCACCCATTCCCATAGTCATACCCTTGACTTTATAATCGCCAAAAGTCACCACTCTTCCAAACTCCAATTGTAGGCATTACGCCCTCTGAACATCAGCATGCTTGCCCCAATATAATTCTTGCACACTCTCAGAACTAAATCCAGACTCACCACCTTTTCCTTACCCATTATCCTTCCCACTCCCTCTCCCCACCATGTCTTACTTTCCTTTCTTACCCATATTGTAGTAATCATTCCCTTCTGTGGACTCTCAACTCTTTTGCTCCTTCCTCTCTCCATGGGACTTACCTGACAAAACCCCCATTCTAATTAAACCAAGCTTTTTTACCAACTTGATGCCTACACTCGAGCAGTTGAATATAGCTGAAAATAAAACACAACTTCAATGACTCACTTCACTTTGCTTTAAATTCATGACACAGATCTCAAATGAACCCTCAGTAATCACTGTTAATTATTCTACATTTCCCACTTTCCCACTCTCAAGATGACTATTTCACAGCTATTTCTTTCTCTCCAGGCCTCCAACATCTGCTTGTCCCTCCTTTCACTCAGAGAACAACTTCACCTTTTATTTCACTAAGAAAACAGAAACAAGAAGAAGAGAACTATCTCATTTTCCGACCCCCAATCTGCTAATTAGTCTGTATTCATATCCCTCTTCTCTTTACAGCAAAATTCCTTGAAAGAGGTATCCATTCTCACTGTCTTAATTTTCTACTCCCATTTTTCTCCTAAACTGATGCCAAGTAAGCTTCCATCCCACCAAAACAGCAGACCTGCTTTGGAAAGGTTACCAATGGCCTCCATACTGTCAAATCTAATTGTTAATTCTAGCCCTCATCTCACTCCAACCCTCAGAGGTATTTAAAATAGTTGGTAACTTCCTCCTGCTTAAAATATTTTCTTCACTTATCTTCAGAACACCACTTCTCCTGTATTTTCTCCATCATGACTGCCCCTTCTCAGTCCTCTCGGCTGCACTCTCCTCATCTTCCTGACTGCTGGTGTGCTCTTGATGTCAGTAATTGGGCCTCTTCTCTTCTGTACTCCATTCACTCCTTATTTTATCTCATCCAGTTTCACTGTTTTAACTACCGTCTGTATGCTGACGATTCCCAGTTATATTTTCAACCTCTACCTTTCCCCTAAACTACAGAATCACATTCCCAACTAATCGATCTTCTTAAATATCGACAACCATCTAAAATTTAGTATGTCTAAAACTGAAATCTAGATTTTTCTCACCAAAACCTGCTCTTCCCATAATTCTTCCAATGTAACTGGCCCTTCCATTCATATCTTGGTTGTTACCCCCTATGGAGAATTCACTCGCAAATCTTTCACAATATATACCTTGAAAATATATACACAGTCTGCCACTTCTCACCTCCTCTATTGCTACCAGCCTAGTCTGAACAGTTACCATCTCTTGCCTGGAGACTGCAAGAGTCTCCTAACTGACTTGCCCGCCTCAACACCCGCCCTCCGATAGCAGCCAGAAAAATCCTCGTAAAATAAAAATTTAATCCTGTCATTCTCCTGTTCCAAATCCTGTAAATGCTTATTTTAGTTAATAAAATATTAAGTCAGAATCACAGCCTATAAGGCCCTAAACGATCTGGTCCAAGCTACCTTTTTAGTTTCATTTTCCTACTACTTTCACCCTTACTCATTTCACTTCAGTTCTACTCGTGTCCCTCAGACAAGGCAGGCAGCCACCCTCAGAGGCTCTGCTCTTTCCTTCCCCTGTGCCGGCTGGGTTCTCCCCTCGGATGTCCGCAGGGCTCATTCCCTCACTTCAGTCAACTGAAGAGGCTTGGTCTGTTTTGTTTAGTGCATTTTCCCCAGCAACTGGAACACTGCCTGATCATAACAAACACTCAACAAATATGTTGTATGAATAAATGAATATTCCCTTTCCAAACCAAGCTTCTAAAAAAAGTTGTTTACACATGCTTTCTCACATTCCTTAGCTCTAACTTAGTCCTCTATTCATGTTAATATGATTTCCACCCACATCATTCCACTACTCCACTCTTGCTATGGTTATAGCACCTTCATGTTACTGAAGCCAATGGACCCTTTTCTGTTTTATAGCACACACTCCAAATGACCACTCTCTCCTCGAAACACCCTTTTGTCACCCAGTACACTTTTGCTGTAGTGGAGAGTTATAGATGATTGCCTCACTGTCAAATCCAATGATTAATTGTAAGTCCTCAGTTTCTCAAACTCTCAGCAGAATTTAAAACAGTTGATAACGTCCTCCTACTTAAAGCATCTTCTTCACTTCGCCTTCTGCAAACCACACCTCCTAATTTCCTTCTATGCCTATGGCAACTCCTCTGGTGTCCCCTCCTCTATGCAAACATTAAATACTACGAGTTCCTCAAGATTCTAAGCCCCAATTCTTTATCTCTAACTCCCAATTCTTTAATTCACACTGTCAACTGAGTTACAGGCTGTAAATCTCAGTGCCCACTGGCCACCTCCACTTTGCGATCTCACAGGCTGCCTTCCTTTAACATATCTAAAGTCAACTGCATGACTCCTTATCTCCAAATCTTGCTGCTCCTCTTCAATGTTTTTCATCCCTGCTGCTCATGCCAACAACACAGGAATGATCTTTCACGCATGGCTCTCATCATCACATCAAATTCTACTGCTCTGTTAAATGTATTTTGAATCTATCCACTTCTCTCCATCCTCAATACAACCAACCAAGCAAGGTCACCACCATCTCTCACTTGAATTACTGGCACAACCTCCTAACAGGTCTTCCTACTGTGATCCTTGCCTCCTACCATCCATCTTCTGCTCTACAGCCCAAGTTATTATTATTATTTTTAATGTAATTCATGTCACCCTTGTGTTTAAAACACTCAACAGCTCTGAGGAGGTAAGGTAAACCCTTAACACGGCCCTATCTGCTTTCCTTTTTCTGCTTCTCCTTCATGCCTCACCCTGTCATCTTCAACAGTTCACCAAACTGAACTACTTTCAATAGTCTATTGATACCATGATTTCGCTTACCTCTGAAACTCTGCACGTCTATTTCTTGCGCCTACGACACTTTCCCTGTATTCTTCAGCTAGCTAACTCCTGCTCATATGTCAGGTCTTGCCTTAAACATCAGTTTCTCCAGAAAATATTCTCTAATAGCTAGAAGTGTGTGTTAGATGTCTCTCCTATGTGCCAACAGAAGCATCTTGTTCTCTCACATCGTAACACTCATCTCCCTACCTTGCAGCTGCCTTTTTTGTTCATCTATATCCCATAAAACTGTAGGTTTCTCTCCAAGGACACAGATTATGTCTGTCTTGTTTAGTACTGTATTCCCAAACTGTAAAGCACTCAACAACATTTAATAAGTGAATAAATACATATTTAACTACTATATCATTTAGTGCTTATTAGCTACCTAATATTTTAACAGTGAGAAACAATGTGCAAATATTCTTTTATTTTCTGATGTTCTAATCTACTTTTATCCTTTAATAAGAAGAAAAAAAACACATTCTTACAATACAAATCAAAAGTGGTCATTTGAAAATACCACCTGGGTATCCACCAGAGAAATTCAAGAAAGGGGAGGCTGAATCCTCTGGCTTAATAACGGGAAGGAAGGTAGGGAGGGAGAGAAAAAAAGGAATGGTAATCTTAGTTAAAATTCCCTGGGATCCTAGTCAAGTTACTTCTCTTCGGATAGCACAATATACTTACACAGACAATGTAGCAGAGGATAAAAGTGAGGATCAAAGAATGTAGTATTGCAGTGACAGGTACACAGACACCATGACTTCAGTACTGACTTATAAATATATGTTACTTCAGTGAGAAATACCTTAAATATTCATCGGAAGCATTTTAATCAGACAAAATTGCAGGAGTAACCTACAAGCAATTCTGCAAACTACAAAATCAGAAAATCATGAATCTCCTCTTTTGAATTTAATTCTAATGTGAGTTAAACAAGTTCTTATAATGTTCTGTAGGTCAGCTTCAAAAACATATCATTTCCTTCAGTTACTCAGGATAATTTCTAGTCACGGCACCTTTGGCTACAGGCAGTGAGCAGGCACTCATTAGAAGTGGCTTTCCAGGGAGAGAAAGAAGTATAAGAAATCTTCTACCTTAAAATATAAAGGAGGGTACACCAGACAGCATATAGATCCCTTCTCAATGACAATTATAAAGGATATTATATAATTTTATATGAGGAAGTCATCCATATTTTTAAGTTTATTTAGCAAAATCACCTAATTTAATTAACATCTTAACAAACACAATTATTTAAAATCTCCAAAAGGAAGCTATAAGAATAGTAATAACAACTCTATACAGACCAATATAGGTGCTTTGAATATTGTGTCCTTTTTCGTGCTCATGACTATTCTATTAAATAGATATTATGCTATCACCCACATTGCAAACATGGGCAAACAGGTAAATTCCAGGTCACAGAGCTGGGATTCCACCACTGGTCTATGTGACACAAAAGCCTCTGTTCTTCCACTCTACTATGTAGGTCTGCTACCACTAATCTATCAAGATATCTTAGAAAGGCACTGAAGATGAATGAAGTGGTCATCGTTTTTGGAGAAAAACAGCAGAGTTATCCTACCCTGGAGAAAATTTAGAAATTTAAACCAGGGTACTATAAAGAATCTTACATACTTTAAATTTTTGTAGCAAGGATGTATAATCTCCAGACTGGGGGACAGTTGGCTGTATCATTGATGTTATCAAAGCCACAAAGACCCAACTCTAGAAGCCTAATGAACAGCGAAGCTACAAAATAAAAGTAGTAAGTCTTGCTTCGCCAAAAGTTACATGCCTGAAACCCTAAGCTTTGGCCAAATCAATCTTACACTAATGTCAAAACTGCCCAGACACTCAAGAAGTTGTAACAGTACTAAAGACTTCGCACATGTGTGAATACTGTCTTTTGGGAGATGAACCTCACAAAAGAGCAAATTCAAATTTTACTTTTAGATCATAACATACCTCTATTTATAGTAAACATTTGCACAGCATCACCCAAAATTTCTAATTTTCGGTAAATAATGAAACCAGCCTATAGAAAAACAGAAAAATGAAAAGAGTATATTAAAGATAACAAAAATAAAACTCTACGTCCCATCTTTACAAAAACTCAATGAATCCCAAAGCACCCAAAAAGCTGAATTCAACCTATTATGTTATACAAAGATCTAAATGTCTTCATTTACTCACCACGCCAATTACAAGAATAGAGAAAGTAAATGATCTATGCCTTAAAATAAAAGTTTAAGTTTTCAACTTTTAACATCAAATATTATAAGCAGGTATCCAAACCAAACAACTTACAAATGGAATCTAAGAAAATATAATCAAGTAAGAGAAATCTGTTTTGACTACAGATATCGACTCCCTATATCTCACGAAATCAGCTGACAATGTCAGTGTATAAAGAGTCTTCCTTCTAGGTTTACTATTAACAGAAACAATCAAGTCACACTAATTTTTAATAGATAAAACTGCTACAGAACTCATGTTAGTTCTCAACAAGTTTTAAGATTTTTTTAAACAGAACATAAAGGAAAATTATCATACTATTTCCCGACAAAACTGCATTTTTTTATGTTTATAAATAAAAGGAGTTTCTATTCCTAAAAATAGACACAAAAAAGGAAACAAGAAATTCATCTACAAATGCAAGTATGAATATGAATTAGGGAAAAATAAATCCACTGGGACACAAAACATATTTCTTGGGGGAAAAAACCCAATAATGCTATATATAAAGATAAACCCATATTTCACTATAAACATGAAAATACATCTGACTAACAGCAGTGGAAAGCTAAATTTGGAGGCAATTTTCCTAAATTTTTACCACATTTAAATATAAATATAAGAAATAAGGCCAGCTTCAATATAGAAACTGCCTTGTAATTATTTTTATTCTGAAGTTGCTTATAAATCATAAATATCATCAATACCATTTGTGCTTGCTCAGTCTGGGCTTATTAGCCTTTCATGTTTTCAGAGAACTCACATTTTTTACATACAAATTGGACATTATTTTGGATTCATGACAATAAAAATAACTACCATTGAACAAACAATCTACTGATTGGTACTTCCTAATTAATATTGAGAATTAACAATTTCAATAAATGTCTCCCTAAGCATTCTTAACGTCAAACTGATTTAAAATATTTTAGTTGAGTTTGTGCCACTACCACAATAAAATTTTTCTAAAGTAATTTATTATAAGGTTTAAAAAATACATCATAGTCTAAAGATCTCTGGTACATACATAAGCATCCGTGGCTGCATACAGTTTCTGATCCTCAGTGAGAGGAAAATTATTCCAATCACTACAGCGGACAGACTTGTCTTTCAGAAGCTGTTTACCGAAGAGGTGTTTAACCAAACCATTGAGGCTCCAGATCTCTGCACATTTCAGCTGGAAGTAATGAAAAATCAACATAGCAAAAATCATTTCCTTCTATTTTCAGATATTCCTAAATATCACCAAATGACCATGCAAAGTAAAGCTGGAAATGTTATACCAAAATACAAGGCAGAGACAGTCCTTAATAAACTTCCAGTCACTAAAAACCTCATTTGCAGTACACATTATAAGAAGTTAATTCTGAGATCAAGATGTTGTGGTGTACATATACATGGAATACTACTCAGCCACAAAAAAAAGATGGAATCTTGCCATTTGCCACAACATGGATGGACCTTGAGGGTATTATGCTAAGTGTAATGAGTTGGATGGAGAAAGACAAATACTGTACAATTTCACTCATGTGCAAGATAAAAAAAAAATGACAAAACAAAAACAAACACATAGATACAGAGGACAGATTAGAAGTTATCAGAGGGGAAGGAGGTGGGGAGAGGGCAAAATGGGTAAAGGGGGCCAACTGTATGGTGATGAATGGAAACCAGATTTTGGTGGTGAGCACGCTGTAGTATATAGAGAAGTTGAATTATGATGTTGTACACATGAAACCTAAATAATTTCATAAACCAATGTTAGCTCAATAAAAAAATTAAAATTAAAAGAAAATTTTTAATTCTGGAATTTCCCCAATGTAGGTACTAAAATTCTTGGAAAGTATTATTCATGGGAAAAAGTTGAATAGTTTGGTAGGCTTTCTACTTCCCAGCCAAAGAATACTTGGCTAAACATGAGAATTTAACTTAATGACTACATTAATAAAATATGTGAAACATAGGCAATGGAATTGATAGTCAAATTTCCACTAAGAGCATCTTACTACAGGGGCGGCACTAGGCTCTCCCTTAAAAAGAAAAGTATTGATATAAATGGATGAAAGAGATAAACTTAAAATACAATATTTAAATTTGCAAATATATGAAATAAAGTGAAATAGTACTAAATATGGGGGGGTTGCTTGCTTAAAGAAATTATTTGCTAAGGCAATGGATTAGAACTGAAGGTTTTCATCATGGAACACTCATTTGGGAATTCTCTATTGTCACAAAAACATTATACAGGTTAAATTCTTTTTTCAAAAAATCTAACATTCACATAGAAGCAACATTCTGTGAAGCACAAATTTACCTTGTTTATGAAAACAATATATGTACCACATTTACCTTTTCATTTGCAACATCTGTCAGCTCCACAAAACTCTTCAATTTGATGTCAAAGTCACGTAGAAGTTTCCACTGATCCCCTTCAATTCCTACACCTACTTTTTTAATTGCTTTGTTTTCAAGCAACATTTTTAATCCCTGAGGAAAAACTATAACATTTTATTATTATTTCCATAGGTCCTATCAAGTATGATGGATTTATTTCTACTTCCTATATATTCTATGTTTATATTTAAATTTATGTTTATATTAAGTTTAAAGTCAGAAACACACTCACCTTGAGTATTTCTTTTCTTCCCTAAAGCAAAAGACCCGACTGATAAATGACAAGAAAAACAAGTAGTTTGAATGTCACCTCTCCTAACACTAACGGTACATTCCTGGTCTTTTTGCCTCTCTAAACTTCAGTTCTCTACTCTCTAACACAGGATGAATATCAATGCCTGACAGAGATGTTGTGAAAATTAAATAAAACAGGGATATGAGTGAATCAGGCGTAACATAAATACTTAAATAAACGGAAGGTGATGAGATTAATTTTATAGGGATAAAGTTGACATAATACAATTCTCTACCATATAAAAATGGAACAAAGACAAGAGATACAAACCTGACATTGAAGAAATATGAAACAAGTAACATTTGCTCTCTGACACACACAACTGAATTAGTGCAACTCTGTCCAGTTTCCGTTTATTATATATTGGTGGCCATTCCATGTCAAATCCCACCACATCTCCATCAGACAGACTCAAGCTAAAGGGGGGGGAAATAGTACAAATTAATTACATTAAAATTTTAACTTCTGCATACCTAACGAAATCATTCAAAAAGTTAAGAGAAGCCATAGGTGGTAGAAGATATCTATGATACATATAACTCATAATGAATAGACAGAAAATATTAAAAATTCCTTGAAAAATCATAAGAAAGACAATCGAGTGAAAAAATGGAGAAAAATAACATAACATATAAACAGGCAATTCCCAAAAGGAAATCTAAATGGTCAATAAATCCAAATAAATATGCAAAGACATGAAATCTCACTAGAAATCAGAAAAGTGGAAATTAAATTTATACAACTTCATACCTATCTGACCAGCAAAAATTCAAGCCTCACAACATCAAGTGTGGAGAAGAATATCTACCACTGGGACCACTCACATAGTGGTGAATGTTTAAGGTGGTAAAACCCTCTTGGAGATAGCTCTGACAATATCTGGCTGAAGGGGTACAAACACTACAACCTGGCGCGCTTTTCTCACAAATACGTCAAACTCTCATATGTGCACAACCAGGCAGAAATGCTTAAGAATGGTCACCGCAATACCATTCCTACTGGCAAAAATGGAAACAAACTGTATTTCCATCAACAAAAGAATGGATAAATTGTGGTATATTGAAACAATGGAATATTATATAAAGGTTAAACGAGAACTACATATACCAAAAAGAAAAATTCTCAAAAACATAAAATGTTGAGTGAAAAAGACAAGTGGCAGAATACACACATAGTTTGATAGCATTTTTTAAAGTTTTTAAATCAGCAAAATAATGGTATGTATTTTGGGATATAAAATTATGAATATTATAGAAAACAGGTGGAGGGAATGCTAAACACTGCACTCATGATAGAAGTCATCTGACAGAGCTGCAGAGGGAGAATCAGAAAGGGCAGACGGAGCTTCAGCTGTATTTTACTGTTTCATTTCTTAATAAAGCTTTGAAGAAAATGAATATTAAGATTTAATAAAGCTAGGTGGGAGGAATACGGGTGCTTGTTACAATACATTATCTATTATTGTTTTTATTTGCCTATTTCACAAGTTTTAAAAATTAAAAATGTGTTTTAAAAATTTTTTAAAACTCAACTTCTACTTTGGGCCAAGACGGATTAATAGTGATCAGAGATACATCTCCTCCATGAACAAATAGAAAAGTGGACAAAATATATAAAGTTCCAGACACTGGACAACAGGCAGTACAGACCTATGCTCTCTGAGGGAAGGGAAACAAAGAAGAGCCTCACTGCTGCCCCAGCTTTCTGCCTGGAACACTTCCCAGACAGCAGAACAGGCAGCAGAACCCAAAGTAGAGCGCTGAGCTGGGGAGACAGGGTTCAAGCCAGAGAGGCTGAGGCAAAAGTTGTGGGTAGAGTTCTGGAGAGGAGGGAGGCAGGCAAGAAAGGACATGCAAGCACTGAGTGAACCTATGAGGCCGGACAAAGAACAACGAGGGAACCGTAAGCTGAACAAGTCCTAGGGCCTACACAAAGTAAGGGGCAGTAAAGTTCTGAAAAGTCAGAGTAGAGATTTTTGCGGATCACCTGGGGCAGTCAGCAAAATAAGCGTCAAACTGTAAAGCTGATCTTAGGT